AGAAGTCTACGCTCTAGTATATATTAATTTAATAAGTTACTTTTTACATTTATATTAAATCTATTTCTATTTATATAAAATTCTTTTTCTTATATTCTATTTATTATATATTTTTAATTTATTTATATAGTAGTTATATAGCTTTAATCTTAATTATATTAAATATAATCTATTAATCTTATTATCTTATAGCTTCTTTAATAACTACATATTTTTAACTTTAATTTTTAAATAGGAGTAAGATATTATACTAAGAGAATATATAATTATATTCTATAATCGCTCGTAATACTTTTCTCGAGAATCTCTTTAAGAACTATTAAACTTTATAATATAATAGTAATAATATTATTAATTAATATTATTCGAAAGAGTATAATTAATAAAGATATATCTTCTTATTTACTTAGACGAAAAGCGTAAAATTTAAATCGCTATTATATTAAGATTTCTAATTTTTATAGATTATTTATCTAGATATCGCCTTTTCTTATAATTTAGAATTTAAATTATAGATTAAATTATAATTTAAATATTTTTAAATATTTAATTCTTAGAGCTAAAATCTTAATTATTAAAATTTAATCTTAACGTTAAGCTTATATAATTAAGAAGCTTACTTTCTTAATACTTAAAACTTAAAAATAAGAATAAATATTACGCTAAGAGGCTAGTAACTAATTAGATTATCGAATTTCATTATTTTCAATTTAAAATATATCTTATTTCTTTATTTTCGATCTAAACGCGGGTATATACGAGTATATTTAAAAGAGAAAGCTGAAAAAGAACTTTAAAATTCTCAAATCTATCTTTTTTAATTTCTTTTATTTTATTAAAAATATAATAATAAACTAAGTACGTAGAGTTATAGAATTATTTATATACTTTTAAATAATATAATATAGACGAAATTATTATAATACTAGCTTCTTCGACTATCGTATATATATCGCGTATTATTAAAGCTAGTAATTATTAGTTACTATTAGCTATCTATTTTATATATATAAATATTCGTATATTTTATAAATTAATAATTAGTCTTTTAGTCTTTTAATTAATTTCTAATATATTTAATATCTTACTTTTAATAGATTATAAGCTCGAAAGCGAATAGAGTAATATTATTCTTATACTTTCTAATATAAATATTAAACTAAGTCTTCGATAATCGTTTATAAATAGATATATCTTATAGCGATAGCCCATTTTTTTAGCTTATATCTATTAACGAGAGAGCTATTACTATTTAATCTCTATATAAAAAATATCGAATTAAAATTCTTATTTTATTCGAGATTTCGAAATAATATAAATAAAAAACTCTTATACTATACGAGAACCCGAATTAATTAAAAACTCTTATATTATTTTAAGATTTCGAAATAATACGAGTAAAACGTTAAAACTCTTATTTTATTCGAGATCTCGAAGTAATACGGGTAAAATAAATTAAAACGTTAAAATCCTTATTTCATTCGAGGTCTCGAAATAGGTATCTAAAGCCTCGGTACTCTTTCTATTTTCTCTATCGAGGTTTTTTATAGATTTAATAAGATCGAGTAAATAATTAATTTCGAATTTAAAGCGTGGATATAAAAATTAATATGAAATACGATGTACTAGGGTTTAGGGAATTAGATTCTGAGGGCTGTCGGAGAGTGTTATAATATTAGCCCCTTCGGCTATCGCATATATCGCGCGTATTATTAGGGCTAGTAATTATTAGCCACTATTAGCTATCTATTTTATATATATAAATATTCGTATATCCCATAAATCAATAATCAGTCTTTTAGTCTTTCAATCAATTTCTAACATGTCTGGTATTCTACTTTCAATAGAAATTTGATAAAGTATTCGTCTAAGTATCGAGCTTACGAGAAGAGCCTCTCCGGTAGAAGCCCTCGAAGAGTCTTCGGAGAGCCCCCGGAGGGTTAGGGGGGTTTTAGGGGATCTCCCTCATAAGTATATCAAATAAATCATAACCGATAAACGTCTCTCTCGATTCTTAGGGTTAGATTTCTTAAAATCCCTTAAATTCTTCGAAGCTCTTTAAGGGCTCTCCGAGAGCTTCTATCGAGGGGCTGTCAAAGCAAGCTCGAAATTAATCAAATATCACTAAAATAATTAAATTTCGAGCTTGCTTTAACAGCCCCTCGATAAAAGCTCTCGAAGAGCCCTTAAAGAGCCCCCGAAGGGTCCGAGGGGTTTTAGGAGGTCTCCCTAAGAATTAAATAGTCAAAAACCAGTACTCAGTAAGCTTTTCACTACTGGGAAGCCCGCGCCCCAGCACATATTATTTCCATGCACGTATTGAAGACGTAGGGCTGGTAATTGATACCGAAGGGGCCCTTAGTAGGACCAATTGCCAACAGCCACAGGCGAGCCCTCGCCGAGCTCGCCTCTCCCATTGCTACTTTAATGGCTAATGCCACCCAACCTTCCTCCCTATTTATGTCTAGCCTCAAGAATCCTGAATCGCGTTGAATAGATCCTCGTAGGAAGCCTGATCTCTAAACTATGCCAGAGCAGAGCCAACCTGCCAACCTCAATCTCACCATCATTGGCCCAGGTAGGCCAAATCGATGTCGATTGTACCATATCATGCCAACTGTCATCTCCTCGTGCTAGGACTCTGTGATACTGGAGCCGCTCGCTACCATCTAAATCTGCACACTGAAGCTCGCTCATGATCATTGAGTCTGACGATGTAGCAGGCGGAACATGGAGCTCGAGTAGGTCGATTTGTTCAACTGATATTGTTTCCCAAATTTGAAGTCAGTTGTCCCTACTATTTTGAAATGCTTCTTCTGTTCCATCCTTCTGAAATACTTGAAACTAATCTTAATGACAGTTTGATTTGCGTTGTTTGGACACTTAACGGTGGTGTGGGTGTCATCGGGTGGTTCAATGGCTGACTGGCTGCCATTACCCGTCCTATGTTGGCTGAAACAGATAGAAGTACCTTTGTACCACTCGTCATCTGAGAAGGGGGTATTGAGGTCAATGATCCGTGAGGCCAATCAAAGGGGAGGGTTCCCCAAACAGAAAGCTTCGACAATGGTAGGCATTGAGAGCGTGAGAGATAATCTCTCGGAATTTGGTGGCAAGGTCTAGTAGGAATGCGCGTTGTTGATCGTCGGTCTCTCGGGCTGGTCCCAAAAATCTAAGCTTCTGTTCACGATTCTGAGAACCTCTCCACCTCCTGTTTCACATTGGGAAATCTCAAGAGAGTGATATTGATGAGAAGCTCGCGCCGTCGATCCCCAAATGACTTTTTAGGCACTATAAGTATATAATCCTTAACTCGCTTCGCAGTGCGCACAAATGCTACGACCACTATTTCCATCGGCCTATCTTGCTACATCAATGTCCGAGTAGTATCCAGACCCAATAAACTCCACCTGACCAGTCTTTCTCTGTCCCATACAGTAATCCGAACTGAGGAGACAAAGGACCGGTCTGCGCGCAAGTTGATTGTTTGGCGGGCAGAGAATATTGCAATCACCATTGAATAACACAACCAGCCTTCATTTGGGGTATTGGCGAGGGGTTTCAGGGGACCAGACGGCGGTAGGAGACACAGGCGGGAAAGGTGAGTCCCGAAGCAGCCAGGAGCTTCAAGATGTGATTTTGCTTTCCAGTACCTAGATAGCCAAGGTCCAGACTAACTGGGACCTGGTCCCCAATATCGTGTCCCATGTTGACCAGCAGCCTTTGTATGACCACAGCTTGCGAGTAAACTGTCGATCTGGAGTGAGTTTCCGCAGTCATGGGAGAAGTCCTCTGACAATTGATACTGTTCACGCAAATGATAGTAGATTTACTCCACCTCTTCATTCTCCCACAACGTCATATGTTTACTGAAATTTGAAAGAATACCTCCAATTCCCAAACCGATGAGCCCAAACCAAGTGGGACGGGAAAATTTGCAGAGAAGCAGAACCTGCGACGAATATTGTGGACGTCCGTCCTGGCAGGCAGAAGCCCCCGTAGAGCCGCTTTGGAGCTCCTTTCTGGTCTCTGTAGTCATGGGCGATAAGGGAATCGTTCGAAGTACTCGGTGTCCATTATTACAGACCCAATGTCATGAAGAGCGAATATTTGATCAGTGATATCATCAAGCAGGCGAGGTTTGTTCTCGGCCGCAGAAGCGTGTCAAAATCCACATCTTGTTCCTCGATGCCACCAAGTCCAGGGCGATTGAGCACGGCGAGGACAGTACAGACAAGCTTCTGCAATTGAATCGATCCAGCCCTGCAGATGACAGCACCCGGAATAATCTTGCACGTAGTCAAAAAGAGGGTTTCCGATGACACTGATGACAGATTAGCGGTCTAGGAATCCTGTAAGGACTCAAGGGCTGGCTTTTTTTTGAATGCTGGCAAGTATCTTAACTGGCAAATCATGTAGAAGGCTTGAATTAATAATTGATTGAAACACCCTCGGGCAAGCAGGCTGGTGATAGATCGGTAGAAGACCAGGATCTAGGCTGTCGTGCATGTAAAGATGAAAGAATAGAGATGAGTTTTATACGAGCTCAGGGTCGGGCAAGATGTCAGAAATCGACCAGAACGGCACCAAGAGCGAACAGTCGGGGGCAAGTTCGGTCATAGATCACACATGGTTTTGGGTATCAGCTGATACCCCAAATCGACGTGAGAATGATAGGGTCTGCGCTTGAACTGGTCACCTTTCTAGACAGCTTACCTGGCCTATATCGGCTTGGCAGACATTCCAAAAAGGATCGCTCACTTTTTGCACGTCTCCAAGTTGACATTGATCCCATCAATTTGGTCTAGGCTCTATATATAATGATTGCATCAACTAGGCGTTAGTCAGCCTCCACATCGTCTAAAATTGTCCCTGATTGTTTCCAATCTGTCAGCTCAATCATCCGGGCTGTAGCCACTTCCGACTCGATACGCTACTTTCCATACAAAGTCGTCTTCCACCCCTGTTGAGCTTGCCGTATTCTAAAACACCACGCACGATCACCAATGCACACTTTCTTCTCCGATGTCCTGCTTAACCCATGGCCCTTTTCCATCTCGAAAGATTTCCTCCTGGTCCTTGGCCGGGCAGAGATCTGTCCAGTCCATCCATCCGCCTTGTTCTGCATTGTCTGTCCATGCACCGAGACTCTTTTCCCCATCCATGGTGCTGAACCATTTCCGTCCGTTAGACTTGCTGACAGCAATTGGCTTGTAGGGCTCCCTCATACGCGCATTGAGAAGTGCGCGAGCATATGGCTGGAACCACATCCGATCCCAGACTGTCTCTCTCAGAGACTTCAATCCATCTCGATGGGCATTGTGGTGGATAACCGCAGGGACGATACCGGTCCAAAGATTGGTGTATAATGGCACCTCCTTCCAGCTCATTGATTGGGTAGGTAGACGCCAGTCATCAGCTTTGTCGTTACGAATAGAGTTGAACGGGGCAGGTTCGTTCGCGACGTCGGTTTGAATGGAGGTGGCACGTGGGTCAGTAATGTTGTATTCGCTGAAGGCCTTGTCGAGGGTCTTGCTATCGCTGAAGACTAACCACTGTGAGTCGTATTCGGCGAACACTGTCGGTATTGAGAGAGCACTCTCGTAGTCAAGTCCTACACCAAATTCATAATTCGTTTCAGTGGCCGGCTTAAAAGCCTTCCGCGGGGTCTGCTCTTCTCGCTTCCGAGGTGGAAGCTTGCTGAGCCGTGCGGCTTCCCGTACATATTCCTGCTCGCCCCAGATAGTGGAGAGAACGTTCTGATCGTTTCCCTCCTGGTTAGGATTTGCTTCCGCTCTTTCCAATGCCCGTTCAAACAGGGTGCGTAGTTCATGGACTGGTCCTATCATGAAGCCAGCATTTAACCAACGTTGTCGGAACTTCAGATACGGGTTCTTCTGATCGCCAACATCTATATCCGTCTGTGGTCCATATATATATCGCGGGAGTGGTGACTCCGGAACGGCGTAGCAGCTGAGATCGCCACGCTTGCCCGGCCAGCATCTCTTCTGCGAAGAAAATATGATGGTCTGGGTGGTGGCTGACGTATCCGCAACTTCGTTACCCAATTGCCCGCGGACGCGCTCGTTGGCCACGCTGTTAATCTCATAATATCTGTCGATCATGATCTGCGGTGATAGCTGAAACCAGAGATCAAAGCCATCCACCAACAACACCATATCCTCGTCGTGATTCGAGTCTAGGGCCCTAAGGTAATCCAATGCACCACTGATCTTTGCCATCTTATCACCAGTTTTGGCCCAATTGTAAAGAGTGGGAGTTGGGTATCCGAGGATGGTGGCGCTGATGATTGTTTTGCACAGATTTACATCGCTTCTGTCTGCAGGTATAAGAATATGGAAGAAGCCAGATCTCTCGGACGTTGCGATGTCATCCGGGCTGGATGGTTTGAAATAGGCATTTTTGATAGAGTCTGAGTGAAACTGGGTATTGGTTCTAGTTAGCTGCTGATTCAAATTGGGAGACGGGGGAGGACTAAATATAGCTCGAGACATACCACAAGGGAGAAGAGAATGACGATCGTGATCAAAAGCGAGAAGAGCGTAGCGACTCGAGCTCGCCCGAAGATAGACGGTCTCTTGTCGGCCTTTTCTCTGATACCCTCATACCGATACTCGCCCCCAAAGCGAGATCGGACGGGGCTCAACCATGATCGATTGAGTATCATGATGCTTTCGCTCGTGAAGGCGCTTGGGATTGAGGAGAGATGTTCTCGTGTGATTGTTCCTGTTGGTGTAGGGAGCCAGAGGTTTTTTTGGAAGGAAGGAGCCTTGCTTGTGGTGACAGAAACGAGGGATGAGGGGAGCGCAAGTAGAGTCTAGACTGATTAGATGAAATGCAGAGGATCAAGAATCAACTTTTAGCGGGCGTACCCAAGGGGACTGTGGAGTAGACGCAGCCAATGAAACAAGTCAGATTATCTTGGCAAGCAAGAGGTTATGATTAGTGGGAAGCAAAGGAAGATAGAATCATGGATTTATGGAAGATAAGAAGAGTGCAGAAGATTCGGTACCATCGGGTTCAGAAAGATCCCAATTGGATTGGACGTCTCTTGAGAAATACGAATAGCCTTACTACTGCGGGGAGTGCATACATGATGCAGCCCCGAGAAGAAATGATCCCCAACATTTTACCTCAAGATCGTGGAAATCCGGTGAATTAAATACCACGTCCCCCGATAATCAGCGAGAGCCAATTATTAGTATGCAATCCTCTTCTCTCTTTCCAACATCTTCTTAAATCTCAAAGTAAATCTTATGTGTGCCTGGAGCCCTGGACAACTTGCATACCTAGGCGCTTACGATTGCGCTATTCCGATGGGGAAACTCCGAATGCACGTAAGCAACAAGTTTTCAAGCCAGTGATACCTACTTTAATACCTAATCGAGGATCATCTGTCAACAGTCTGAGCCGACAAGCGAGCCAAGAATATGTTTGCTTGTACTGTTCATGAGCGTGTCTGATTGGAAAAGATAAGGTTGGACACATCTGTCACCAGTACATGTGGATGATGTTGGTAAGATACTTTAGGAATATCCGAATGTTGTCGGTTGACGTCTATCTTCTGACTTCGGAGACAAACTTTGCGGCCGCCGGCCGAGCTTTAGGGGGCCTCACCCTCGGGGCACAGCTCCCCTGGTCCCTGAGGCCCGGCGGCAGTTTTAGCTTAGTCGCTGCTAAAGTAAGTAAGGTACCTATTTACCCTCTCTCTACACGTTGATAAATAATTTTGTCAAAGGTATTCGGTAAAAGCATTGAGAGCAAAAAGCGGGTCGGTCGAACTTGCATTATTTAGGTATTGTGGGTATTGTGTTAGACGCGTCTCCTGCAGAATCGAACAAAAGACACCCAAATTTCGGCCTACGGTGGACCGAGCACATGTCATTGAGTCCGCTTTTGTGAACAAAGACGGCAATGAGCTAACCCATAAGAATACTACCTATTCACGACCTGCAAGGCTAGGTGCGGCATACCTCGGGAAATTCAAACGTGCCCTCTGGCCCCCTTGCTTCATCTTCAAGAGGTCTCGGAGTATGAAAGAAATGCAGCTTTTAGTTATCATCCAATTGACTCCGTCATCGCTGAGCATCAATGCCATTTATACTGTAGGTATGTGTTTTTATAAATTGACCACAATGTTTCATTTACAAAACATGAATCAACGTGTCGCAGAAGATTGGATTAAGGTTGAAGGCTTGAGAAAGGAGGACACCTCGGACGTTTGTGGAAAGATATCAAGTGGTACTCCGTATCTATGGATCCGTGGCTGAAAAGGCTTTGGGAATAATCAAGACTCTAGCCAACTATGCCTCTTAAATTGGGGGAAGGGAATCAATCAAAGATAAATTTGGGAGGGCCGTGTCAGAATTGGTAGCACTCGCTTCTTGATATGCCGGAGAAAGACAAGAACAGTCAGGGGACATTGAAGTAACTAGCAACTGTCAAGGGAGAAGAATCTGCGAGTGTGCATGAACTTTTCTCCCAAACAAGACGTCTTGTTTCTGCTTCAAGGACATGAGCAGAGTTTTGCCAACGCTATGAGCAAAAATGTACAGTACCCGCGCGCACGACTATCCCCTTTTCCCTCTCCTGGACCTCGTACTCGTTGGCGCAGCATCGCTTGAGGTCGACTTCTTCGGGGTATCATACTTCTCATTCTCCACTGGCCCGTCGACTTCAGATTCTCCGTTTGCACTCGCCGCGGACTTTGCGTCGTCGTCCTTGTTCTTGGGGTCGACCTGGCCTATAAGTGGGATCTCTAACGCAAGCCATTGCTGGAACGGTTTCGCAACAAAGAACCCGTTGACGTCAAACCATCGAGTAAATGGTGATGAAAGCTTTAGAGTTTTTGTTTCGCCTTTTGAATTCGAGTATTCGACCGTGATGTTGTAAATGGGAGTGTGCTTCGCAACGCTTGAGGCAATTGATAGCGGCTAAAAAAATCAGCGTTGCTACCAACCGCATACATAGCTGGTGCCTCATACCGACTTTCGTCCCACTTTTGGGTGATCAATCTGTCCCGCGAAGACTTTCCCCTTCTCCACGCCCCATATCCAGAACGTCAGAGCTCCGTTCAAGGTGAAGTAAACGAGGACAGCCCAGAACGTCCAGTATTTGGTCTTGTCCCATCCTAATTTGTAATCGGCGTAGAAAGTGATCGCAGCAATGACTACAGCCGAGTATCCCAGCGCCAATCGCACATCGGTGAGGAAGTGTGATTGCTTGAATTTCAGGGACGTGAGATAATTGGGGAGGGCATCGTCGGTGGTGTTCTTGAGATCTGTCCAGGTCAGTATGTTGCTGAAATGACAAGTCTCAAAGGTTCCTACCTGATATAGAATACACAGCTATCTTCGTCGCCGCCATTTTTCTTTTCCGTCGACGTATAGAAAAAAGCAGAGCAAAGCTCGGTAGTTGTGGAGCACAGTAAGTGAAGATGAGAGAAGCTTCCGAGGTTCATGTAACGTGGTTTCTTGGCGTTTTCTTAAGCGTTCCGTTCCTGCAGGGTCTTGAATAAGCGCCGCTGCCAGAGAGAACAGTGGATATGAATGCTCTACGGCGAAGTCATCATTATCAGACAAAAGCATCTGCTTGACAGGGGTCTTAGCCTTCGACGCGACAACATCCTGCCATCATGGCAGTTCCGATGGTACAGTCGATCCACAGAGATCCAGCGCTGTTGTGAGTCTTTCCGGAGGCATCCTATCATGGATGAGTTAACAGGAATCGTCTAGCTACTGGATACTCTTTCCAATTTCTATTGTCATGGTACGCCATAGTCTCTGAAAAGCTTCGTGATCATGTCACTAACACCATCCCTAGATCCTCACTGGTGTTCTCCGCCACTACGCAACAGTCCTGCTACAGACCACCCCGAAAAAGCAAGAACTTCCCGCCCTACGAGAGCAGCGGTCTCTGCTACGGGGAATCAATCTTCGCTCCAATTCCTCCGCCATTCCCTCAACGGCCTTCGCCTCTCGAAGGCAGTACCTTGTGTCTGCATACAAAGATGGAACGTTCCTCAAAGACCCGGAGAATCGGGGTAAACCTGCTGGCAACCCAATGACAGATCCAGCAGCCATGGAAGGTATGATGGGCATGATGAAGGGAAATATGGCGATGATGATACCGCAGACGCTGATCATGGGCTGGATAAATGCTTTCTTTGCTGGCTTTGTCATCAGTACGTATAATAGTGCCTTTAGTGGTTGCTTAAGCAGTGTTGACTGTATGCTGATATGGGGTTCGCCAATTAGTGAAGCTTCCGTTCCCCCTTACGATCCGGTTCAAATCAATGCTGCAGTCTGGTGTTGCGACTAGAGATCTGGACGTGCGATGGGTTTCGAGTCTGTCTTGGTACTTTCTTAACCTTTTCGGGCTGCAGTCCGTCTTTATATTCATCCTCGGCAATGACAATGGTGAACCCGTTCCCGCTCTCATTCTCGCAATTAGACGCTGACAATTCACAGCTGCGAACCAAATGGCACAGCAAATGTCCCAAATGAACCCAGGGGCTGGCGCTGGCATGTTTCAACCGGGCCAGGATGCAGATAAGATGTTTCAAAGTGAAGCAGAGAATTTGGAAGTTGTAGAACATGAATACATACTGAAGGGGGTTGAAGATAGATTGCTTGCATGACAATATTTACAATGTTAGAGCTTCACCTCCACCCAACATCCCCACCTGTGAATCTTTAGTGGTGTTTTAGCTTGCAATTGGCACTTATTGACTGGATGTAACCCACCTGGTCCATTCTATAAGCCAGAAGATGTTAATACGGGCAAGCATCGACTGCTGGAAAGTATCATATCATTTATGAATGGTGACGAGCAGGCTCCACTGCTGCACGCAACTTGTAGAATTGCATGCGGGCTCAACTTCTGCTTGTACCCAAGGCTTCAATGGAACGCAAATGCATCCTGAATGCCACTCTACTCGTACGTTCCAAAAGAGAGCTACAACGCTAAGATCTTAGCGTCTTGGCACCTGATCTTGAGGAGATGTGGATAGTTTGATTGGTGGGTTCTCCCGCCGCTACTAAGCGAGGTAGCTCACTTCTGGAATCCACGAGTATGTCTAATGTTAGACAGTAGTCTCGCGGGTGACAAAAAGATCGGAACGCCAAGCCCGCACTGACAACAGTACGACTAATTAGCGATATTCGCCCAAGAGTCCGCAAAAAGACCACTAGTCTCAAAGACGCGTTTTCGCGATTGACACCATAAATTCACTATTATTTCATCACATCATATCATACTATCAAGAAGAGAAACTCGTTTAGAAATTATTAATGAGTATAAAAACGATTATTTTCGTAGCGCTATAGCGGTTATAGAGTATTATAATCTTAAATTATAATAGATATAAAGACGACTCGAGGAAAGCTTCACATCGCAAACGAAAAGTTCCTTTCCGCACGATTTCCGCCGGGTCCGCACCATAAGCACATTAGCCATCAGCAGACTTGCCTATGCCAACCCTTTCCGCCGATTCAGCAACTATCCCAACCCTTTCCGCTAGTTCTACAGTTTAGCAACTCAAAAATTTCACAACTTCAAAAATTTGCGCAATGCACTCTAATACACCAAGTACTATCTATATACATATGACATCAATATATACACATCAACAACGCATTATGCCCATACTAGAGCACACCCACGCGACAATTCATAAATCGTCCAATCGTACTAAATTAGTTGGCGTGAACTGTCGCCGTAGAACCGCCGTCGCAACGTCGATTATAGAACTTTTCTTTTTCGTGCGTATGCACTAAACTGCAGAACTAACGGAAAAGGTTAAGATAGTTGCTGAACTGACGAATTAGGCGGATTCTAATCAGATTTGCTAAACCGGCAGAATTTGGGCGGATTCTAATCAGATTGCATCCGGCGGATTTGTGATTTCCGCGACAAACGCGCGATCAGCAATTTCAAATTAGGAACAGATCAGATGAAAGACAAAAACAATAACTACAAACTAAAAAGTACATATAACTATATTAATCGCAAATAATATAAATATTATTTAATAAATTATATTAAGCATAAGAATTCTAAAATCCTTAGATTATATATCCTAAATACCGAAAAGATTAGACAATAATAAAAACAACTAAATATTATAAATAAAAAAAAACCTAGTATAAAAGAATATATATAATATAAGATATACGAGCGTATAAAAATAAACATAAAAAAATATAAATATAAGATATTAAATATAAACGAGACAACTTCAATACTATAAAATCTTATTATATTATTACTTTAAATAAAAGAAGCTTCATAATCGTAGATTAGATAATCGTAATTAATTATATCAAATATATTACACCAAATAAAGAACCTATTATAATTTAAAAGATATTTATATTCTAATAAATAAATAAAAAAACACCAATACATATAATCGTTTTATCTATTAAATATTAAATAACCGACTAGTATATAACTAACACTATATTTTAATATATTTTCTTATTATCGTTAAGTAAGAGAATAAAGAGTCTTAATTCAAACGACTCGAATTCTATTATATTTACGAATTTATATATTTATCTAGCAATTAAAGATCGACTTATTTATACTTCTCTTATATTTTATATATATTATATAGTTATTAGATATAGAATACTTTAATTATTTAAATATTACTATATAAAGACTATAGATTAACTATATATCTTAAAAGTAGCGACTTTAATAAACTAACTTCTATAATATTTAATTAAATATAAATTTAAATCTTTATATCAATATTATATATTTAATCTTTAAAAGACTAATTTAACCATAACTCTAAAGTAATACTCGAAAAAATTAGAAACCAATACCCCGCGCTATAACCTAGATGAATCTATACTCTTATTCTTACTAAAACCCTCTATAAAGTCGAAGATATTATTAAATACGATTAATAATTAAAGTATTACTTCTACTAGACTTTTATTATTTTAAAAAATATAAAAATTATTAGTCTAATTTATAAAAGAACTATTACTAATAACTACTCGAGATAAATTACTAAGCGAGATATTAAGGTTATTTATAAAGAGGCCGTAGTTAAGCGAGTATATAAGATACTTTAAAGAAATTATTTAGAAGAGAGGATAGATATTAGTAGATAAATATAAAATCTCTAATTATAGAAAAGAAACAGCTATAGAAAAGACGGAGAAGGCCAAAGCGAGCTACTCGGGCTAAGGAAATTTAGTAAAAAAGACCGATAAGGCTATTAAGGCTTATATTCGAAAGCTAGATTATAGTCTATAAAAGCTAGTATATATATATTAAGACGTATTTATTAGAATTGAGTTATAGATCGAGATCTATATAGAATTAGGAAGGAATAATGGATTTTCGCGTCTTGAGACTAGTGCGTCTTGAGTTAAGGACTACTATGACGGACGAATAGTCGGACTACGATTAATTAACGAAGGTTGGACTAATATTTCCACATAATTTATTAACGAGAAAGTGGATAGTATATCACATAGATTACAAGCAGTCATAGACGGTAAAGGAGCAATGACAGGATACTAGAACAGAGATTTACATAGAAATTTGTATGTGTGTCTCCGCGCAGTAGTCTGGCTTGGCGTTCCATTCTTTTTGTCACCCGCGAGACAGTGTTCGCTGGTCTTCGCTAAGACTAGATCTATCTACTTTATCATCTTATCATTACTATCTCATATTCCTCATTTCGAAATGCTCCGTTTGACTTCTTCCGGGGAGTTCAAGGCGCATGCGTTCTTCAAATGACTGCAAGGCACCGCTGCTCGTAGGCCCGGCGGCAGGCATAGATGCATCCGAATTCCCAGATCCAGTGCTTGGTAGAACAGCTTGGGGGCTGACAAGGCCAGTGCGCGGATCTATCCTATCAGGCAGCCCAGCCACCTCGGGAATATCTGCCATCCCCTGCTCCATCAAATCTCTCTCTTCGTCTCCTTCCTCTGTCCTCTTTCCCCTGGAGAAGAAGCGGTTGCGGTGAATGAGCGAGTTGCCCCTCCTCATCTTAGACTGAGAATCCGCGGAGGTGCGACGGCCCAAACCGAAAGGCGATCGACTATTGCCGGTGCGAGACTCTGCTCGTCGGAAAGTGGCTTCATCTTCTCGGCGATTAGCCTCGTCCTCCTCGACGATTCGGGTCTCGCGAGAACGGGAGGTTGAGTCTGTCCCGATATCGGGGACGCGAGCCTGGCTGCGATTGTCGTCTAAATCACCCATAATATCTGCAGAGCTGACATCTTTCATACCGAGAGAAAAGTCCACACGTTTGGACATAGCTGAAATAGATTCACCTCGGGGTCTCGACGTGCGGGAGCCATTTCTAAGAATTGAGCGGTTACGATCGATACCGGGACTGTCGGCCGCATTTGGAACAAAAGCTGGATCGCGAGCGAGTGATCCAGAGCGCGGGCCTGGATCGGACTTGTGTTCGTTGTTTGTACCATTCGAAACTTCTGCGATTCTGCCAGCAGTCTGGTGGTAATAGAATGGTGTATCCTCATTGGTCCCGGGTATACGTCTACGTGGTCCTTCAATGCCGATCTCTTGCATTGATACCATCATAGCGCAGATGAACTTGTTGCGACGCTGGAGGCGAAGTAGTTCGTTTTGCCAATTCGATTTATAAAAGAATACGACGTTGAGATTGACAGAATACGCCTCGACGATGTCACGGATCTCTGTCAAGATATTCGGTTGATACTCTCGCTTCTCTGCTTTCACGTACTCGAGCAAACGAGAGCGGAGCTCATCGATTTGATCTAGAGTAGTGCCGAATTTGACAGTCAACGGGACTGCTTCCGCAAGGCCTCCGGATCGACGCATGTTGAGGATGAAAAGCGTGTTCAAATAGCTGTTGGGAGCTTGAACGATGTGACCCTCCATCTTCTTGAACTCGGTGAAGAGAAGAGAAATCTCCTTGACCAGATAATCGTCGCCTTTCAGTGCCGCACCCGTATTTCCATATATTGTTATTCGATCGCCGACATCGAAGGGATGTTTGACGAGAACGAAGATGCAGGACTGTAGGAACTCCTGGGCCGTAGCGGAGAAAAGCCACGACAATGCCAGGACAGCAGATCCAGCACTGGTCAAAACGCCAGCAGCCGATGTGGAAATCAACGATAGGAAGACTAAAATGGTGATGATCAGGACAAAGAATAGCAAGATCGCATCAAGCTTTGCCACGACCGAGTCCAGATCTTTCAAGGATGCTGTGATCGATTTACGCTCCTTTCCAATGTCAACGCAAACCGCCTCAAGTTCAGTCATAGAGATATCTCCGTTCATGTCTTTATCAAACATGGCAAAAGCGCTGTCTGCTTCCTCATCATTGTCAAAGGCATGCTTCAAGTCTTCCGAAGAGATAGTATCAGCGTCCTCTTTGACAAAAGTCCGGTACAACCGTCGCGCAAGCACCTGGGACTGCGAAGGGGAAGACAGCAAGGTAAGCACGAGTTGCCGAGGGTGGGTGCTCTTTGTGACGGCCTTGCCGGTGAAGTCACCAGCGACATTGCCAGCTACATCACCAACCTTTCCGAAAACGTTCTGGGTTTTTTTCTGTGCATCGTTCAGATACTGCATTGGAGTTCGCGCTCCAGAACCTGACGGAGTCCGCTCCTCGAAATCCGAGTCCTCCATTGCAATTTTCTCCTTCGAATACTGATACAGCTTTGTTAGACTGCCGATCTGAAACTTGTTTATCTCGATGCGGTCGGCATAGGTTCGGAGATGAAAGCTGATTGCAATGAGCTGAATGATGATCTTCTCCCCAAAGTTCAGGGTGACCCCAGTGAAGATGGAGACGATGACTTTGTTCATTGCCACTTCCCAGGATTTAACCTTGGTATCTCGATTAAGGTGATGGTGTATCATGATAGGAAGGAAGGATATCAATACAGCGAGCATCCAGAAAAAGAGCGTGGCCGGAATCTCGAGTTGCTTGCACATGTCCCTCCATTTCTTGCTGTTGTTGGTAAATACGCTAGAGACGAGGCCTGCGGGCCATGGCAAAGACTTGGCCACAATTCGTGCTCCCCAGAGGGTGAGCCAGACTATCTCGAGCCAAACGCAGAACCAAAGCAAGAGGACTCCGCCCACTGTGGCTCTTTTGAATATCAGACCGCCGATGAGCAAGGGAATGAGGATGATCAACACCAAAGGTACGATATACATGAAATATCGGATCAGCCAATTGGAATCGTGAATCCTCTTGAATGCCCTGGCAAAATTCCCATTGGGGTGCTCTGGTGGTTTGAAGGTGGACGCCTTCTCATGTATGGGATTTGTATTGACGTCGAATTGGTCGACAGGTTCCGGCCTGGACCTTGACCGATGTATTGATATCGATCTGGTCAGGGCACTGGGTGCTTGCTGGCTTTGGGACCTTGACACCTTCCTCTCTGCTTGTAACATTGCCAGGTCATCCTCCAGCCGCTGCTCTTCTTCTCGTGACTGGGATTGTGAGGTTTTCCCCCCAAGAAAATTTTGAGCCTGGGTGTCATCGGTCGTAGACCTCTCTGGGCGATCATACTCGTTGGACAGCGTGCCCTCGTCATCTGAATCACTCGAGCGGCCATTGTTGTGGGCGGGATAATGAGGAGGTACAAAATGAGGTTGTCGTATTTCATCGACAGGCGTAGACATTATGGTTCTCAGCCGGTACTTGACGTGTAAGTTTGGTCAAATTTGATCGAAGGTGATTGTAGGGGATAGTTGGAGGTGGATGGAGAAGGATCCTGGAATTATCGGAGGAGCGGAACGCTGTGCTGCATTGGAGTGAAAATTGAGGGAACAAAGCGAGTGTTGGGGAAAAAGGGGGTGTGATGGAGAGTAGCTCACAGCACAAAGCCGACGGCACAAGGAAATACTGAAGAAATATGAATTTGAAAGAGAAAACATAAAGGTCTTGTTTTCATTTTAATCTCTTCGGTTGATATACGGTAGACAAAAATGCAGTAGCGTGGAATAGAAGAGGGTCCGTTGCTATTTAAAGGCTACCAGTAAAAGCAATCAATAATAGGGTTTCAATTTTTCACACCCTTATAGTCCACAGCAAACCAGATCCAACAGCACAATACAACTCACAAAAGAACCTCCGACATAAAAACCTTCAAGAAACAACAGGCTTTAGTATGTCTAGACGGCACTAGCCCTATGGTCAATAATCCTCAAAGTATAAGCGATCTACTATTAGTAGAACCTATTTTAGCGCGGTTAGACTTTTAAAACTGTTGATTACCGAGCACCGCTAGACCTATTGAATAAAATTACATAAATAAGGTAGGAATTGGTACAAAAAGTTGCGAAACCCCTATAATGATTGATCCGAAGCGGTTTCAGAGTCTAACTCTGATAAAAAAATCAGGTACGAGCCGTCGCCACTATCCTTGCAGCACATCATATCACCGCAAGCCTTTCATCATTCTCTAAGAGGACGATAATATTCTGTCCTCTCAAATCTGCTCTGTGTCTTAGGTATCTGTGATTCATTCTTATTCTCTTTCTACCTTTCTCTCTCTTTATCTGAGAACATCTCACTCAGTCTTTGTGAAGCTTTCTCGTAGATCTGGTGCCAAGTTGTTAGGCCTTCGACTAGGAGCTATTCATAAAAGCGCCACAGCCGAGGGTGGGTTGTTGACATTTCATGATTTCAAGCTCCATAAAGTACTTTGCTTCTCTTCTGGCTGATGAAGTTAGTGAATGCCCAGGAAATTTCGCCCTGTAATGCAATACCCTGACTCAGGGTCCCTGAGTCCATACCAGCACTTTTGAAAGATACCTTATCAGCCAGCGCTACCAAAAACAAACCTCCCACACCCCTGACACTGGACTAGAATTACTCCCTGGCCAACAGTCTCCGAAGAAAAGATTGGACGACGGAGTATGCATTGCCTAGCTAGACACAGCGTTTCACTTTCCAGACCAACCTGCCGACGTCAATTTTTATCGCTGAGACAGCGTCCTGATAAGCGCCATGCTAAATAACACTTCATTAGGTCAACCTTGGTCTTTTCAATTTAACGCCATTTCCCATATCATCTTCCTCTTCACTGATCACATCTTCGTCCTCTTCTGCTCCTTCTCCTTCGCCTTCTCCTTCTTCATCTATATCCAGGTCCCTGCCCCGCTTCAGGCCCTTCATCTTCCGAGTCTGCAGCTCATTCAAGTCTTGTCTGCCAAGATGTATCTGCCCAATTTTATCACCCACAACGTCGGTCTCAACATTCTTCTTTGGCTTGGCCTGCACATGGTAAAGTCAGTAGATTGTCACGTAGATTGAAGAACCCGAACAGCATACCTCGGATCCCTTCCCTGTCTTCATTGCCTCTTTCAATACTCCTTCATTGGCCTCCCTCGTCCTTCCCACTCGAAAATCGATCCTCGGCCCTATCTCCTCAACCTCTACCCTCGGAACTTTCTGCCCGCTCCTCTTTGTAACGATCCTCCAACATCTCATCTGTATCTTCGCTGGCTGACCATCTTCACCGTCCTCGCCCACGAAGAAGCTGATTAGTAGTTGCAAGCCCTCTACATCAATTGTTTGTGTCTCCGCACCCCGAAAGAAGTCCACAAACATACTCTTCGCCAACGTGTACTGATTCGATACCGGGCTTTCGAATTGTGCCCCCGAAAAACTCAGCAGCGGCTTCACCCCAACTTTGCACTTCTCCCCCTTGAACTGCTGCAAGGTCCTCGCCGTCTCCTGCACCACATACAATTCCAGCATGTCAAGCATCTGCCCACCAAAACATCGGACCCAAGTCATAGAGTGCGGTCTTTTCTTGCTGTGACTTCCAAAGACCATGAGTGAGGCGTCATTCTTTTGCGAGAAGAATTCAAGACTCGAGGCATCCTCGAACGGATGGATCGGATTCTTCTTGGTGAACCGGATCGCATAAGGTCGTTTCAGGGAGTGAATATCCGTGAGAAGATCGTTGACTAATGACGAAGAGCTTGTTCCTTTAAGGAAAAGGGTAGTTTTGGCATTTTCTTGCATGAGAGGCTCCTGTTTTGCGAGGGCTCGTTTTGAACGCGCATTCTTGGGCTTGCTAGGTTTTTGTTAGCCTAGAAGGACAGTCGGGTGTGTCACGAAAGGCAGAGGGTTTCCGCAATAATCTTACATTTGTCGTAACATCGTAGCTAGTTGCTAGAGAAAAAGATGAATGTCTAGTGTAGGTTTTGTCGTTGGCCCGAACGGAAATTTAGAGTATCCGGCTATTAGCGGTGCAGAAAACGTTGGAATACTTGGCACTGAGATTCTCACACACACCCCACCAAAAGTAGTACTGAGTAGATGAATCTTCTCCCATATCGCATTCTACCACCTTCCTCATCATATTTGAAGCTCCTGTATATCTCCTTAGCCAATTGTCTTCCAGGGCCGCACGTTCACGGGCGGCTTTGAAAGGGCCTTCAGGTCTGGGAGCGGGGGTAGGCTGCGCTTGGCTGACTGTTGCTGGGGCCCGGCTGGCTATCCTCAGCAATCGCTTGGGCACGGGAGGACGCCTTCTTAGGCCTCTTGGACTGTCTGGCCGGAGGGGGTCGGTAGGGGGGGCCCTGACTGCGTCGATTGGGAGGCATTTCGAAACACTAAGGCAAAACACCAAGGATCGGCTAAGCGAGATATACAGGAGCTTCAAATATGATGAGGAAGGTGGTAGAATGCGATATGGGAGAAGATTCATCTACTCAGCACTACTTTTGGTGGGGTGTGTGTGAGAATCTCAGTGCCAAGTATTCCAACGTTTTCTGCACACGCTAATATCTCCGTTTAATAATAGGACTGCATGCATTTTACATGCTGCATCGATCTTTTATCCACATATGGTAACGTTGCTGGATCATATCTTGGGGCAAGCTGATCATTGGACCAACGTTCATTTTGTAAATCGGAAGCATTGTGTGCTCTTACTATGCTGCTCTGCAGCTCAGAACGTTGATACTGTCTACTTTAACCCTCTCGCCTAATTTACGATTGGCGCTGATATACAGATCCCAATCAATATTCAAGATCATGGACACTCTTTACCGAAATGCCTCTAGCCGAAGTCGACAGACTAGTATAGCCGATCTTTGTACTCCCATGCTTCAGATATTATAGTAATCTCGTTCCTGACCCGGATGCCCGTATTCGATCCATTGATTTCTTCCAGGCTGATCTCCTCTCCGCCAGTCGTCCCTCCATTCTTCCCACCCTGAACATTTACGTCACGTCCCCATCGGTCTTTGTCAACGGTAGAGCTTGGATCCTCTAATCGCGTGAAGCCTCCGGCTGGATTTGTCTCTTCTTGGTTCCCACGCACAGGCCAGATCATCCTTGACGATGCACTGCTAGTCGTTGCTTGAGCCTTCTTGGAGCTCTTCGACATCATGGTCGGCGCGCGGTGGGTGCCTCTCCATATCATGGCAGCCAAAGGACGCAGGGAAGGTATGCAAGCAGCGATAACCCTGTGATCAGTTAGCAGGCTGACGCTGTCGTTTTCCCAATTGCACGTTTTACCCCATCGCGGGTTCAGCCGCTGACCAGATTGCGGCGTCCACATAGTTCCCTGATGTGACGACTAATTAGTTTGATTGGAAATGTACGGCGTAATCGAGACTCACATGTGACATCATAAGCCTCCAAGCGGGACAAGACAGTGAGGCGGATGATGCTGATGATGCAAACGCTGATAACGATGTTATTGAAGGCTATCTCATCATCTGGCTCGCGAATACTCACAATCCACCGCAGGCGAATATACCAGTCTATTCAGTTACACATCTTAGTCCTCGTATCGTACTTCCTTGTAGGTGATGCTTACTAGGATACCCTTTTGCCGATGAGTTGTTCGGAGACGCCATAGTAGGGGCAGAGGCTTTTAGAAATTATATCAGTCTCTGCATCCTCCGCGCTCGTCCTGGACACTCACCAGCGCTATAATGAAGCCGTCCAGAACAGCATTGATAGATCCGGGAACCACTAAAATATCATCGCCGGATACGCAATGCGAGCTGATAGACTTGTCCCAAAATCCATGGATTGGTTGACTTCATGACCAGTCAGAGGAATTAGTCTTATTGGAACCAAGGAAGGACTCACCACTGAAAGGTGGCAGAGCACAGAGTTGCTATGGCGTAAGATCCCACCACGCCATATCCAATATATAGCCAAATTCGAATTTCAGTCACTGGAAATATACGTCGATAAAAAGTCAGACTAGATGTCGAGTCTCCGTCAGCCTTGCATAACCCAGTGGTGTGGGCGAGGTGGGAAAAGCCCACATGCAGAGTTTGATAGATACAACCGCAGCGTAGTAAAGTATGATGTAAATATAGAGGATCTTCAGGAATTGGCTCGTATTATGTTTTGGGTCCGGCAGTGCCCACAGGTGTTTCCCAAAGCCATTGTATCGCGCCGCTGTCGTCAGCGTCAGCCACTTTCAACGACATTGTATTCCTGTATGAACAATTTCAAGCTCTGTAGCCAGAGAACACATACAGATCATCATGGCCGTTGACGGGCCGTAACTGAGCGCCAAGGACACGACCACCAAGAAATCATCCCACCAGAAGCCAGCTCGTGCAATGACTCTCGAGACAAATCGCACAATGACGAACAAAGTGGGCAATATTATCAGAGCTATGCCAGAGGATGTCACTCTTGAACCTTTGTCGGCGTGCAGGTCAATCCCAGGTGGGGGAGTCAAAGACATGGTTTTGAGTGCAGGGTGGTTGGTCACTCAAGGACCCGCAGGGCTTACTATGACCTTTCTCTGGTCACGCAGAGATGAGCGAGATGAGCGAGAACCCATGGCCTGTAAGATGAACTGCTGAATGCATGCCTGGATGAACGCAGAAGAAGGAAGGAGAAGCATTGGGGCAGGAAATGGAAAAGATGGTAACCCCGAGTCGTGGCTGAAAGACTAACAATAGCTGAGATTCACATGGAGAAGAAGTCGTCAAAAGTAAGCTTGCTGTGCCTCTGGGAGAAAGTCTGACAAGACATGCCGGGAATAGGCGGGAAAATGATAGGTAGGAGTGTCCTGGTTTGATGCTTTCTAGTGACGATAGCGGATAGCACTAAGTAATAGGATGAGAATCGTGATAATGAGACCGAGTACTGACTAATGTAAGATCTTAGTTCACTAGAATCTGAGAACGGGAGAGCGAAACGTGGTGCGGGGCAGATGCAACAATTATGCAAGGAACGCCGCAAAGTCGATGAGAAGCTGAAGTAGAAGCCTGGCATCCTGGGAAAGGCTAGAAGTAGTCTGCACTCAACTCTCGGGAAGGTTTCTTGTTGACCGCTTTCAGGGGCATAGTAGACTGCGTAGTAACGTAGAGTAAGCCCACATTTCAGGCGGTAGATCACTACAGTAAGAGATATGTGTAAGCACTGTTAATCACTAGGCCATAGGCTTATAAAAATGCGAGGGTACCGTGCTGCATGCACGAATATACCCTATTAAGCCCTGAAAGCTTAGGTACTGTCAGGGTCAGGCCTGACAATGATAAAATACGAGTAGATTAGATTAAGAGATATGCCGCATGTGAGATCTGTTTAACTGCCCGAGGACGATGCAACTCACTTATAAATAGGTAGCTGCTACGCGTACAGCCCCTGTCTACTAGGCGTACATACCCTTCACGCCTAAATTATGTCTCCGGGATTTAGCCGTTAGCCCCCGGTAGGGCTAGTCTGTTTAAATTCCAGCGCACCGCAAGAGCGAAGGAGCGAGTGTGTACAGGAGGGGCCCCCCGAAGGGAGGGAGGATCCTGTTCACTCGTGACCGCTCTGTAGGTAGCAAGACCACCAGCTTTGGAGCTCTTAAGACTGCGTGTACCTAATATAAAGGGGGGGCTGTACGCCTAGTAGACAGGGGCTGTACGCAGAACAAAGTCCGCAATGCGCTAAATCTCTTGCATGCTTGGCATTTACAAACACCTTTCTATAGCTTATTTTCTAGTGAGATGCTCAATAGCACTCCGTATGTATGCACGTATGTATAGTATTGACGTCGCTGTTAAGTAAAAAGCAGGATATAGGATATTCAAAATATTCAGAATATTTGCCAAGCATGCCAAGAGATTTAGCGCATGTGCAGGACTTTGTCCTCCGTACGCGTAGCAGCGACCTATAAATATCGTTGTCTACAACGTCTCCTCTATCGAATACGGATTTCGCGGCCTTTGGCGAATAGCACGATTATTGATGTTATTGACATTAGATTTGCCCGCGCACCTTATAGAACCAAATTACCAACTTTACAACTACAATTCGAATTGTAAAGATTTCTAAACATCAATAATCAGACAACCAATCGCTGTTATTTCAACGCTGCTTAGCTACAAGAAATTGACAAGAAAACTAGTTAGTCTATAGAGCGAGGCCGATTACGCTGCTTTCATTACGAGCGTACCCTAGGTATATCCTTCTTATGAAAATAGAGTAGGCAGACTAACGGCCTGTATACCTGTTCTACCTCAATATTGATATCGTCTAATAATGTGAACGGAGACTGATATCAAACTCTTTGAGACAGGATTGTCTTCAATGCTTGTTCCTTGCTGTCCATCCTTACCTCTCTGTTTTGGACGAGTCGCTGCGCAGATTTAGCCTGGATCCAACAACTACATTCAAGTTTCTGCTCACTAGTAAATTCCGAAGCAGCATCACGATTGTGACTTTTCCGATTGCCGGGACATAGATGGAGGCTTTGTCTTTGACATCGCCTTCAAAATTCTTATTGTCGCGGTCAGTCACTTGGTGCGTCAGCCGTGGGAGAAATCCTCGAACCTTTTCAGTCGAGAAATTGATGCACACAGCTCCCTCTCTGAGTAGTTTGGTTGGAAGCTTGAAGGAATCTCCGGGTACGCCGCAGATGACTACATCGCTGAGAGGCACGCAAGTCTCTAACCCCCATCCTTCCTTTTCCACCACTTCGTGCCTGCTTTTCCTGATTCCTTCACCTCGTGTGAATTGTTGTACCCCTGTGACATCCACGCTGTACACACAAGCTCCATCGTTGGCCAGCAAGGCAGCCAATGGTCGCCCAACGGTCTCACTCCTGTTGACGACAGTAATTGATCTACCAAATAGCCTATTCCCGTATGGTAGGATGCTGTTGTAGACCCTCAGAAAGTCCAGAATTTTTAGCACGGCGAGTGGCGTGCATGGCAACAAACTCTTCTGACTCATGTTCTTATCAAGAAAACGCTCGTTGTGGTACAGCTTAAAAATATAGCGATGGCTGAGGCCCTCGACGTCTTTGCTAACGTCTGTGACTTGCTGGAGGTACTGGTCTTGACGATTGCCAAAGATGGGATAGTACACAATGATGCCATCTACGCCATCATCTTCGTTTGCTGCTAGAACATTGGCTTCGAGGTCTTCTCGATCAACTTCTCGAACTTCAAATTTGAAGCCGCTGAATCATCAAGGTCAGAATATTATCTAGAAAAAACAGCACACCAGCCGAACTTATAAGCAAAGGTGATACAAACATGTATTCTCACTTTTCTCGACAGGTGCGGTCAGTCCAATCGGCGTATTTGCGAGCAGCTGGATCTGTGTTTGCAAGAAATCCCACGAGTAATGGACTCTTTCCCAGTTTCGAAAGCCCTTCTGACACCTCGGTCAATAGATCTTTCGCTACTGCGCCGGCCAATACCACCTGACAAGACATAGGGTCAGCTTTCTTGTCTGCAGCCGCCATGAAGAACAACGAACATATGATTACTGAAGATCAACAGAGCAGAGCCGAAGTATTCGATGAAACAGATTTGCGGGTACTCGTAGGGCTGCATGTCGATCTCTTAAGCGAGCATTTAGCGATTTCGAAATGATAAGATTGCTGGAAAAAAAGCCACCCCGGCTTCTACCAAAAATACATAAAAATTCAGGAGAAACCATGTTTTCTTATCTAGATTCATGAATTTTATTATTAATTAATCTTGTTTATATTAAAGTTATACTGATTTATTAATTCTATTACTTTTTTTCTGATTAATTTTAAGAGAATCTTTTGATAACCTTGATTTTGTATAGAAGAGTAAAAATAAAAATTAATTTAAAAAACTTGACAAAAAACTAATAGAACTTGTTAAATAAACTAGATTTTATATAGAAAAGACTCTTAATAATTAATATTCATAAATTTAGATAAGAAAAACATGATTTTTTTTTTTTGGATTTATGGTGGCAAAGCCGGAGGGGGCGCGATTTTTTGCCAAGCAATATTATCCATTTCGAAATCGCTAAATGACGTTTGAACTCTCTCCACGTTAGGTCTCAGATCACTCAATAAAATGCAGTTATCACAACAGACAATGTCTAATGTTCAGCAGTATCTGCTTACAATTCATAGTGACAAAGAAAAGGCACTAAGTATAGCACAAGACACAACGAGAGGTATGTTACCCCAGGCACGTGCGAGCAACCAATGCTGATGTGTCCAGGGCTTGAGTCAAAGCAATTGACACTGATCGAGGTTGTTCAATCCTTGGGCGAATACATTAATGAAGAAGATGATTCGATACGTGCCAGAGCAATAGACTACCTCTCCCAAGTCATCGGCCGATTGAGTCCGACATTTCTCTCACGGCAGCAAATACAAGTGCTCTGCCAGTTCCTTTGTGACCGCATCGAGGATGGAGGCGCCGTCGGAGGCCTCAGAAAGCTCCAAGCTTTGGGGAGGTTCAACAAGGAAATGGCAGCGATGACCTTCAGAGCGTGAGTAAGTGAGTCATCATGTCTTCCTGGACATGGGGCATGCGGACAAGGCTTCAAAATGCAAAATTCATGGCCAACGACTTGCTTCAGTCGCCTGGCGTTACTGAGGATCCTGACGTTAACTCATGTGCACGTAGAATGCTCGACCGTTACCAGGACCTGCAAATCCGTCCGCAAGCTCAAAGGCTACAGATACTGGAGCTGCTGAACGACTTGATGTTGAAGCACCGCAATGCACTCAAAGAGCTGGGTAACGAGTCCATTGTTGGCATTACAGACCTTGTTAGTGGAGAGAAAGACCCGAGAAATCTGATGGTCATCTTTTCGATACTTAGAGTTGTCATGGTAGAGTGGGACATACCTGGACACGCCGAAGTTTGTCTCATCTCGGTAGGTTATGGAACTCCACTAATTCCATCTAGATGTTATTCGATTCGGTGTTCTGCTACTTCCCTATTACCTTTCGACCGCCCCCAGATGATCCTTACGGGATTACTGCACAGGACCTCAAAAGCCGCCTGAGAGATTGCATTGCTGCATCAGGACACTTTGCACCCTACGCATTTCCTCAATTAATTGATAAGCTCGACTCTACATCACCAAATGTCAAGGTAGGTGTTAGCCACTCCTCTACAAAGTCACTCTCTGACATGCCACAGAAAGATGTCCTGCAAACTATCACAGCTTGTGCGTCATCTTATGGCATCACGACCCTCTCAAACTATTCGATAATGCTATGGGACTCTTTAAAATTCGAAATCTTGAATGTCCAAGAGGAAGACATAGCAGAGGAAGCACTGGTCTCATTGCAAGCCATAGCAATCAGGCTTGGTCTAGGTTTAGACTCTACGGATCCGAAGACGCCTTTGGCCAGGTATCTGCGACCGATCACAAAGGAGTGTAACGAACAGCTCCAAGAACCACAGCATAAACAAGCAAAGCCTGCAGGACAAATTCTTAGTGCACTGGGTACATCATCGCCTGTCACATTCTTCCTTATTGTCAAAGCTATCGTTCCGTCTTTGATGGCCCTTTACCAGGATGCCGAGAGCATTGCAAAGCAAAGAGCGCTCTTGGAAGTATTGGTACAAATATTTGATTCTGCAATTGCGGTGTACGGGACGCCCAGCATACCGGCCCCAAACACAAGGGTAGAAAATCCTTTAGAACCCTTCAAAGATCGGCTATTTGAACTGAACAGTCAGGCGTTGATGGGCAGTGCAGCTGACGAAGTATCATTCCGTGTGGTGGCACTGAAAGCTTTGCTACGCTTGTGCCTTCTTCGCAGATATTTGCAGGACAATGAGATTGGTATGGCTGTCCAATATTTCGATGAGATTGTCCTTTTGGAGGATCCAAGTGGAAAAGACGACCTGAAAAGAGAGGCAATCCAAGCATTGGTCGAGCTTTCCAGGATCAAGCCCAATCTTATTATGGACATCACATTCCCGGCGTTTATGGCGAAGCTGCCTGACTCGAGCCCATCAGACGATCAGGATTATCTCATTACCTTGGAGGGCCTGGCAAAGCTGAGCGTGGAAAGATATGTTGCTGACACGCTCATTCGACGACTGCTGAACAGATTGGACATTGTGCTACAAAACGATGGATGTTCCGCATATCCGCAAGCAATCTTGTCCACGTTACACTATATCCTCAGTCAACGAGATCTTGATCAAGATCCAAATCTGAGCAGCTATCACGAGAGGATAGTGGTTGGCCTCACTAGTCAGGTGGTGCTCGCAAGTGTTGGCAAAGCCCCGACTACAGCGCTGAACGAGGAACCCACCTTGGAGATATTGGGCCGTTTGGCCGTGATGATTGTTCGTGCCCTGGATGAGCACAAACAGCAATCCGTGGCGCTTCATATTTACTCATTATTCGTGGACGAAGCCGATTTTGTACCTGTTCCCTTCAGAGGTAACGTACCAAAGCTGCAAATGTCGACGATGATTCTTTCTGCTTCCTTGATGGCAGGTGTAAGGCACTCGGTGGGTTCAACCCTTTTGACGGTGCTTGCAATCACTCACAGAAATAGGTTTCCCTGCAATTTACTGATCCAGGCGTTGGCCCAATAAATAAAACACTTGCAGAGCTCGTCAGGATAGCTTTCTTAGAGGACGTGCCGCCTTTACGACAAGCCATTCTAAGACAAATCGGTCTTTTGACAAACAAGTTCGTATTGCCGCAAGACACGGAGTCAGTCCTTGGAATCTTGAAAAATCTCCTCTTGGGGCTGTCCGAGACCACAAGTGCATCTGAGAATGCAGTACGAATTGTGTTTTGGGTCGCAAAAGGGCTCATTCTACGACTTGCCCACACAGATGAGATACTGGAGCGTTTATTAAATCTACTATCCGTAAAAGAATGCGGTATTGCAAGTGCTCGTGGTTTTGGACTGCTTCTTGCACCAGATGAGGTTCTTTCGAAGGAAAATGGTGCCCAGATCAGGTTGCTTGCAAAGCAAAAGGTGTTCAATATCTGTGTGCCCAATATCGCCAAAGAGTTTCGAAGGGCGAATCCTGCAACCAAGTCAAATTACCTCGTTGCGTTGTCGGGCATCCTGGAGCACATGCCTACAGAAGTGGTTTTGCCAGAAATCGATACGATTCTCCCACTCCTTCTGCGAAGTCTCGATCTCGAGGACTCTGACGTCAAGGCGGCGACCATACAGACTCTTACGGTCGTGAGCCAAGAGAACCCTAAGGCTATCGAAGGACATGTTGGCAGCTTGGTCAGCAGGCTTCTCAAGTGCGTTACATATCCCGGGGTCAATTCAGCCGACGTACGGCACAATGCGTTGCGTTGCTTACGGGTATTTCCTGGAAGGGTCAAGGACAGCACTCTACTTCCTTACAAACATACAGTGACGAGAGGTCTATTGAACGTCTTGGATGATCCCAAGAGAAACGTTAGGAAGGAAGCGGTGGAATGTCGAGTGGCTTGGTTCAACATGGACGAGCCTCAGAGCGATTGAATGAGTAGTGCTGGCGGGAGATCAGTCGTATTATGTCTTGCATGGAACTGCATAATGGGAGTAGAGATCACATAAGGGATTTGTAAAAGAGCTTATATGGCACGTTCAGCTCCAACTTGGACTTGGGTCTCAGCTGTTAATCAGTCACGAATGGGGCAAGATAAAATACAGCTAGAGTATTTTTCAAACCGCCCAAGGTGTGTCAAACGGCCGATCGGCAGCTCACAGTGTGGCGTACTGGCGTCATCAACGATCTAATGTTGATCTTTCCTTTCTCACTCGTACTTACTGTTGCACGTGGGATGACTCAAAAGTAATCACGGCACGTTCTTTGATTGCTTGAAGGTCTGGGAATTCTGTACTCTACCTTCAACCGTTATCATTCAAGAAAGCACCGTCAACAAGACCACAGTCAGCGACAACAACTCTGCGTATACTCAGCTCAGGGCCTTGGATTCCTTTCCCTCCATACTCACCATGTCTACCATCACAGATATCACGGACGAATCTACCTTTCACTCGCATGTTTCCTCCCTCCCATCAACCGCCCTAGCCGTCGTTTCCTTCCACGCGCCATGGGCAGCCCCATGCAAGCAAATGCGTCTCATTCTAGAAACCCTCGCTTCATCCTACCCACCGCAATCACCACCAGTCATCTCATTCCTAAGTCTTGACGCCGAGGCTCTGCCAGAAATATCCGAGTCCTACGACGTCACTGCTGTACCATTCCTAGTCCTTCAGCGAGATGAGAAGGTGCTCGAGAGCGTCAGTGGAAGCGAGGCTTCGAAGGTACGGGACGCGGTTGAACGCCATGCTGGAAAAGGGGGTAATACTGGGAAGCTTGGCCTGCCACCTGCGTTGAAGACCAGCCCAGTAGGAGGCGGAGAAGAGAAGGGTCAGCAGACGGAGAAGACCAAGAATCTAAGTAGCTATGCGCCGGAAAGTGGTGACGCTGCAACGGCGCCTGAGATGTCGTCCACGCAGGGCCAGAAGGAGGAATTGGACCAGAGATTGGGAGAGCTGGTAAAGGCCGCACCTGTAATGCTCTTCATGAAAGGGACACCTAGCACACCACAGTGCGGCTTCAGCAGACAATTAGTTGGTTTGCTGAGGGAGAAGGGGGTGAGATACGGTTTCTTCAAGTAAGTGGAATCCAAACTGTGAGGTTCTCTGTGTCCAAGTGCTGAATTTTCACAGCATACTTGCAGATGAAGAAGTCAGACAAGGGTTGAAGGCTTGGGTAACGTGGATGATTTTGCTGCTATGGGATGAAGCTAACGAACAAGTAGTCCGATTGGCCAACCTTCCCACAGCTGTATCTCCAAGGGGAGCTCGTTGGGGGTCTTGACATAGTAAGTAAGCTAAATTCCTTAACATCATGTCCACTAATATGATTTAGGTGAAAGAAGAGTTGGACAGTAATCCGGGCTTTTTCTCGGAATATCAAGCGGCGCCCAAAGGGCAAGGGGGTATGTCGGCGCCAGAAGCTCAGACGGAACCGATCAGTACTTGAGATGGTCTCGTTCTCTGAGGTTTGACGAGGTTGAGCGTTAATGAGGATGGGTGGCGTTCTTGGAGATGTTGGGCCTCCACGTATTCATTTTGATGGCGGCAACGCTGCAGCTATAGCAGAGTCAGATAAAACACTCGAACCACGCAATCCGAAAACCCATAGAAAATTCGGGTTCATTGTTGACATTCTTATTACATTGAGCAAGGTAAAACACAGAGAGTTCTTGGGGACCGGGCTCCTCCACATATCTGCCGCGATAAGCGCGCTCATCGCTGTGTTGACTTAAGTATTCTTCTGCAGCTTCATAGTGCAATTCCTGGCGAGGACGATGATATCGCGCACTTGAGAGTGCATGGCTGGATGTCGGGAGGTGGGGAGTACCTTAAGGACAAGGCACGTAGAACGATCTGAACAAAACTCGTCGATGCAATGCTCATCAATTGATCAGGGATCTCGACTGCAAGTAGTAGCGGCTGGAGCAATTGCAGGCCTCGTTTCAAGGTAGAGACTTGCAGGCACCGTGTTCGAGTTGGACTGATAGCTGAATCGTACAGGTCCTGCATAGCCCCTCTTGACGTTCTCAAAATCCGGCTACAGCTCCAGATCCATTCTCTTTCCGATCCGTTATCAAGCCGGGACTCAGCAAGAGCTGCGCGTTATGGTATTGGAAACACGTTCAAGAGCATTCTTCTTGATGAAGGAATCACAGTAGGTCCTGGTCAAGGTTTAGAGAGTGCTGCTGGTCACTGACTATTATCATGGAGTAGGCTCTATGGAAGGGCAACGTCGCAGCCTCATTTCTTTACATCAATTATGGAGCCGTACAATTCTCCGTCTATCGTGCAGTTGCCACAACAATTCATCCTCTGAACATGCAAAACGAGGCCGAAGCCTTCATCTCCGGCGCTGTTGCCGGGGCATCAGCAACCACTTTCACTTACCCTTTGGACCTCCTTCGCACACGATTTGCTGCGCAAGGGCCAGATAAGGTGTATGCCAGCTTGCGAGGCGGTATCCGCGATATTTGGCGTGAGGAGGGTCCAAAAGGCTTTTTCCAAGGGTTGGGAGCTGGAGTGGGCCAAGTCGTGCCTTACATGGGACTCTTTTTCAGTGCGTATGAGGCCTTCCGATCACCACTGGCAACGCTATCTCTCCCATTTGGATCCGGTGATGCGACTGCTGGCGTACTCGCTAGTGTGTTAGCCAAGACAGGAGTATTCCCATTGGATTTGATCAGGAAACGCCTGCAAGTGCAAGGGCCAGCGAGGGCGCGATATGTAGGAGGAACAATACCGGTGTATGGGAAGGGGGTTTGGAGGACGGGAAAGAGTATCGTGGCTCGAGAGGGGTGGAGGGGATTGTATGGAGGTCTAAGCGTAGGATTGGTCAAGTCTGCGCCAGCCAGTGCGATTACAATGTGGACGTACGAGAGGGTTCTCAAGTTTTTGAAAGAGATGGAGAAGCCAAATGAGAAGATGACATGAAATTCTTTTCCGGCGAGCTTGCCGGCCGCCGTGCAATCAAAAGGTTTCTTTCGAGTCCGAATCTTTGGTGGAATCTAGCGCACACATGCCTGTCTGCAAGGTGAGTTGCTGGTATGCATAAGAGATTATGTGGGCAATGATTAGACTAACGACCACAAAGGCGGTGGTGGCGGGAACTGTTCCTCATCGATTATGGGGATTATCAAGGTGTTGCAGAACCATCTTCAAGCGTCGAATCGCAGGGCCGTCTTGAAGACAACTCTGGTTTTCATTTGCTGCCTTCAATTCCTCGCGAGCCTCATGTACTAAAGGCAACATGTCGCCCCAGACTTCATCGTGGTACCTATCTATGTCGATCCAAGGCTGGACATCCCCTAATCTAGAAAACAGAAGATGCCCTCTTTCATGTATGCCTTTCTGAGTCGCCAAAGATGCATTACTCAAATCCCAAGGAGCGCGAAAGTCAGGCACGAGATCAAGATGGTTTGATGAACGTAAAGCATCGACGAATCTAGGTGGCCCTTTCCGTCTTTGCAGTCTCTCAAAATTTTGCTCTTCCCCTCTGGCCTTCTCCATATCCAGGGTGCTGTTGGGCTCTTCGTCCATCGTAAATGCCGGGTCAGACAGTAGAGCTACGACAGCAATGCCATCATTATCTTCGTGCGTGAAATCTTGGTTCTCGTCCTGCGTTTTCCAGGTCTCCTTCTCTTGTAGTCGCGGCAGATGATCCTCTCCTATTCCTGAAGAGAACGCCGACTGCCGGTCAACATTGCACGCAGGCCCATCCTGTGCAAACTCGGATTCATGCTCAAGTCCGTTTGGCCCTGCGAAAAACTCACCGAATGCAGCCTGACCATGACCTCTTCCGAATTTGCCGACTTTTTCATTCGAACGGAACGATTCGCTTTGGTCTAAAGTGACTTGTTCATATTGTGCTGATGAGCGGAGTGCCAAGGAAGACTCGCCTATGTCTGTTGAGCTAGACGACGGACCGGCTTTGGCATTGTCGGTTTTGAGTGAAGACAGGACTCCAGTGACAGCTTTTGGTGAAGGTCGCGTAAACTCTTTCAGCAGTCCGGACGCAGATTCTCCTATCCGTTGGGACAAGATAGCCGTCGCTTCTGATCCCTGACGAGGTGTCTCTGCTGATGGTCGTCTGGCATCATTTGCTCGCTGGCTTCCCAAAACTCGACTTTCCAAGAGGGACTCAATGTCCGAGATCCCGTGAAGGCCAAGGCGTCCAACCCCCGCTTTCGGCTGATTCCCCATATGTATTGTGAAGATCAAAGATTAATGTGGGAAAGGTCCCTTCTTGTAGATGGGGTTGACCTAAGTTCCGTTCTTAGTACGCAACCTCTTCAAGGAAAGTGTAGGTGGGTTCAGGAATGTGGTAATAGAATTGATGCTGTTGTTCAGGCTTCCAAAATTTGGGGAGGTTTGAAAGTCCCGAAACGCATGATTAAAAAGTGAAACGTACAGAGTGTGTTCGAAGGATGGATGCAATATGTCGTAATGTTTAACACAAAACCGAGGCTCTGCTTGGCCTCAAAAGTGACGCACTCGAACGCACTGGGAAGCTCATGATCGGGCTTGGCGCTGTCGTCCCGTTCACACCTCCCAAACTCTCTCCCCCGTTCATTCACTCATTCATTCACTTTGCTTGCTACCTTGACCGATCTCGCAATCACAGTTACGCCGGACTTGATGCAAGAACATGGTACTGCTTGACCATCTATATAGAAGGTTCAAAGCGGAACAATAGTCGGCCTAGGCATTAGGCAAAATCCTCACGCGCCCACCTTCCGCCTTGACATCTTCACACTCGCTCTCTACCATACCCAACATTATCCCGCCAAACAGAAGCTGCAGCTGAAGGCAGCAAAGCGTTCTTGGGGCCCAGCGTGCTCCTGGAGATCAGGCACCGTGTTGCAAAATAGTGGTAGGTCGCGGCAATAAGTACAGCTGCGGCGAGATTGTGAGGAGGATTCGAGAACAATGGTTGCTCCCGAAGAGCCCACTCAGCCAACATGGAAATTCACCCAGTAAGTTCCCTAGCGCTTGGTGCTTGGTGTTGAAGTGAACCATTATCCTCTGGTGTTGTCTCTCGAGGCTCTGTGCTACGCGTTACACCTCAATGCTCGTGAAGTATACACATTATGCTGGAGAACACTCTGCCCAACAAAGCAAATGATCCGGGGCTTGACCGCTGGCTAAATTGTGAATCTAGGTGTTTTGGCGATAAGGGTGACGTTGAGGACATAACCGAAGGTGAGTCCGAAATACATAAAGTTTGTGCCACCACTGGGATCAGGCTTGCTGACATGATTGTCTCACAACAGCGGACATCATTTCCACTGTGGAATTCGATCACACGGGCAATTATCTAGCAACGGGTGACAAGGGTGGACGGGTAGTGCTCTTTGAAAGGAACGAATCGGTCCGTTACATCCTATGCGCAGGAGACCCTCAAGCGTCTTCGTGATGCGTTCTGAGTAGCTGACCGTTGGCAGAAGAAAACTTGCGAATATAAGTTCCATACCGAGTTCCAGTCGCATGAGCCCGAGTTCGATTACTTGAAATCCTTGGAGATAGAAGAGAAAATCAACAAGATCAAGTGGTGTAGAAGACAGAATGCCTCTCACTACCTTCTCTCAACAAACGACAAGACAATCAAGTTATGGAAAGTCTTCGAGAAGTCGTTGAAGGTGGTGGCGGAAAATAATCTCTCACATGATCTCACTCCGGGTGGTGCTATAGGAGGAGGTGGTGGCCCACCACGACCGAATCCAAATGTCTCATTTCGCGATGCTTCGTCTCTCAAACTTCCTCGCCTTACACACCATGATACCGTTGTTGCTGCGGTCCCTCGTCGAAACTACGCAAACGCACACGCCTACCACATCAACAGCATCTCTGTCAACAGCGATGGGGAGACGTTTATCAGCAGTGACGATCTGCGTATAAACTTATGGAACCTTAATATACAAGACCAGAGCTTCAACATCGTCGATATCAAGCCTACCAATATGGAGGAGTTGACCGAGGTGATCACCGCTGCCGAGTTTCACCCACAAAGCTGCAATTGGTTCATGTATGCAAGTTCAAAGGGCACGATCAAGTTGGCTGATATGCGTGAAAATGCTCTTTGCGATCAGCACGCCAAACGTAGGTTCGCTGAGCGATGCTGAACCAGCGGAAAGCTAATGCGAAACATTCCAGAGTTCGAGCAAGAAGAAGACCCGTCAGCGCGCTCCTTCTTTTCCGAGATAATATCATCAATCTCTGATGTACGGTTCTCACACGATGGTCGTTATATTCTGTCTCGCGACTACCTGACTGTCAAGATCTGGGACGTCAACATGGAGCGGACCCCGGTCAAGACCATCCCAATTCATGAGCACCTGCGACCTCGCCTATGTGATACGTATGAAAATGATAGCATCTTTGACAAGTTTGAGGTCGTTTTCTCTGGCGACGCAAAGAACGTAATGACGGGCAGCTACAACAACAATTTCATGATCTACCCATCTGATCCAGAGAGGGAGACGGAGGTCGTGCTTCAGGCTGACAAATCCGCTTTCAAGCAAAAAAAGATTGGCGTACCAACACCAATCAATTCATCTACAAGCCCCACCAATGGGCCATCGAACAAGAAGGGCAACTCCAGAGCGGGCAGCCCAGCAGCAGGAGCAGGAGGACAAGGGGGCCGAATGAAGAAGGAGACGGATGCAGACCAGATTGACTTCAACAAGAAGATTCTGCACATGAGCTGGCATCCTTTTGAAGACAGTATAGCCATTGCAGCTACGAACAATGTAAGCAAAGGACCCTCTTGGTTTGCATTACGCACTGAACACTGCTGATGTGAAATCAGCTTTTTGTATTCTCGGCATTGTAAGCAACTACAGCTTCCATAATCATTGCGATTCTTAATCATACATCCGGTGGTTATTCACTGCATGCATGCAATGCCAAAATGCATCCTTTCTTATGGATCAACCACTGAACTCGGACCGGGCAGGCACGAACAGTCTCAGGACCTATAGACGCAACGTGAACCAGCCGAATTAGAAGGCGGCTTTGTGAGGCATAGGGCGATAAAGGCATGGCTTGATGTTCTCCGGGCATAATGATAGGCAGCATCCCGATGCATGCAAGATCCTTACGGTGATAATGATGCATTCAGAGCGATGACTGAAGGGCGGTACTGTGGTGGAACAGACACTTCGTAGATAAAACATTATCCAGCTATTCGACCTGCTAGGTTTTGAGCCATGGGGTATTGTCGGGGAAGCACCTTTCTCTCCGCACCTACAAACCCTGGCTTGCAAGGTTCACCTTAATCTACTACCAACGAAGGCAATAAGTGCAAGACCTGCAAACCCAGCAGTCCTCGGGATGCTGGTATCCTGGAGCACCAGAGATGGTTTTCGTCTCCACAATGCGAAGTAAACCGCTTAGTTGCTTAATCTGATGCGATATCAAGTACATAAGTCCAATGGAGGCTTTCTCTCTCTGTGCTGTGCTGCGGATCAAACCGTCATAGACCTCGGGTCTGGTAGCCTCTCAACCCGAAAGCCTGTGGCTGATGATCAATTTTTGGAGGCCCCCTATAGAGGTGATGATCTAAAGACATGAAAAGAGAAATGAAAAAAATAAAGAAATATCATATGGGGACCCCGTTGTAAGACACTGTCAATTCTGGGACAATTACTCGGAAGAGCACCTCGGATATTTCTAAGGTAGGCAGCAACGCGGCCAACGCCCTAAAGTGAATTACTCTATTCGCGCGTATGCTCGGCAAATTGGCGTCAGGTACCGGGAGATCGACGGGCTTCCCGCAGGCGCTAAAGTAGATAAATCTGGCGGGCATCATCTCTTCGATCTTACATAGCTATATAAGAATACGCCGGCGACCACTGCCATTATTACCATTCTCACCATTCTAGCTGTTAATACGGCTCTTCTGTCCTTCAAACATTCAGACATTCTGGAAATATTCCCTTGGTAAGTCTCAATCTTCTTTTCATCCACCGCACAGATCCACCCACCATCATCACAATCCATCACAATCATGAACAATTATAGATGATACTGTGAAATAGACGCCCATCACAGCGCATAAAGGCTAACAAGATCTGCAAAGAAAGATCAAGCATGAATTCCTCCACCCAAGGCAATGTCGATCCTTATCAGGCGCCCTCGACAGCACCAAGTCCCCATGCAAATACTCCTCCCCGCGCCAGACAGGTCACTGCTGCACCAGCGCTTGAGCACGGGAAAGGGCAAGGGATAAGGAAAGCGGGAAGAGATTATCGCGGTTCGTGGACCCTGGCCAAGGTCTTCGGCACTTCAGCGCCATTGATACATATATACCTGCCTTTTTTCATCAATTGGCTTGGCATTGTCGGTCTTATATTCGGAGGCTGCTGCTCCAACGTAAGTTACAACCACCAGCGTCTTGCCCGCTTTGACCCAAAACATGACGCAGGTGTTCGCCTTGGAATCAATCATCAAGTGAGTGCACGGTTTTATCATTACCCTTGCTTACTTTCGCTGACTGCTGGGTCATTAGATGGGAACCAGAGAGCGGTACGTCGAACCTTGCCTTGCTTCCAATCGACATGACCTGACAATCATAAAAGGGCTCCTGATCACCTTCGTCCAGTTCGTTGTAACAGCGCTTGTCACATCGCCGACTTACTTCTCTGCCCGCCGTCTACCATTCTTCCTCAAGCGGCGCCAAATTCCCTTGACTCGATTGACTCTAAGTGCCTTCATGTTTTTCGCTGTGAACATGCTCAATAACTTTGCCTTTGGCTACAACATCTCCGTCCCGGTACATATAATACTACGAAGCGGAGGAAGCGTGATGACCATGCTCGTTGGCTACGTCTGGGGGAAACGTTACACCAGCATGCAAAGTAAGTCGGTGCTGGTGATGGCACGCAAGCTTGTGGCTTATGCTGAACTCACTTCAGTCTTCAGCGTAGCGATGCTCACAGCCGGCATCGGAGTGGCAGCCATGGCGGACGCTCAAGCCAAGGCATGCATTAACTTTTTTTCGGTCACAACGCTTTTGATGGCAGGAGACTGATCAATAACATGCAGGGCAAAACGAAGTCCACTTCCAGCACCAACATAGATTCCGAATTCATCACAGGCCTCGTGATCCTCGCTGTCGCTCAACTACTCTCCGCGATTATGGGAATTTACACTGAGATCACATACTCCAGATACGGCAGACATTGGCATGAAAACCTCTTCTACCAGCACTTCCTTTCAATACCGATGTTTTACCCTTTCTTTCCCTCGCTTCTCGAACAATTGAAGAAACTTGTCTACTCCGAACCCATTCAGCTTTCGCCTTCTTTGTACCGGTCCCTGTACATAAAGTCTAATTCGACATTCGACTCTGGCGACCTTCAACTTCCACCGATGGCGCTTACGCCTTCTGTTCTCGGGGTCGCATTTCCAAAACACGTCTTCAACCTCGCTCTGAACGCTGGGACGCAATTTGCTTGCATCAGAGGTGTGAACGCCCTGAGCGCCAGAACATCCGCGCTTGGAGTCTCCATCGCACTCAACGTCAGGAAGCTAGTCAGTCTGTGCGTAAGTCTCTGGCTATTCGGAAACAAGCTACCAGAGGGGGTTCTTTTAGGCGCAGTCATTGTGTTTGGGAGCACAAGCATCTGGGCGTGGGAGGGCCAGAGGATCGGAAAGAAGGATAAAAGGAAGGGAAAGATGCCGTAGCGATGTGGCAAACAAACGATTGAGCGGCATTCAAACGGCATTCATTCGGCGCATAAGCGTGAGCGATATCGAGATACCCATGGTCGGAGGCGGCGCACGACGTGTGCCATCGTATACAAAGCAGTGTCTGCAACGTCTGCAACACGGCAAGCAAAAAGGTGGATGAAGCTTTCTCTTCTATGAACTTCAATTTCATCCGAGCTCATCCAATTTGACAAAGATTTTCTGGACAGCATGACAAACCGGAGAGCTGCATGATTACTGGGCGTGAAATCTACCATGATTGTGGATATAAGTGCCAGCCAAGATTAGGTCAGTCTCAGGTACGAAAGCAGCTCAATGAAGAATCCCCACAGATGTGACATGTACAGATCTATTGTGAAGGCGACTTGCTAAGAATAAATCGCATCGGGCTATCGAACGTAGGAACAGCAATCGACAACCTCAGGAATGCAAGCCGCCACTGCGAGAGTAAACGGAGACCAACGCCTATATCACCCTCTGTAAGAGGATGTTTCCGTACTAGAAATACATTGATTAGGTCTTCCCTACAGCACCTCTCCAACGATCTTGGCAGCTTCCCGGTAGGTGCCTAGATTGCGGGAACCTGTAAGCAAATGGCCTTTTCAACAACCTCCGGCTTTGAGGAACATACCAAGCAACTTCTCACACTTCTCCCTCTCAGCTTTGATCCCGTCGTCCTCATACAGCAGATCCCCGAAGAGGTCTTCTTTGTAAAGTTCACTCACCAACCTGTTTTGCACAACATCTTTGCTGTGGTTAACAAGCAGGTGCATGACCGCTTTTGGAACTTGGTCAGCGATGGTTTCGCGGACGATGTTGAAGTAAGAAGAGATGAGCGCGCGGATGAGTTCTGTTTCCAGGGCTTCCCGCTCGGTGAGTTCGGGATCGCCTTGGGAGGGCTAAGACTTCTTGTTAGAGTCGAAATCTAACTACTTACGCATACGTTACTTTGGAAGGGGGATGGGGACGTACAAATTGAGAATCGTAGTCATTGTAGCCCTGACTTGACCTTGCAACCTCGTAATCGTCCTGACTGTACGCTGGTTGTATAGATGATGCTCGCTCTACATGCTTGTTCTCACCCCTTCGGATACTCTGGCTGAAACTGGGTTCGTTGTGGCTCACGTGGCGGTTCCCAGCTGCTGCGGCTGCGGCTGTACCGCCTACTGCATTAATCCCACCAGCTGAAGGCAGTCCGCCTTCCTTGCCAAAGAAGTAGTTGAGGAACGAGTCTCGTGTATTTCCTGCTGCTGCGCCGATAAACCTTGGTGGCGAGCTTGATCGTCCGTTCATCGTTGCAGCAATGTTGTTGTGGCCATTCTCACCATTTCGGCCAACAGCAGGAGACATACTTCGGCTGCTTTTGACAGTGTGACCTCGATGCGGGAGTGTATGTATACTCTTCAGATCGTCTGCGGCTTCTTCCTCGTCCTCGGGGGTTTCCGTGCCGTTCATGCCGCCTGCTAACTCTTTCATTCGTCTCTTTTCCCGCTTCCTTCTCTCCTCAGCCGCGACCGCCTTCTTCTCTTTCTCCTGCTTGTTCTGGATCACAGACGACATTGCTGCTGCTGCGCCAAGGAAATTGGGATGGTTGGTATTGATGTAGGCGCGCTGGATGGAGATGAGAGATTCCACGTAGCTGGATGCTGGACCTAGTCTTTCACGGAGGAGGTCTGATACAACTTCAATGAGTTTCGCTTGTAGTCGTGGAAATCTTGAGAGCTCAGTGGAACCACAGGTGTGACATATCTTGATAAGCTCCTCATACACTAACTCGACGCAGCGTTGGCTAGGTATTTCTAGCATCTTGATCTGTGGCTTGACCAGGAGATCGAAGGCGAGCTCGGGGACGAAGAGGCTGGGTCGAGGGCCGGTGGAGTTCCGGATTGCTGTTCGTATATCGAGAACAGAGAGATTGGTTGTAGGATCGATCGTTTCCAAAGAGTTACCAAAGACAGAGTTGAAAATGTAGTAGATCCTTGCGCCTCCACAGAGTTCTTTAGTGGAGATCTCCATCGATGTTCCGTCTATCGATGAAATGAAAGACGAGGCAAAGCGTGTCATCAGTTGTAGTATTAGAGAACCCCGGTGCTCCTTTCCACTGAACTGCATGTTGCCATAGCTGGCGAGCTCTTGTTGTGTTTGGCCCATCAATGTATTTAATCTTGCCTTAATATCTGGTAACCGGTCTCGGATATGAGCCATTAAGGTATTATTGAGACTCTTTGCAAGAAACTGAGTCCCACAGCGGTTTGCCATATTGCGATAAGCAGGATTGTGCCTGAAGAAGTCCGCTTCATCCTTCAACGCATCTGCCAAGGATTTATTGCCCTGTATGTCGTGCTGTGACCTATTAACCACCCCAATGAACCCAAGCTTTAGCGGATAGACACGGCCAGATAATATGTCCAGAGCGTTCGTGCCGTGATCCATAAGATCTATCTTGGTGAGCACGCCGATTGTTCGTCGACCCATCGGATCCACATGACGGGCCAACTTGAGTGCTTCTGAGTTGACAATATCGACATTCGCCGGAGATACCGCGAGTATGATACTGTTTGGTTTAGCGATATACTCTGATATCAGATTCCTTGTCTGCTTTTCTATATCCGAGGGTTGGTCTCCAATGGGTACTTTTGTCAAACCAGGCAGATCGACCAAGGTCAGGCTTAGGACATGAGGCGAGTAGATTTTCAGGTTTATTGGCTGCCTATTGATGCCTTTGTTGCTCCCTGCTATCCTAGCTGTCTCGTTCTCTATTTCTCTTTTCACCTCTCCAAAGTCCCGGAATTTTTGGCCCGGCATGTGGTGGAACTCGGCCCATTCTCCTTGCCCTGCCACGCTGGCTGCCGTATGAGGAACATGGACCTCATCGCTGTCCGGTTTATCGTCTCGCTCGCTGGGGACGTTGATGAGCTGTAAGATCAGCGGTCTCCTTGTTACAATGCCACTCCCACGTGGTAAGAAGTCGCGCTGTCGATAGTCAGTAAGAGTCTATCGAGGATGTGCAAGCATCAACATACACCAACGATGTTTTCTAGCACAGAAGATTTTCCGGAGGATTGTGAGCCTACTACTACCTAGAGACAGGTCAGCCGTAGCCTAAGAGCAATGCGCGTGTGAGCATAGTGGGGCATAGGTACAATCTGCGGCAGGTCCAGGGAGTCATTGCCAATGGTATTGAAGACCAGATCCTGTAATTTGTTGACGACACCAAGTAAATCCTCCCCGAGAGATGCCATTCTGCGTGTCCTTGTCGACCGTACGGCACTCGGGGAGTTTGTTTAAAGATATTGAGAACCGCGTCACGCCTGGCAGTCACGAGCTTGAAGCCTTGGAATGGCGTTGAAGGAGGCACTAGGTCAGCAAGGTTGTATGCTACGTGACATAGACGTCTCCCAGTTTCGAATGCGAGGCTGAAGTTAGAGCCGTATGGCCGTTGGAGAAAAGTGTTTCCCAAAGGCCAAGAATTGCAAGCTTTTCTTCGTTGTTTACTGGGCCAAGGTCTGGGGATTACGCACAGTGTGCGCAAACATGGTCACTTAGGTCAATTCCATTCCGACCACTGAACCATCACATCTCTCCAGAAGTAATAATCTTTCGAAACCCTCCTTGACTTTCAATCAATCAGGAAATATATCGTGCACTGTCTTACTTTTTATAGCTTTGCAGCTTCGCAAAGCCTCTCCATCATGGAAAAACACACGTCAAGTGATCTCTACAACACAATATGACCAAGAGACGTGTATAATGTTATTCTTGGCTCGCTACTTCTAAGTCCTCTTGTTTGTGGGGTACTTCTCCCAGACTACAAGGAGAGATCAAAATCATAAAGCTTTCAAGCTTTCAGATCTTTGAGCCCCAGGGTTTCATGACTAGTCCTCCTGATATTTGGACAACGCGCCGTACGAAAGTCTGCCCGGCGTTTTGAGTAGGCCGAAAGCAACACCACAGTTGGGGCTCTTTGTCCGCGAAAGCACTAGAACATCTGCTCCAAGCCGGTATACAGAGGTAAACGAGGAATATTTGGGGTCCAATGGCACACGGATTGCAAGGCTCAAGTCAGTGTAGAGGTCGCAACCTGTCTGCACACAATTGCATCGCTTCTTGGAGCTCTTTTCCCTCGCAAAGATTTCCATACTATTATGGTTCGAGCCAAGAAATATGTTCTGGAAGGGCTCAAACTGCCTCCCGGAAAATTTACCCAATCGGCCAATACTATCGTTGTTGCAAATCTTGAGGCTTTCCGTAGATGAAGTCGTACACTCGGGGACTTTCCCTCAAGAGTTCCTTTTCAAATGTCCATAGCGGACTCTCTGGTAACTCCTTCTTCGGACCGGACCCTTTACGACGAGAGCGTAGTTCCCAAAAAGCGGTCGGTCGTTTGTCGGCTGTCTCATCCATATATTTCAGCTTGTAAGGGTTCAAGGCGTCGCAGTCGTATTTCCCTTTATCTTCTACTCCTGGTCCTCGAAGCACAATTCGTGAGCGAGCTGAGGGATGCACATACTCATGCGTGTCCCGGAGCGATTTACCAGTCGACTTGCCAGTGTCCTGGTCCACTTGGCAATATAAGCCCTTTTCTGTCAGCATCACTCCGCGAACCCACATCATTTGATTGGGGAGACCTACAGGCGTGCGAGTCTCTCGCCCACCAAGAACGTACACCCCGGTCATGGACTTGTAAATCTTGCCGAAACTCCATGGCCTTTTTTTCTGCCCAGAATTTTTATAATACGCCTCCGTCTGGTCATACTGATCCAGGATATAGTCTTCGTCGAACTCGAGGAAAGGCTCAACCTGTGCCATCATCCAGGCCAACGTGATATTGGATTCGCCTTGATCAGGATATCCGCCACCAATGTTCTGATGTACGCCAGGGAACCAAATCTGAAATACCGGTGTCATTTTGGTGAACTTGGATCCTGGCGGCGATAACACATACCTGTCTCAGATTGGTTGCATTGTTGCGTGGCTTCGCCCACACACTTGGCTGTAAAACCATTGCGTTATTCACAGGCTCCTTGATTGAATACTGAGAATCTTACAGAGAAGGAGGCACGATGTTCATCCAGCGCCAGCGCTTGAAAAGCGTTCTGAATGCGGTTGTTCAAATTCGTATCGTAGAAGAGATACTCTTTCGTAGATCTGGTCTGCAAATGCAGTCTTTCAAGCCATGGGATGCGTGGTATACCTAACGAGCCCACCGTATCAAACACTCCGACCACCTTTATCTCGATATCAAGCCTGGTAAGATCCCGCTTCTCAAGTTCTTCCTCGTATCTCGGATCCGAAACACTTGGTTTGTTTGGGAAGGGGCTGTCCGGGTTTGCTGGTTGGTAATTTGGGTTCTCGCGGTTTTCAAAGTCTTTGAAAACTTCCGCGAGACTTGGTAAGCCAGCCTTCGTCAGAAGCCCAACGCCACCTATGAGACCCGCTATGCTCCGAGCAGTGAAGGCTCCACGTGAGAAGCCAAATAGAAAAATCTCGTCGTCCATAGAATAATTATTGCAGATGAATCTTCAAGTCCTTGGAGTCAGCATGTCTCTGTTAGGATCATACGTGAGCTGTGAAACAGGCCCCGGGGGTGTCTTCGTCCTGCGACAAGTCTCGCAACTCAGATTGCAGAGGAAGAGATGCGTCGGGAAAGACTCACGCATAAGCGTCACGTATGTTAGTAGACAAGCCTTCTGCTGTAGCCCTAGCGTCGCACCGCAATTAGTCGAATCTTCGACCGTGAAATATACCAGAAGTGATTACCCTCCGATGACTCGGTTGAGGATATTTCCCGTTGATCCTATCCCGGCCTGGTAAAAGACGACCTGTTGAACGCCTCTTGAGCTCACAGGCTTGATCGCTTCCGAGATCCGAGTGACGTTGCTTGGGATCGGGAGCTTCCCTTTGGAGAGACCCATGCTGGCGTCCAGCCAAGTGCCTAAGGGTTATGCATGAGCACGGATACAGTAACATGCCAAGCCAGGGGTATCGGCATCAAGATGGGAAGTCCAAACATATCCTTACCATCGCAGCAGACCACAATCCTTTTCATCTTGAATTCAAGAGCTCTAATCTACAATTTTTCTTCATGCAGTCGAAAGGGAAAGAATGGGTGTGTATGCGATGTGCTTCGAGAGTGTGCGTATGCCAGAGACCAAGACGGGAAGACGGGAAGACGTCGAAGCACCTGTTAAGCACTTTCTACTCGATCTTGACATGTTCGAATCTTTGCCGTCGTGTCCTAATTTCCGGAGTGTGTCCAGTGTTGATGTGATGTTGATCGGGCGGCTCTGTCGCACGTGCGTGGCACCTCCGCCTTGTTCGCTTTGTGCCTGTACAGCCCGATGACTTAGGGTCCGTTCACTTGCAGCCAAGTCAAAGGATGTAAAAGGTAGGTACATCGACCTCATTCATTTGAATGCTTACAAGACTACTGTCAAGTAAGCCGTTATAATTGATGACAACCTAAGTCTTGCTGGTTGCTGAGGTGTGAAGACAGCCTAGACAGGGATCATTGGCGGCGCGCGGCTCGAAGCATGGACAACAAAATTCTAGCGTGGGGTTCCAGGGTTCCGGGGTTCCTTCCCCACTTTCGTCATCGCCGTTGTCAATACTTTGATAAAGTAGCTAAGTACATTTTTATATCAATTCTTCCTCTCCAACATCACCGCAAGTACTCGAATCATGCGTTGCGTGACCTTCCCTTTCGCCCTCTTTGTTTGGATAGTCTTCACGAAATTGTGTGGAGCTTGGACTCCCCTCCAAAATGCCTTCAATGACCGGCCTGCTACAGCAAGCGAGAGTGTACACGAAGCTCTCGTAAAGGCTGCAATCATCCCCGATAGTAACTATATCCCCAATGCGTCTACAGCTGTGACTTTACCCCTTCAGCAGTGATTATCTACATCCACTTTCCTTGTTGTGTCTCTAGGCAACGGACAGTGCTTATCTATGCTGATACTACATTCTTACAGTCCTCGATGATTTCCAACCATCAGTCTACGTCACGCTCTCCTACGCATCAAGACACAAGACTGTAGATCTGGGAAACAAAATCAAGCCAAAGAAAGTCACTTTCCCACCAGTCTTCAACATCGACGCTTCGGCCATGGCCCCAACTCGCACTCTCAGAAGCAATACCACGTATACTCTCGTCTTATCTGACCCTGATGCGACATCCCGGGCGGAGCCCGTAATGGCGCAGATGTGCCATTGGATTGTCACAAATTTGACCTTGCCGTTTCAGTCTCCCAACTCTGACAGGGCTCTCGACTGGCTTTCGTCGTTCTTTTACACGGAAGAACCGGAGGATATTAGCGTTCAAGAGATCATGCCTTATTTACCACCGACACCACCGCCGGAGACGGGGTATCACCGCTATGTCTTTATTTTGCTAGCGCCGGCAACGGAGAAAGACATACAAGGAGAGCTCACAAAACCAAAGGATAGGCCGCATTGGGGTTACGGGAAGGTCGGCGCAGGAGTCAGAGAGTGGGCAGATGAGAACAATTTGGTGGCTGTTGGTAAGCAGAGGGTTATTTGATTTGGTCCAAGACGTCACGTTAATGACATCTAGGTGCCAATTTCTTCTATTCCAAAGACAAGAAACAATAACTTATCCAGAGAGGATCAACATCACCTCCATGATTAACGACGAAATGAAAGCTCCATGGGGCCACGCATTCCGGGAAGGATGAAGGAAGTAGAGGAGCTCAATGGATGGAGTACAGCACAGTCCTCAAAAGTCCGAATTATTGATTGGGCTTGGAGCCCCTCGTTCTCATGACAGTTTTACGTAGGTACTTCCAAAACAAGAGGATGTAGGAGTCAAAAAATAAAGAATAATCAACATATGCTCTATGTTAAACCAAGTTCAATTGACGGGTGATCCCTTGGTGGAGATACAGATTTTGTGTTATCTTTGACCATGTTCGGGAGGTAATGCAGAATGACGTCGATTTCCGCTGGACCGTGGTAGAAGCTTGGTGGTTCTTTCCCAGTCTTAATATACCTTCGTGCTTTAGCCTACCAAAATGTCTCCATTGGCCTCTTCGTATATCATAGTCGGCGCCGGTGTTTTTGGAGCGAGTACTGCATTGAGTCTGTCTAGGGAAAAGCCCGCACCAACAGTCATTCTGATAGACAGAGCTCCGTTCCCTTGTCCGATAGCCGCCTCGCATGATATCAACAAGATCGTCAGGTCAGACTATAGTGACATTTTCTACTGCAAACTTGGCCTGCAGACTCTAGAACGATGGAGGGAAGACCCCTTGTATATGCAGTGGTATCACCAATCTGGTCTTGCAAAAGCCACAGATGAACGGTTCGGCAAAGTCCAAAAGATTTTTGATAATTACAAGGAACTCGGAGTTGATGTCAAAGCTGAGCTGTTTAGCCCAAAGGAGATGAAGACTAGATTTGAAGGGTTGTATGCCGACGGCGACTTCACCGATGTGGACGATATCCTTTGGAATCCGTCGTCAGGCTGGGCTGAGGCCGCAAGAGCGCTGAAAACCACCACTGAAGCTGCTGTGGAGAATGGTGTCCACTATGTTTCCGCTCCTGTGGCAAACCTTCTACTAAAGAATGGGTGTTGCACTGGCATCCGGACCGAAGATGGCAGAACCTTCAGCGCCTCAAAGGTAATCTTGTCTACAGGCGCATACACTGCCAAATTACTTGCAGATAGTGCTCCTACGCAGCTGGAACTCCAGGTCGGAGATAGAATTACAGCTTGCGCTGTCTGCGAAGCGGCTGTTAACCTCACCGAAGAGCAAGCAAAGACTTTTCAGAACGCGGCGGCCTTTGTCCTTGATGCGGGAGAAGTCCAGGGTATGGTACCCTTCGAATCATAAAATATGGAGGTAACTCTGACCGCGTTTGTTTTTTTCGCAGGCGAAACAATGCCGCCCACGCCCCAACGGCAGCTCAAATTCATACGCGATGTCCCTTTTCGTAACACTGTCTATCACCCAGCTTCTGGTCAATCACTATCGGTCCCGCTCACCAGCATCGAAAGAAGTCGGTGGACATCGCCGGAGAATATGCCCAGCGGCATTCGTGAAGAAGTTGGTAGGGTCTTGAACGGCATATACGGCAAGGAGATAAAAGGGCTTAGGCCCGATGTCTATAGATTTTGTTGGTACGCGTCCGTTCACAAGGAGGAGCCAACCACCGCCTTTCTTACAAACAACACAGGGATGGAATTACTCAGGACAACAATTGGTACATCTGTCCGCACCCTCGCTGTCAGAATCTGTATATAGCTACGGCTGGTAAGCCTCTTTCCTCCTCCTTCTGATGAGCATCTGCTGACGGGCTTGTCTCTAGGTTCTTTCCATGTAAGTCTGAAATTCCAAACACTTTGTCCCGGATATTGCTCATCAATTCAAAGGGCTGGAAATTCCTTCCAATCATAGGTCAGTATGTAGTGGAGATGCTCAAGGGTGAACTGAGTGTAGAAATGACTCAAAGATGGGAGTGGGATCGGAGTTTCGAGGGCTACCCGAAAAATATTCTGCTCCCTGAGAGGGAGCTAAGAGACCTTGAAGATTGATCAGGCCGGCAGCCAGAGACCAAAAGGGACGGTTTCGACATGGTGAAAGGGAGAACTGGCTCGTGCAAAAGTTCAAAAATGCCGTACTATTATTTCACTCATGTACAGAGACATGACGGTCCCAAATTTTTTGGGATCAAACATCTCCCAAACCTTCCTTTCGACTTCTTTCGCCTCTATCGCATTTTCCATTGTTATCTTGATGCTTTTCGCTATCAAAAATATTGAAACGTCTTTTTCTTTTACAACTGATCTATTGCTTGGAGGTTTATGATGGAATTTAGATAATGGAAAATTTCCGCATGCTCACCAGGGTTGACCTTCTTGTCGTGCATCTGCATCAGCGTTTATGGCGACCAAGCCAGGATAGGGGCCTGTGGTGTGACTGGAATAACAGATATTGATCATTTGAGAAACTAGGCGGGCTCCATCGGGTATTCGGGATTGAGACCAGGCTTGTATTCTCCAAGAACTTATCCCGGTGATCAATACAATCATCCGGTTGCTGGAGACTTGTGGAAGAATGATGGTGGCAGAACCACCTTGTAGGTGCGCTCTCAGCCAGCAATTTGATGAGCCAATCTTGGGCCGGCTGACATATTCGTTGGCAAAAGATCAATTACATAGCTCAACATCGAAAGATAGACGGGCGAGTCTGAGCACTCCTCTTCCAATACCGGATCATCGCATTGAGCAATGGCAAAATCATCTGCTCGAGATATAGTTGGCCTGCGGCTGCTGGCGTAGAGCTTTCGGAATTAGCTTCTCTTCAGTAAGATGCGTATTGAGTTGCTGCCTACGAGTCGGGCGCAGCATCAATTGTGAATATATGTACTACTCATGGAAAATGGCTTGCAACTCGGAAAGGGGCGTTCATGACGACAAGACAAGGCCGGAACGGGCCATGATCTAGGGGCAAACCCAGCCTTTGGCGCAAGAGCCCCGTTGTAGTATAGTACAGGACATGGACGTGTTTGGAAAAATTTGGGTTCTCCGTCAACACCTATGAGCTTGTGCTCGATGCTAATTTTGACCAATATGACGCTGGTAGTCTGCAAAATGACATGCTCTTCTTTGGAAACGCGGTCTAGACCCTGTGCAACAAGTGAATTCTCTGCTTTCTTTCTGCTTCTCGGGTAGAGAACTCTAGCTTCTATCATTATCTTCGTGTGAAGGTCATGACCTCACCAAGACCTTGAACAATGACCGCTCCAGTAATGGGAGGCTCCAGCGAAGAAGATGCCCCGTGTTCAGACGTTTAGGGGGGTTACTGGGTTCTTGTCTCCCCATTGGCGAGACATTGATTGGTAGCTTCTCGGACGAAGTGATTGTAGTCGTGCTCGCTCTTACCCCGTGGCCAATGAGCATATTGCCCGCGAAGCGCTTGCCCCAATTGTTCTTCCGTTCAGCATCTGGGGACATGGAAGTAGAGCCAGTTCCTGGGGAATATATTGAGGGCGAAGAAGCAGGTGATAGTCCGGACGGATTTTCGCATTGGAAGTAGCTGTCGCTTGTTTTCCCCAGGTCGAGAAGGCAGTGGCGGCGAGGCAAATGACTGCGCGGGCGATTTGGCATAGTGCGGATATGTCTGCGAGGATACGGGCGCTGCGCCAGCTCGAGGGTGTAAAGGCGGAGACGAAGACGACTGCCGGGGTAGATGGGCATTCTGTGAAGGGATAGTCGTCATGTTAGGAGGAGTGGTGCATCTCAAGCCCCAAACAGATTTTCAGGTACGGTAGAGGTGCCCTTATGCTCTCATGTTGTGGAGAAATCAACGGTAAAGAAAGAATCTTTCGGGCTACAGACTCCACCAGCGTGCAGCTTCAGCTGCCCCTGTACTGAAGCGAATAGTCTTACGGCACCACTTTCGTGGCCCGTAAAAAGGTCATCAAATCGCTTTGGCCTTATTGAACACGTTGTGGCTGTGAGTACCAGACGAAGGCCTGATCCGAGCATGGGTGGGCAAATGACGATCCGTATTGTGAGAATCTCTGAGAAGTTAGGAAATGTTTCGGCACATGGATATGCGGTCAGTTTGCAATAAGGAAACCTCAGCATCATGACGAACTCATGATATGCATTTCATTGGTGTCTCTTTAGTCATCAATCGTAACGCCATGGGGTTGCTTGCCACCGTTTTGTCTATCGCCAGTATGCAGATCTGTGCGCCTTCGCAATGCAATGCCGAAATCTTCGCTAATGGACCAAATTGGCACTCGAGAAATCCTATCATGTTGTCAGCTCGACTTCACAGGTCATTAACGGAGAACGAACCGGATACAGAGCTTGCAACGTAGAAGCAACGCGCTCAACCTCTTCTGCAACACCTTGCACCTTGGCATCCCATTTCCTAAGGTCACGACCAACCACGTTACCAGCCTGCCCTCCATTTGTCCTCTCCTCACTACCTTCACCACCGTCGAAGAAGATCATCCCGTCAATCTGATCTATCCTGCCTGTCAAGCGTCCCTGTTCCATCATGCCAGCCGCATATTCTTCACTTCGCTCAACATCAAGATCTAGCAGTAAGCCAAGTTCGTTGACCCCGATGTTGTTGTACAGTCTGGAAGTGCTCAGAAGATTGTGTTCTATAACAGCCTTTCGAAGGACCGTAGACCCATCACTCGTCCTTGCAAGCTGATGAGGGGCAAGGCTGTCTGCGAATTTGTCGACTTCCTCTACCGAGAGTAGACGATCCAAGAACATCTTCTCTAGAATGCCAAATTCAGCGACATGAGGTGCTCTCTCGTCTTTGTATAGCTTTGCGAGAGTACGTGATCGTTGTGGGCCTGCGGGTGCTAACACAGCGCATTTGATAGCTGCAGAAAGAGCATGCATGCGTTCTTCTTCGGCGAGTGTCATGTTGAAGCTGACGCTATGGTATGCTGAGCTGGCGTCGAGAAACTTTCGCCGAGCATCAAGTATTCGAGCCTGAGAGAGATGAAACATGAGGTTGAGTTCTGGGTCCTCCACTTTGTAGAGTAGATTCTTTGCCCGGTTCAGGTAGCTTTCAGCGCTCGTAGTGTCATCCTCTTCGATGTAAAGTCGGCAGATCCGCATCCAGGTCTTGACTTTTGCATCGTCTGAGATCTTACGTTGTGATGATTCTAGTTGTATGCCTTGTAGCATCTTCGCGGCGTCAATAAAGTCTTCCTGCTCTTGATAGGCATCTGCCGTGATCTCCCGTATCATAGCATCTTGCTCCTCAAATGAAACAACCCTTGACTCCAAAATCTGTAAAGCGTGGGTCCCGACCTCAATCTTGGACTCTGTACTCTTGATTGAGCCGATGGCCTCAACGGCTGATGCTAGTAACGGTCTCGCCGCTATAATGCCCAAAGAATCCTTTAGTATCGAGTCGATGAACGCTATAAGGTTCGGTGGCACTTGGGAGGGATCTGAGCTGGAGGTGATCTGGCGTAGGAGATCATTGTAGCCGGACGGTTTCTCTGATTGAGAGGTTGACGGGTTCTCGAGCTTTGCAAGGGTTTCGCGAGTACTTGGAGACTCCATCGTTGGTTTCAAATTCCTCAATTCTGGATTCTGACCCCAGCCTATGTTGCCGGTCGCTCAGTACCTGTGTGCGTCCAGTGATGGTGACTTTGATGTGTTCAGGAATGGCCCCAAGCGTCTTTGGAGCTTGATAAGATTAGGGCTGAAACCCGACTACACTCCCGGCCGTACCACTATCTCCTAACAGATCACTGTCTCAAGATCAGTACCATAGCGAGTCAAGTGATGATCGGGTACGGTGGGATTGCAGCCAGAATGTAAATGCTCTGAGATTAGGAACCTTCCTCTACCAGCCTCTCCACTGACCTGACTACGGTTCCGAGTTACTGTCAATCAAAAGGCGTTGGGAATAAATTGCGGCCCCTTCTGTGCCTCTTCATGGCCACGTTAGTCCAGCAGTGAGCATTTGGGTGGCAATTGCAAATGAGTATTGGGAAGGTCCTTCTATCCCTGGAGGTAGATCACAGGCGTTTCAAAGCACGTAGCTCACGTTTTGGGCAATGTTGTATCTACTTAATCGACGCAAAGATAGAGTACACATACAGTTCGAGAAGTCTTTTATTGTGCCTTGGACGATACGATCTCTGCACGATTGTCAGCATTACAGGAATCGTGACACAGAGCGTCTCAATTACATACTCTCAACGTCCGCTACACTTTGCTGAAGGATCTGTTGTAAAGTCTTAGGATTCTCCAGCTCCTTTGTGATCTTGCTAATAATGCTCTCCGCGAGCTCCTTCTGCTGCCGTTGCTTGACCTGACCTTCATATCTGACCCACGAATCTAGCACCGACTTCGCTTCAGCAGCCAATGCGGTCTTCTGCTCCAGCTCGAAAGCTTGAGCTTCCAGCTTGGCCGTCTCCTAGTACTTTTTAGCCACGATCCTCAATTTACAGATCCGTCCCAGGATTGTACCTTCGAGACCTCGAACAGCTGTTTTGTAACATCAATCACGCTTCCCAACTCTTTTACGTTGTTGATCCTTGCCTTCACTGCGCTCGTATGGTCTTCCCTGGCAGCATTCAAGATGTTCTTGATCTTATTCACTTGCCCTTCAGCCCAGTCCTTGTACATCGGTCCGCCATAGTGAAACACAGCCCAGAAAACGCTCAATGTCGCAAGCATAACAACTGACTCTTCGTTGACAACATAGAACTCATTGCTTATGGCGAAGGCTGAGAGCGAAGCCCCAACGGACAAGATGGCTGTTTTGGAGATCAAAGAAGAGCCGGGCAGAGCATCAATGATTGACTGTGCCTTCTTCGATGGTTCTTGTGTAGGGACGTTAGATGCATATCGCCTTGAGGTCAGAGTGGTGGAGAGCGAAGGGAGGGTGCGGATTGGGATAGCTGGTCGGAGTCGGGCAACACCTACTATAGATTAGCATAATACTCAATGCCAAAGAAACGGCTTATGCCGAACTTGTAGAACTTACCGACAGCGCTCCTTGCCAATCGAGATGCCATTGTGGTTGTGTGGTCGTGGAAGGAAAGCTTGAGGGCTTGATGTGAAATGAAGCGACCTTTTCTGAATAGCCCTAGTGGTCTTGGCAAGAGAAGACGGTCACCCTAGACTCGATAAGATTAGGCGGTACATTTCATAGCTTGGCATTATCAACTTCAAAAGTCCCTCGGGAGCCATGACTTCTCTAGATCCGAGCATTCACAGGACACAATGCAGCCGATAATGGCCAAAGCTACCACTAGCAGGGTCGAGCCTGGAAAAAAGAGGAAGCGAAAGGATGAAACATTTCGTATCTCGAAGAAGAGCCGGACGGTGACAGTGGACTCCCCCCGGGAAGTCGACTTCCAAGATCAAGCTCTGCAGCTCGAAGAAAAAATATTTCAATCAAGGACCAATTACAACAACATACATACCCTACTACAATACTTGCAAGAAAAAGTTGGGGCATTAGACGAAGACATTGTTGCCGCGGTGACACTCTGTCGAGTGTTCTGTAGATTGATGGCTGGAGGAAGTCTGAGCAAGCTCCGAGAAGGCTCTGGTAATGAAGCTACAATAGTGCAATGGCTCAGAGAGAGGTTGCAGGACTATGAGCAAGGATTGTTGCGGTTGCTTAGAAACGGAGGAACTGGTAAACAGAGCACGGTATTGACTGTCGTTATGCGACTAGTCAAGGAGAAAGCGTTACACTTGAATCAATCTGAAGACGCTGTCTGGCAAAATGGTCTTTTCGGAAAACTTGTCCAGACTCTGATCGAGGAAAATGTTGCCGAAGAAACTAGGACCGAATTCGTGGAAAAGTATGTCGAAAAATACGACGACGTCCGATACTATACCTTTGCCTGTTTGGCGTATGTGTCAAGCCCACCCTCACCGGACATTTGCTGATCCGCTCCAGTGACCTCGCCTCCAACAATGGTCCCGATGCTCTTGTGCAAAACATACTCACTATCATGGCCGTCATAGAATCGATCCCAGAACAGCAGGAAGAGATTGGAATCTTTTACGTGGGGTCTCCCAACAAATCAAAGCGCGATATACACTCAATGCCTGCACATAAGAAGCAGGCTCAGAAGGCATGGATGGCACTGCTGCGTCAAGACCTTAGCAAAAACCAGCGCAAAACAATCCTCGAGCTGATGTCATATCGAATAGCGCCATGGTTTCTGAGAGTGGAATTACTCATGGACTTTTTAACGGACTCATTCAATGTTGGCGGGTCAACTTCGCTACTCTCGCTCTCTGGTCTTTTCTATTTGATCCAGCACAAGAACCTGGACTACCCCCAGTTCTATCGGAAGCTCTACTCTCTCCTTGATTCTAGAATACTCCACTCGAAGCACCGCTCGCGCTTCTTCAGACTTCTCGACACCTTCTTAGCATCGACGCATCTGCCAGCAGCTTTGGTAGCAAGCTTTGTCAAGCGGCTCGCCCGCTTAAGCCTCTTCGCACCACCATCAGGGATTGTTGTTGTAGTACCTTGGATATATAACCTTCTGAAGAGTCACCCTAGTTGTACTTTCATGATCCACAGAATTGGCGAGGGTGATCAAGACGAAGAAACGTGGGGAGATCCTTTTGGACAGGGGGAATCAGATCCCATGGAGACACATGCACAAGAGAGCAGTCTATGGGAGATCCAGATGCTCCAGTCGCACTACCATCCAAATGTTGCAACTATCGCAAAAATAATCTCGGAGCAGTTCACAAAGCAAGCATACAATCTGGAAGACTTCCTGGATTACTCCTATGGTACCGTAAGTGTCTTCGATCGATTTGGCAGGGTTGAAATCGCTAATACATCATAGATGCTCGACGCGGAACTCTCGAAGGACATCAAGAAGCCCCCAGAAGTTGAGTATGAGATACCTAAGAAGATATTTATGAAGCATGATGGAGATTCAGCCAAGGAGGACAGCCTTCTTGTAAAGCTTTGGAGCTTTAATTAGCATGACATAGAACAGAGACATCGCTCAGATCATCGCTACATTGAAGACGGTTTCCATGCAAGCATCTGTCGTCGACTGGCTTTTCATACTGTGTACTATGCCTAAGGACGTCTGTTGGTCTGTCGAGGCAAAAGCTATGGAGTACCAACGCCAGATCAAGCAAACCTGCTCCTGCAGACTTAGATTGCCCGAGCACTGGAACGGGAGCTGATTCAGTTGACCTAGTAAAACTAAGTCTGTGCAATACCAATCGTGCATAGTAAAAAGCCATGAGTATTATGAGGAAGATATGGCCCTTAGCCTGGACGCGGCCATTCACCGTGGCTTCAGAGAATGCAAGATCACGGCCAATAATGGGCAAGTCCTCCTCAAGAAGTAAGATATCAACCCGTTGTAGGAGAGTAGGGATTTTGTAGATTATAGAGTAGGAGAAGCTGCTCGTGATTCAGCTGTGGCGAGAGAAATGGCAATTGTTGCGGTTAGAGTCCTCAAAAGCAATGAAAATCCCAGGAGGGTAGAGACATTTTCTGTCCGCTAAGATTCTATCTAAAATGCCTCAGTCATCAACGATTGACTCGTCTAGTGTAATACCCCTGGTAGTACAGAATTCAAGACATCAGCGCCCTCAAACCACCTTTTCCCCTCTGGGGCGTAACTGCTGCTCGTATCAGGAGCCGGAATTAACATGTGAGATGCGGCCTGTTACCGAGCATGGCGTGCATTATGCCCCTTTGGAAGCCATCTGAATGGGTGAGGTTCTCCTCAAAGTCGTCGCCGTCGTCCTCATCGATCGTCGTTGCCATCATCCCCACTACTGTCGTCGTCATCGTTTTCAAGCTTAGACATGTCCCTAAGCCTTTGAAGCTTTCGGCGAATATGATCTGGCAGCGGTTCAAAGACGGACTGTCCTTCAGGCCCAGCCATGGCTGAATGGTGCCAATCGAAAAAGGACAGAGTCATTATCCGAGGGTCCGCCATCGAGGCGAGTTCTCCTGCGCAGTATGTGGATATCCGTACAGTATCCATGTCGAGACTGCCTACCATGTTGTACTCCTCCTCTCCATAATAGTCCCAGACGCGGAGATCCAATTGCTCTAGATTCGCCGTGAGCTCTGGGCGGGTAGCCAGATCTGCACATGCTTTTTCAAAGGTCGATACCTTGACATTACAGAATCTCGGGATATCTTCCCCTCCCTCGTCTTTTTGGACTCCGTAGGGCACCGGAATCGATATCGTCTTAATGAGATCTCGAACATGGACCGGACGATCTTCAAGGAATGGAACAAAAGTGTCTATTGTATCCACGTAGAAGCGATTATGTGCGTAAAAGATGTAAGAGGCCTCGTTGTAAACCTGACGACACACGTAGAAAAGCTGGAGTTGGACTTTAGAATCCAGAGTGTAAGTGGTTCTCCGTTCTTTGTGGTGGATTGGATCCCAATCTGGTGTCAAGTACGACCTCCGTCTAGAGCCAGCCTTGTAGAATCCTGGGTAAAGTTCCCGGATGAGGATGCCACCAATGTCATCACGAATGAACTTTGAGTCCTTACCCTCGGTATACGTGTCCTCGTCGACGAGAAGATGGGCGTAAATACGATTACGTATCTCGGAGGGAAGCTCGAGGAAGTTGGAACTCAGATGCTGTGCTCTATACATCGTTGGTCAAAACATGTAGCTTGTGCCAAAGGGATTGAAGTGTCTTACGGGGGACCCGCCATCGCAATGCATCTCTTGAAAGAACAGCTGCTTCAAACCATGAGTCTTGGCAGATACAGTGTCAGTGTCGCAGTTGGGCTCCTGGGGTTGGAGAATCTAGTGCATGAGAAGGGATTGTTTGGTAGCGTAACATGGCCATGCAACAGAAAGAGTGGGGAGAAGCAGAAACGCCAAAATTCCCTAACAAGGCTGAGCCAACTGAACGTCAACAACGGAGTGGCTTGGCTTTTGATTATTGTTCAACTTTGCCCCAATGCCTTCAACATTACCAAAAAGGCATTTGAGAAGTTATTCAGACATTCTGCGAATCAAGTGAATCGCTGTTAGGCAGGCTGACAGGGCCAATTGCCTCTTCACTACCACTACCATTACCACTACCACAATCACCAGCAAACCCCTGGATCGCGGCTTTGTAGCGTCGTTCATTTTTCATTTTCCGTTCTACAGCAGACGACATGACGCTCAAAGATATCCTCAAGAAGAAAGAAAAGATCAAGGAAGATGTCACCCCAAGCGTGGTGTCTCCACCGGAACCCGACCCTATTGCTGATGGATTTACCTTTGTTAGATCAGACACAAACACTCAAGAGCTGATCAGCCCTCCAAGCTTTACCAGCGAAGTTGCCGAGCCCGCACCTCACAAGAGCGAGCATCGTCTTTCCAGCCACTTTTCCCGTCTGCGAAGCTCTTCCAATGCATCTACACAGTCAGCACAGTCCAGGACCTCACCCAAGAGCGAGAAAAGGTTGTCCCAAAGGCTACATTTGAACAGATCACGCACTCCGAGTTCGAGCTCTGTCAATGTGCCTACGGATTTACCGCATATACAAGATGTCGCCGTTCAGGGTGAAGAGAAGGAAGCACAGTGGGAAGAAAGAGCGACAATGCTGGCAAAGGGAAATCCGAACAACAGGCCTGCCTCCCTAGATGGGCAGCCGAAAGGTGTGACTTGTGAACAGAAGTTCTACCAAGACAGATTCTCGCAGGAAACACCGACAGACCCGGAGCAAAGTCTCAGCGTTCGTCCAGGAACGACCCGCAGCGTCAGCTCTGCGAAGGGCGATGAAAACATTCAGGAAGCCATTCGTCTCCATGAATCAGGGGATCTAGTCAACTCAACAGCCATGTTCGGACGTTTAGCAGATAGCAACGCTATGGCTCAGATTATGTTCGGTCTTGCTCTGCGCCATGGCTGGGGAGTCCCCCCTAACCCTCCGCTCGCCATACAGCATCTATCCGCAGCAGCATCCTCTTCTGCATCCGTTGAGTCCGCTGCTCTCCATTCCGGTATGAAGAAGGGAGGAGCTGCGAAGGGAGAGTTGGTGCTTGCGATCTACGAGCTTGCGAATAGCTTTAGGCACGGTTGGGGCGTACAGAAGGACGTGGTTGCGGCGAGGAAGTATTACGAGACGGCCGCGAACCTTGGGGATACGGATGCAATGAATGAGGTTGCGCGGTGCTATGAAAGTGGGCAAGGTGGTCCAAAGGACAGAGTGAGTCCAAACTTTCTTTTCATTCCGCAAACAAGGAGACTTGAGAAGTCGAAAGTATGGAGAGAACACTTCGTTCTTCCTTTAATCGCCCAGGTAGATTTGGAGTCACCCTCACATTCTCACTGCTGTCTGGCGGCTTGCTTGACTGGCTGTGAGAAAAGCGGTTGTGATCCCTCAAACATATCCCCAAAGCCAGCGGCGCATCTCAACCAGGCAGACCTTCGATCCTTCATCGATTACCTCTCTTCCAGGCCAATCCTTCCCCTTAACTCCATCGCATCCCATCACATCACATTACATCACATCAGGCATCAACGCATCCTGCTAATCTCATCTAGTATACAGCAGCGCAATACTACCGTCTCGCCGAACAGAACGGATCCAAAACCCTCGGAAACAGTTGGTAAGCCTTTCTTCCCTATCGTGCAACCCATTATCTTCCGTGTATTCCTTCTCGGGTGGCAATTCATCCCATTCGAAATATACTATTTTCGTCGTGCTAGCCTTGCGACCATTGTTCGGGCAGCTGGGTGACCTTGTTTCATTCATTCTGATCGAATGTTGGATGATTGGCTCGCACACTCCAAGACCACTCCACCCTAAACATGACTTACTGCGGCGTGAAGGATTGGTCTATCGCCGCTTCCCAACCGAATTATCCAAATGAACCACGTAGAAAGTAGGAGGACGAAGCGAGCTCGCCGAGTCCTGGATCCATGATGCCGACCGATGTTGTTGATCTCGAGTCCAGGCTAACGTTGCTATTTCGGGACAGGATATGGAAGGACAAGTATAGTCCGAAAACGAAGGACTCGATTTAGAGATGCACGCGTCATGTCACAGGCTGGACTGATGCGCGACGTACATGGGCGCTGGACGCAGGTACGGTTTTGGATTTGGCGTTAGGGGCGTGGTGGGCGTAAATAGTAAAGGCACGGGCTATATATCTACGAGAGAGAAAACAAAGAATTTGCTAGGCACAAAGCCTTGGGTATCTACGTTGTCGTCTTACATGTGTATGTGAAGAAATTTCGATGAAGGGGAAGAGTATGTAGATTTGAGTGAGGACGAATCACTGGCTAAGCTCTTCGACATCAAACCGTGGGCTTCATACCCTTAAAATCTTGTCTCGTATCTAGAAGTAGACATCAAGAAGTGAACAAAAAGTGCGCACTATGCGCATTCCTCTCGAAGCTCGGTCTCATCAAAGTCACTGAGTCAATATCCCGTGGAGGGTGAACCCCCTCAAACCCTGTTCATATCGCTTGACTCGAAAGCAAGAAAATCATCAAACAATCCCAACGCTCGCTGAAGAACAGCAGAAAGCCTCTGCCGTAGGTCGTGAGCCGTGAGGTCTGGTAGAAAGTAGGTATCATTGGCATGCTCGCTTAATCGCAGATACTGAATAATTCATCAATCCATCCTCAACGATTGTTTACCCCTTGCGGGGTCTGTGGTTGCGTGCTGAACGCGATATAGGTCTTGCTCATGATCATCATCGTAAAGGACAAAAGAGATTCGTAGTTCATAGTTCGTGGTCGATAAGTGGATGACAGCGACAGACCGCTCCTCCATCAGTCACTTGTCGTCTGTCATGCTTGTCGAAACATTGATCAAAAGCTGCTTCGTAAGGGCTAGCTCAGCGGTTCCCCACTCCGCCTACTGCCCTCGGCGACCATTCTTGCGAAGTCCCTGACCAGGTTTGCGGGCACTTCACTTCGCATGAGTGACCTGGTGTAAACCTCGGCGGCGGGACCCTTCTTCTCCACGCGGATGGCCGCGAAAAGTTCTCCAAGGTTTCTTCTATCAGAGGGTGGTGCATTCAGCTCGGGCTCGTCGGCGAATAGATCATCAGACATCATATGACTGTACTGATCTGCGGAGAGAGAGAAGAGCTGTTCACGCTCTTGCTGCTGAGTTGGGGTCGTGAGGTCATTGTGTAACGCTGCCAGAGGTGAAGCGTTTGGGTGGCTCGAAAAAGGTCCCGCTTGTGCCATACCAGGGTTCTTGGAGGTGGGCCTAGAAGTATGACAAGGCTCGAGGCCCGCATCTCTGTAGATGTTCTTTAGGATCGCTGAGGATGCCACTCGGACATCATCTGGCATGCGCGGGATGACAGCAGTTGCTGACGATGTATTCGACGCTACCCAGGCGCCACAAAGCAGGAGCATCAACAGAAGTCCCGAAGCAGCTGAAGTATCTTCATTCTTCATAGGCGGTGGAGTCTCCTTCTTTGGTAGGACCACGAGGGATGCTTCGTTTTTAGGCTCGGTGTTCATGATAGGGTTCTCGATGAAAGCGAAGTCGTCAAACGAACTTGTATCCATCGTAAGATGCTCGAAATCAGGAAAGCCGGCGGATATCCCAGCAGAGCTAGGTTGAGCGGACACTGACATGCTCTCAAGCCTCTGCATTTCCTCCGCTAAGCAGTTGTTTTTCTTGCGCAGCTCGGCGGTTTCAAGCGTATGCTGTCGAACAAGCTCCTCTTTCTCCCTTGCGAGACCCTCGGTGAATTGATGCCATTGCTGGCGCTCATGTAGCCACCTTTGTTCCTGTAGCCGCATGTTCTGAATATCCTCCTCCAACCTATCAATCATGGTGATGAACTGTTTCTTCTCTTCCTCCAATTTCTCAGTGTGATGCTTCTTGCGGCATCGAGAGTCGAGACTAGATTGGCGTCAGTGTGGATACGTGAGGCCCAGCAGTGTGAGGTCATCATACGCTGCTTGCCTGTTCCTCAGTAACCGCTTCTCCTGCTTGAGTGTCCTAATTTTCTCTTCATTAGTCGGATCGGCAGCGGCGATCAAGAGGTCGATGGTGTGGACATTATGACCGTCCGGAATATCGAAACGAGCATTCTTCTTGCGAACACCGTCCCGCCTCAAGTGCGGTGCATTGTGATTGAACGTCGGACTTTGGACATGCCCACTCCTGGGTATCTTTTCCACCGCGTCTGAGGACGATGTGGACCACTGAGGAGAAGCCGCTGATACAGCATCGTGGCGATAATCTGGAGCCGAGGCGCGAGGTAGTCCTCCGTAAAGATTCTGGTGCGATGGTTGGGCAACATCATGATTGAAGGGCTCTTCCGGTTTGACGTCGTCAAGATCTGTATTGAAAGCGGTAAAAGCTGCAGCATTTGAGGTATCGGAGCCCACGTTGCCTTGGGAATTCCATGCTGCCATGTGGCTGGCATAACTTGGGTATTGAGGAATCCTGGGTGCAAAATGATTGGCGATGTGCTCTGAGAATAGAGGCGCTTGATGATTCAACGATGCGGTAGGAGTGGCATCATTGTTGTAAGCGAAATCGGGCCAGGCTTGCTGTGCGGGAGAGAGCAGGGAGGCACTGCTGGCGAAAGATTGTCTTCGTGGGAGGTTGTCCATTGCGGCGGCGTCGAAAGAAGAAGAGTCGAGAATGTGGTCGTCGAGAACAGAGTCGTCTTCTTGGTCAAGTTGCCCTTGTCCTTTCCGCCAGTACTGCATATGCAGGGGATTCGGAGGCTCATTTGAATAGAGCTGGCTGCTGGTGGCCAAGCCGGCCATGGCTCTTGTTGAAGTTGAGAATTTCCCAAAGAGGCGGTGAGCGGAGGCGGCAGGGGGGAAGGGGGAGGGGGAGGGGTTTGGGGATTGTCAATAATGATGGCCAATGTGCCGATCCAGACCCGAGCAAAGTTGAGTTTTCAATAGATTGGCAGTAGTCTGGTGCTGGAAATAGATGGCTGTGGGATAAAAATAATAGTGATAGTGATATTAGAAGTGAACAAAAATAATGATGATGATAATGATAATGACGATGATGATGATGATGATGATGATGATAATGATTATGATGATGATGGAAGCAGAAGAAGAAGAAGAAGAAGAAGAAAAAAAGAGGATGTGCGGAGATCAGAGCCAGGAAGAGACTGGGGAAAGAGGTAGTGAAGCAGATAGCAGCCGTTTTCCTTTATGACTAGTGCTAAGTTATGCACGCGTCCGTAAAATCCGTCAAAAGTCATGGATGATGGAGGACCCTCCCACCTGAGGGCCACCAAGGGAACTTGTAGGGCGATCCGTACCGGCGTATGGAAGATCAAGCGAGGCAAAGCATGGGATGGGATAGGACGGGATAGGGCAAATATGTGATCGATTATCGCGGCTTTCTTTCCTCTTGGTCTCTTCTCTGCTGCTGCAACCTTAGTGTGGGGAGTAAGGCCGTAGGAAAAGCAAGAGAATATGAGCCAAGGAGATGACGGTGATGACGACGTAGGTAGGTACAAATTGAAGTGCAGAAGAGTGGTGTAGGAGTGCAGAAGTGCAAGAGTTGCAGGAGTGTGCAGGAGTGCAGCAGCTGGTCGGGCAGAAGAATCTGGGTGCAGTAGGTATACTGTCCAATACTTTGGGGGTCAGTATGGGTATTAGTTTGGGCAGGCCTGCATATGACTACTTTACGACGGGAAAAGGATTGAAAATTCATCTTTGTAGCGAATTGCGAAGCAGCAGCTGAGCATATTATTTTCCAACCCCGCATCTAGGAATTTATGCTTTGCTGCATGACCTCCTCTGCGGTCTGCAGCCTCTGCTGCGACTCATCTTCTACCTTACTTCTGACCCATCATCCATCCCCCTTTCAAGCTGACCAAGGCACCAGAGTCGAGGTCACCGATACAAAGATACAAAGATGCAAAGATACAGAGATGCAACAAGCTGTCGATTGATTGGCCCGAGGTGCAAAGAAGTAAAAGCATCAAAACTTCCCTGGCTTTCAATCACACCCCTCTCGCGAATCACAGCAAGGACCCGGGCATGGATTTCCTCTTTCGCTTCACATTTACTACTCATACTGCTCCCAGAAATTCCATGCTGGAGATAACTGCCTAACGAAAGACTATCGATCTGCTTCTTGTCCCCATGGGCCCATCCGCCATCGCATGTGCTTAATGCTTTTCTTCCCTTCTCCCACCAAGGGCCATGTGATGACGATACATTGCGGACAGTGGCGAAAGGAAGCACGTTGGATTCGCCAGTCTCGTTGGAAAACAGTTGTACTCTACCAAACAGAAAGTCCATCGTCGGATATAGACTCTCATTTCCTAGGATTGCTACAAGTCCAAGGTAGCTGCAAAGATCCCCGTGTCCCGTGTGTTCATGCTGGCTTCCTTACGGGCCGCCGCAGACGCATGCTTCTATGCAAGTACCTCTTTGACAAATAAACTATACCAAAACCTTTGTCTGCTCTCCCTCCTACCCCTTCAGACCAATGCATCTCAAGCTTCGCAGCGACTGAGCCCTTCTCTCATACCAGTCCATTCACTTAAGAGTGTAAAAGCCTGCTGGGGACACTGTATGCCGATTCAGTCGACCCATGCAGCTTGGGCTAGTTCATTCTCAATCTCACACCCGTACCTGTGTAGAACGCTGGGTAATACAGCGGTTAAATCTACATTTGTTTGCTGTTTTCCTGAGCTCCCTTTGCTTTTTCTTAAGACGCGTTTCGCAATCATTTGGACGTAGATCGCCAATATACGTTCGAGATATCTCTGTCCGCGAGATTCCCTGTCAATGTTGTTACCTCGGCCCAATGAAGGGAGCCGCCGTATAAGGGGTCTGCATCCCGAATAAGAAACCGTCAATCTTGATGCTATCGAACAATCCGGCACCTGTCAGAATATGGAGCGGGCTGACAAAGGCTGCTGTTGTAGCGCTTCGCCCGAAGCGGAGCCGGGCAAGTGAGAGCAATCGAGCACGCATAAGCTATATGAGTGATATCTGCAAGACACATCGAACGGAGTAATCTTTTCTAGTAATTGCTATCTAGAAAATCGCATGATCCACCATTCTCCTTTCCATACAGAAAAATGGTATCGAAAACGGAATACGTCCACAAGCCGAAAGAAAGTAAGAACCAAGACAGGATGGCATTAGTGATGTTTACGATCCTCATCGCTTCATCTTCTGCCGGGTTGTATAGGAGGAAATTCTCCAAGTTTGCTGTGACCTCAAAGGCGTAGCGATTGGTACGGAGTTTCGCCACGTCAAGCACGTTTTTCTCTTCTCCCATGATAATTCCATAGACTCTAGAATTGAACAAAGTCTTGCTGCTGAGATAGAGCGCGGGAAGCTGTTTCATCGGAAAGTTGCATCACATCCTCCTCCAGGCCGTCTGAATCGACATCATCGCTATCTATCTCGTCGTAGTCGTCATCACTTACTATGTCACTATCATCGTCTCCCTCGGAGCCATTCGCGCGATCTGTAACATTAGCAGCGTGCTTTTTGATTTGTCCAGCCCGATCAACATGCGGCAAGTGACATTTCGGCTTGCGGCAGACGCCACTGTTAGCGTAATCGGGACATTCATGAACATGTCGTTCTGAACAGTTTGCTCCTTTGCTACAATAGCCGAGGACGGCAAAGCCCTTACAAACCGAGGCCGATGGATTGACGCGAACATGTGCATAGCGACATGAGGGGTTGGAGCATTTGCCACGTAGGAAATGCAAACAAGCAGGTACTCGCTCGGGTGTATGATCATGCGAGAGGTCGCAGGAATCACCAGCTGGACAAGTTCCTGTCTGGAGGTAATCTTTACACATGGCAACCTTGAGTGGATCATGTGTGTAAGGGCATAGTGGGCCTTTTGGGCAATGTCCTAAATGAAGATGGACTCATGATTAGTATTGCCCAGAACGTTGAACCAACGAGGAGATGCAGCTTGGCGTCAACATCGACGTTTTGACTGAGGTACTAAGGGATCAAGAAAAGGGTACCCGTTAAAGTAAACCGTTTGCATGGTTCAGCGATCTTCCTGAATTTGCCCGTGGCCCTAGAGTGGTCAGCTACTCGTGTTCTCACGGAAAGTTCTGCTGCGACTTATCGACCGTTTGACCTAGGAGGCAGACTTACCTTTCGGCTTTGACAATGCCCGAGCGGTAGAGGTTGCCGTTCTTGCTTCGTAGGAAGGTAACACCGCCGACGTTAGCTTGCTTTGGGGTCGTGCTCGCGGAGTCAGTTGCGCCTAGAAGCTGTGAGCGAGAGAATCAACGCAGTCTGTGGTCATGGTTCTCACCGCGGATCCGAACAAGCTTGCTTCCGCCATCGGCGACATGAAATCTTAGCCCATTGATTGAGACTTCATGGACAGCATTGGCAGCTTGACCTGCACGAGAAGTAAGGATATTCAAGTGTCGTTTAATCTTCTGCTTCTCTCGTTGATCCTTTTGAAGCGCCTTTTGTCGTCGAGATTCTTCAATAGCTTTGTTGCGGGCTGGGGTCTCCTTGTCGTATACCGAGGAATTAATGAGTTGCATATGTCGATCACGTTTGGTGACCCAGCGGTTTGTTGACTGCCGAAGGATGAGTTCCTCATCCTCCGACTGAATGGCCTTTGTACTTGATGGAGTAGAGTCTGGACTAGGCTCCTTCGCGCTGGGGATTGAAACCCCGGATTTGTTATTCAGGACGAGAGTACGGTTCCGGTGAGGATTTGCCACGATCCTGCCAGCTCGGCCTCGGCCTCGAGTGTACGGTGCCACGCGTGGTGACCTCCAAGGTGCGGCGTTCAAGTTACCTGACGAAGCTGGTGTGTACCTGTTCCAAGGTAGTGGCGATGCAAAATCACTGTTCGGGTCATTTTGCGTAGGAGTTGCCTGAGTTTTGTGAAGATTGATGTGGCCTGGGTGCTCGTCAGCAAAAGCACTGGGATGTTGTGGCACAAGTCTTTACCGGATATTTTGCTTATCTTTTTTAACAGTTCTTGGTCTTCCTCCGACATGTTCTATCGTGGGTGTGAGCTATGTCTCCCTGGCTATATCCACAGCGAGAAGAGAGTGTCGAGGAGAAGTTGGTGGTTACGAAGTGATGAAAGGAAAAGGAACTGATGTTGAAAGTGACAAGGATCAGTTTAGCGTGTCACGCTAGGGCGTAGAAGGACTGAATGTTTCAGTCTCCCAGTGAGAAGTTGAAGGTACTTGACATAGATATGATTTCACAAATGAGTATAGAAAGTGCCTACATGTCCAGACTAGGATTGTGAAGAGGCCCGAATTATTTGAATCCCAAATTGTGAGCATTGTCCGCTTCCTGCCAAAACGCCATCGCTATGCTAAGGTAGAATCCAGCGCGCATGCCAAAGTCCACCATACAGTTGATAATAATTACGACGACCCTGGCTACTTAGGAAGCACATCCTCCATCTTAACATTCTCATCATCGTCATCGGTTCCTCCAAAATCAGAAGCGACCTCAGGCGCCTGCTCTGCTTTGACGTTGCTGAAGTTGTACTTGGCCGTGTCCTTATACGATGCTTGAAGCTGATATGTGCCAACATAAATGCCACTTCTTGTTAGTGTCGCCACCCTTTCGAGAACTTCTTTGAGATAGGCTTCGGGTTGGTTTAGCTCAACCTTCAAGGACCTAAGTGCCCAAAAATCGAATCTCTCGAAGCATTTCATGATTTGGTCCAAGAGTACGTCCGCCGGAACCCTGACAGCTTTGTTGGCCTGCTTCTTCCCACGACTCGGACCAGCTTTTGTCTAATAATCCAGTCAGTCCATTCGTTGTGAGTGAAAGATGAAGGAACCCTTACAATGAAAGCGCTGGTGTCCACAGTAGCTCCCAATATTCCGGGTTGAAGTGTGTTTCCACCAACGCTGGCGTTCAGCACATGAATCTTTGGCTTGGACAGTGACTCTTCCTTGGCTCGTCTCTTCATGTATTCAATGTAGTCTTTGTTCTCAACCGGCAGACAATTGATCTCAGTACGAACTTGTCCCACGAGCGTTGTCTGTTCTGCAGTGAACAGTATCAGTTCTGTAGAGTTCCAAAGTGGGATGCACTTACTCGGGATGGCTCTGCGGAACTTATATTCTGACTTTCGAGTCTTCTCGATCCTCCTACGGTCCTTGAACCGTGGCGGGGCTCTGTCGGCCGAGTATGCTCTGTAGCCCGGGAGATCCTTCTCACTGAAGACGAAAGTATTCATGGGATCTTGCTCAACGATCTGCATATTGTATTCTCTTGGTAGATCTCGATTCTGTACTACATCTGGTGACAACAAAATGCTCATCTAAACCGGTCATGATTAGTGACAAAGATCCACATAAAGCGCAAAGTGAACGGGCTATGGCTTACCTTCTTAACTTTGTCTAACCCACCTTCGACTCTGACCATACCTATAGTGATTTCTTGGCTGTCGTCAAGTTGTGACCAGCGCTCCCAGAGGAATTTGGGGACCCTTGTAAGGTAAAGGTCCTGACCTGCGCCCGCGAAGTCGAGATCCCCGGCATCTTCGTACAGGTCATCATCGGTGTGAGCAGCAGGTGAAGCGCCTATGGTTTCAGGGTCAGGTTTGATGTGCGGCGTCTGGCCATTCATAGGATTTTCGACCTTGATACTAGGGACGTCGGAACCGTACGTGGTTGCCATGATGAGGCGTGTTGGGCAGGGGCAGACAAGCCTGGTGCCTCAGCTGCGCAGGCATGGGTTGTCAGAGCGGTCAATACACAGCGGGAGTAAAGAGCACGAGTTGAGGAAACAAAGGAATGCAGCGTGCAGGCGGGAAGCGTGCCAAGCCTCAGCCCTACACGCGTTGCGCTATGATAAGATGACTTGAGTGACCAAGGACGTGAGGGACGCTCGCTCACTCACTCAAAGACTGGAGATATTCACTCTTTTTCATCAATTATAATGATTTAATTTGAGTATGAGTCAACACCTGTTTCTTGCTACTGGATTTTCCTTTTCCAACTATCTCTCTTTTGGTAATGGTTCGCTGCGGATACTATAAGTTGAGCCTCACTTCCCACTATCATCTTGGCTCAAGCCACTGGTACATCTAAAACAACACATACTCTTTCTAGATTCGCCTCTTCTCAAAATCCTATTGATCATCTACATGATTTGTCAAGACCCCGAAAACACAACGGTTTCCTTCCTGTCTCACCATGTCTGTCTCATCAGCCGCCGAAGAGGCGATGGGACCCATGGGTAAACCAATGCTTGAAACTATAGCTTCCGAAGTGAAAAACCACATCTTCTCTTACTTGCCTCAAGAAACTCTCTTATGCCTACTACTTACGAGTCCGGTGTTGTCCGAAGAAGCGGTAGTTCTTCTCTACCACAGTCCGAAGTTCCGGTCGACGTACCGCTTTGCTCAGTTTGTGACTACTGTATCACATTCAAGACCCTATGCGGATCTAGTGCGCGTGTTCGAGCTTTCGGACCGCAAAGAGGCGGAGGACCGCGCCAATGGATTTGCAAGCTGGCGGGAATGGAAGTATAGAGAGATACCTCTGTATGCTGCCAAGGCCCCACCAAAGCAGCTAATGGAGCCTAAGAAGAAAACATATAAGGGCACACATCCCGGCACCAACTATCTCTTCAATAAGACAAGTCTTTCTATGCCTATAGGACCTGTCGTCCATGTTCTTGCAGCGTGCCGAAACATTAGGTTACGTTCCTAGGCATCGCCTCTCGACACGATTTGCTAATATGGAACAGGCAACTCAAGCTGAACTTTGGAGGCTTGACCAACGATGACTTGATCGATTCCCTCAACTACCCATCCATTGCTATTTCTGGTATGGTTTTCGGCTCGGACCTCGCAAGATCCTGGACTCAGGGTAGCGCCGATGTCGAGTCTGTCCAACCTAGCTTTCTCATACGGCATCTTACCAGTCTGCTTAAGCTTGAATATGTTCACATCCGGAATGCCCCTTGGCTTACTGGGGAGGACGTTCAGAGCATTGTGTGGAATTGTCCTCGTCTCATAGAAGTCGATTTTCGCGATTCAGGCAAGGTCATGCAGGACCAGGCTTTGGTGGTCTCGGGAAAGACGGCGAATTGGGAGATTCCTTGGGCTATGAAGGGCAGCAGAAAAGAATGTGCGGCCACACTTCCTGCTGGACTGGCATCTGAGAGTCTCGCAACAGTCAGCAGAGGGTCGGAAAGGGAGAAGCACTAAACCTATTGCTGGGTTCGACCTTGTGACAGACGGCAGGAAGGCCGCACGTCTCTCAGAAAAGGGCGAGAAGGAGAGGAGGGCTCTGACCAGCTTATGACGTTGCTCGTAACTTTCTGCTTTCTCGATCCGAGGCCAAGACGACTGAAAGTTTAGACTATTCAAGTTCAATAGAGGATACTATGGGCACATAATGTCACAAGTACTTAGGCAAACCAGAGAATTTCGCCTACGGCTTTTAGTCTCTACGATGCTAATCAATGAATCTTCATCATGTGACCTCTTTCCACATACTTTTGTACATCATTCAACTCATCTCACCAATGTCCGGTCGCACTGCCCCTACGTCCGCCAGCCTCCAACGGCCCAAATCCGCCCCATCCATCGAATTCTCCTCCGAGCCTACAGGCCGCCTTTAAGTAATATTGCTCGCTATCTCCCCATGTCTGTGCTGCCTCTTTCATAGCTCTTAACCCTTTTACAAAATGCGCATCTAAAGACCATTTCCCCTCCACGGCTTCTTTGTCCACCCACATCCAATCTTTGCCTTGAGTATCATACTTTGTAATGTTCCTCAACTCGATCTTGGGTCGTAATTGCGCGATATACACCGCCAATGTAAGCAACCACCATTGCCTCACCAGTGCCACATGGAACTTTGCGGGTATCAGAGGGAGAAGGATCCGTACAGCATGGCTTGTTGTGAGTAAGTGTACAAGGAAGAAGTCGTACGATCTGCTGCTCCCATAATCATGGGTAGCAACCAATAGAGCAACGGCTGCATACTGGCTATCTTCGAATTGCTTCTTTGGGTTTGGTAATTGCCAAGCACTCCAATGCTCCAGCACTGCTGTCTCATGATCTTCAAACAGGGGCTCAATGTTGTCGGCGCCTTGGTGGTCGAACAAATTATCGAAGCGCTTGTCTTCGGCAACCTTCTGAAGGATCTCAATCGGGGAGGAGGTGCTGTAGGTGGATGGCTTTGTATAGGAGGGGTTGTCGAGGTATTTGTGCAGGAAGTTGTATGAGGTAGCAGCTAGGCCGAGTGCTTCCATGGCCAATTCGCGAGAAGAGAGCTCGAATGCGTAGCCTAGGTGGATGAGAGGGTGGCCAACTGTGGAATCGTAAGCTTTTGAGCACGGCAAGGCCCCTGCGACTAGGCAGAACTACATACGTCCAGCGATCATGCAATTTATGAGTGGCTCTTTGCCGGTGAAGAGATACTCGCTCAGCACCTTTCTCCAATCGTAACCATTGAGGACGAGTTGGTCTTCGAAGAAGTCGACGTAAGCTCTTTGGTACCTGGAAAGACTCAGCCAGCCCTGACGAGCAGGAAAATCCATTTCCTACTGCCGATCACCCAAGTAATCTCGCCAATCGTATGTAGAGATCTCTCCTGGCGAATCCTTCCATGGCTCCAGCTCTTTGTGTTCTTTCTCGTAGATAGCATTGAGATGATCCGAGTCACCTCCTACGAGATAAGCGGATCCGAGTATCTGATTTTTGGATGAGCTCAGCCATCAAGAAATAGATGTCAGGAGGGATGCTCGCACATGGGGCATGTGATTGTGAAAATGGAGATTGTGGTAGACAATGGAGTGATTTGCATGGTTAAGCTTAAGTAGGTGCTTCAGCGTTCGTGCTCGCTTTTCGTGTTTTGTCTCGACTTGGTGGACCTCGACAGACTCAATGTCGATTGCTGTCCCAGGGTTGCCTCCTAAGAAGCGGGGCACACTGAAGGGATTGGAGAAAGAGGAGAACGATGAGAACATGCTTGAATTTGATTAAAATGAACTGAACAGTGGTTATACCCTTTTTTTGAAGAATTGATGAAATTGAAGACAGATAAAAAGGTTGCATAAGTGATTAAAGTACATATATTATACTCTATTCAAAACTTGGAGACATGGGAGCTTCACTCCCCCACTTCCCCACTTCAACGGCGTCTCAAGCCGCACCGTAGACGGCAGATCGACACTCTGAACATTTGCATCACAACATCGTGGGTTGTTCCTTTTCCTACTGCTTTTATTCAAAAGGCACTATCGGTGTCGAATGCAAAACAATGTGTGAGAAACAATATGCTGAGACTTAGTTTCAACTCGCCTCTGCCCCATGTCATCCATCTATCTCTATGCGGAGCTACTACTCAACATCCGCCGAGTCACGATTTTCGCGATACTGCCATCCAATTGCAACGCAGAGACGCGTGTGTGGCTGTGCCATGACCAGAGAACGCTGAAGCTGAAGCACGAGGATGAAGAGGCCACCATAGAGCTGCCCTGTCTGGTAGTCAGCGATGCAAACCTGAAGATCCCTCCAGCGACCACAAGGGAGATATCTTTTCGCCTTTTCGTCAGCGACGCTGCTAAACTTCCCCCTCAAGCCAAGCAAGCTACCGATTGCAATGACCCATGGCCGGCATTCAAATTGACATCTGAAACCCAAGTCGCTTGTGGGTCCTGCAGCACTTTGTTAGTCAATGATGTCAAGGTTTGGAAGCATCTCCCCAGTGCAGGCTGGGCAGACATGATGGACTTTTGGCATTGTCACAAACCCAGCGTCAATAATCCAGATGATGAAAATGCTGGTAACAACAAAGGCTACGCAGCAGCTAATGCTCTAGGTCCCACAGCAGGCATTGGGGTTGTGGATGTCAGCCAACTTCTTATCTCGGACATCGATTGTACTGGCCTCGAGGTAGGCCAATCTCTCCTTCTCTTCTCGCGAACGATTCCGAATGCCAAAAAAGGGCAATAAGAAGGAGGCCTGCATCCGAAAACTCGGTCCCATGGCAAGGTCGCCGATACAACTGCCCTAGAAGAATCCCGAAAAGCACAGTCAATCAGCGCTTGAGTTACCCTCTGCATCCATGGTGCTATATGGGTTATGTCATTTCTGACGGCTGATGCATTGTCTCGGAAAGCCCTTCCATTTCATTGAGTAGCTCTCAAGCTTAATGAGCTTCTCAAGATTAATCTAAAGGTACATACACTAACGTCCTTCGAGACCACAGATGATCAAGGGCTTCTCAATTGTGTCTCGTGCCGTGAAATCGTTGGCATCAAAGACAAGAAAGATAGATACTCTCTACGGCTTTTCAAATGGAGCGTAACGCTGCAGCGTTCGAGAGGACTAGATTGGGAGACGTGCTCAGTACAGGAAATTGTCAGTGCGCAGCTCTTGGCATCAATAGAGGATCAAGCGGCGTATAAATTTCTAGCCTATACCGGCGAAGCTGAGGATTCAAAGCCAGCTTTGGTGGTGAGTGAATCAATGAGGTCTCTGCCAACTTTATACGCGCTTGACTTACATTAGAACAGCTTTGGGCCTTCACTCCTGATCTGATGTACTCAACCTCTGCAAAGCCCACACAACGCGCAATGAAGATATTCTACAGAACAATCACGGATTCATTCAAGACACTCGAGAAACAACGCAACAGGATTGAAGAATTCCAACTACCTAGTTATGCACTGAAAATACTTCAAGCAGGCTTAAAAACAAGCACAGATATCCTCCCGCAGTCCGCGCGGACTCACCGCGAGTGGACCATCGGACTTCTAGACCGCTGGACCCCTGTTCTCTGATCATCACTACGAGGTCGTGACCCCTAGTGCAGTCACTGCTCGCTGATAGTACGCAGTCCTGTCGCTCGTTTCGGTGGCCCCAATACATGCGATATACGCGCTGAAGCCAACTGCGCTCCCGCTCTGCAATCCATCCCTGACACTCTGATCACACTGCGAGGTCAAGAACCACTATATCATCTCGGAGTCAGCGTTTCTCTTCTATGATGGACTTGAGTCTGATGGTATGTTTGAGGAGCAAGACATGTGTCTCTACTCCTCAACATGTCTTAAGACTCGGGCAAGGGTATGAAAGGGGAAGAAGTAACTCAAAAAGGGTACTTACGGCGGCGCTACCGAAGTCATAATTCGTGTATTGGATCAAAAGGTCAAGGACGGCTACTACATCGGATGGCTGGATTTTATCGAGATACGGTGCTAATGCCGAAATTGATTGCGCGTACTTGAGGTTATAAGCTGGCGATTGCATGTTTCGAGTCCCTTGACCTGGCGTGCCTGGAAAATGATTAATTTGGTACTGAAAGTCGTCCGACTCGAATGCTATGGTTGAGAGAATTGCGGCTTGCTCCCCTGGGGTAGTGACACCGTACGTTGTAAACGACGCGCTGATGGGCCCAACAGCTTGCGCAGCGGTGCGGCATTCCTGTTGGCTGGAAGCATCGGCGCAGGAAAAAGATTTTGGTGCTATCGAGACGAGCTGGGACTCGCTGAGAGTCGCAACGGGGAGACCGTCGACAGTCGGCAAAGCGAGCGCAGTGAAGATGAGCAGCGCCAGCGCTGGGGTTACGAGGTGCGAAAACATGGCTTTAGCTTTGGTGCCTGCTTTGGTTTTGGAGTTGTGAACGGGTGAGACGGACGTATTCGTGGGTCTTGAGTATGTATATAGGGGATGAAGAAATCAGGTGAAGAAATAATAAACCGCACAATGCTCTCAGAGCAATGCCACAATGGAGTCAGCCAGAAACAATGGTATTCTGTGGCAGATTCGACAAAGATATTGACCCTGGAGATGCGGGTAGGGAACAAAGACACCTCGACCGACTTGTCGGACAACAATGTTGCAGGCAAACCGCTACTATACCATAGTGATACAAGGCAAATTGACCAGACAATGCCAGGAGTCATAGCATTGGTGAAGAAACCTCTACCGCCAAGACTTGCGATTCGAGGGCCGTGAGCCAATCAAGGCAGCGAACCACGAATCCTCCAGAACAGCGACGTTTCGAGTCAGAGTCAGGCTTCTCAGTCACTGCCCACCGATTGCCTTAGGTACATACACCATTTGTACCTGTCGTTCACCCCTGGAGTTCTCTGCTACCGTCTGAAGCTAAGATTCCCCAAAGATCCGATCAGCTTTTGAGGCGGTTGACCGCAAAATTGTGTCGATGTGTCTACCGGTACTTGCCACATGTGATGACAATCATCTGATCTTGTTCACTAGCTTTGTTCGTTTCGTAGCAATCCACAGCTTCTGGCTGGTGATCTATATATTTCCTGCCCCTTTTAATTCACTGAATCTCAAACGTTGTTCAAGCAATGGAGTCAAGGGCTTTGGCTCGGGCCCTGAGCTCTCCCAGAGTCTAGACGCTTACTTGTTGGGATTGGACAAATACTCTCCCACAAAAACTGCCAAATCCAGCAAAAAGAACCAAACAAACCCCGCAGCAAATCTTCATATTCCTCAGAATTTCCCCGCAACATGAGTCTTACCATAATTATCCATATAAGGCTTTTCTCCAGCAAGGCACCAGACATTGCTTCGCCTCCGCTTGGTGTCAATACCTCCCTCCAGGCCCCAGACCTTCTCATTCTCTTCTCTCTTCTTACTTTTGGGCTTCCCTTGCTGGAGTCTTTGTTTCTCGAAAAATACATATGCTGCGTAAAAGATCCGCGATGTCTGCCCCTCTAGGGCACCCTTCTTGGTTTGAAAGTCCTTGAGCTGCTTCGACTGCAACTTTGCAGATGGGTCCGGGAGAGTCTTTGCGAGTTCGCGTAGGAAGCCGGCTTGCGTGACATTGGGCTCACGGAGATATGCGGCGATTTTTCGACGGACCTCATCACAAGTATCGTAGACGGGGACAGACTCGTCATTTTCTCCCTTGAGCTCAACGCCCGACACATCGAGCTTCCGACTCTCCTCGTCCTTCTTGACTTTCTTTTTGATAGGCTCCTTTATCCCAGCCCGCTTCCGACGTTCGAAGAAGTGGAAAGCTGCTTTATACGTCTGATTCATGTTACCCGCGTATGGGCCTTTCAACTTCATAAACCTTCCATAGGAGTTACTGTTGATATCGCAAGCTCGCTGGAATTCTGTGACCTTCATCTCTCCACTATTAATGAGGCTATTGATTTTGCGTCGTATGGCGTCGCAATCTTCCGTTACGGGAGCATCATCTGAGTCGTAGCCATTGTCCGAGTCGGAGAGTGAGTCTATCGCTGAGAAGGGTCGCTTGGACGGTGCAGTTTTAGGGGAAACCACAGCCTGGAGATAGTCAGCGATTGCCCTATCTCTTTTGAAAATTGGCTTACAGGAGGCAAGCTACGGGACCCGCTGAAGGGCATTGAGCCATCACTGGACTATAGACCGGTCAGCTCCGTCAATTTCGCGATGGAGAGCGCGAAACACATGCCAATGAGAATGAGTCCGTATTGCCAGATGCTGGGCTGAGCGCCGGATGCAGAAGTACCGCCATTGAGGGATGAACCGGTAGAGGAGGCGGTCCTGGACAAGGGATACGCGGAGGAAAGGGGGGATAATGTACTGGGTACTGCGGATAAGGTATGATTGAAGCGACTGAATACTACTGATGAGGGGAAGGGTAAGGATAGTGAAACGGATGAGGATTCATCCAAATTCCGTGGCGAGTAGATGCCTTGAATTGTTGGAAGAAATTTGAGCGACGCGACAATTCGCGTCATTCTGTAAATAATCGGGGGCTAAGCCCTAGTACTAACCGAATATAGCCTCTCCGAGTACCCCAGAGACTCTTCCGGTCAATTACTCGTGGGATCTATAATTCATTCCTTGAATTTCTCTGATCAAAGTGCTGCTACGCAGAAAGTCTTCACCATGTAGGATTTTGACGCAACCACAATCTATACCGTGGTCAGAGGCATCACTGTTCTTGTATGCTCATTCCGGTTCTGGTGCCTTCAAAGCAGTATAGGTACCCTGCAACTGCACGGGCATGGAACAGTTCTATCCAGACCTTTAAGGGTGAAAGCTTGGCTTGGTTGCGTCAAGAACACACAAGCATGAGGTTTTGTCCTCGACCCATTGGATCAAGTTCCAGGACAGCCAGATAACGAAATGTGTCGCGCTAAAACTTGCAACCTACACGGGGACCACAAATACGAGACACCTGTTTTTTTTGCACAGCTCCAGAAGCAGCATGGCAAAGTAATAGTAGTATACCTCCTGCATTGAGAACATGAGATACGAGGCGGTGGGCAAGCCTGCCGTCTTTTCCAGCGCCAGATAGTTCCCGCCATCATCCTGATTGGATAAAAGGAGAGAGAGAGAGTCAAGAGTCAAGAGGGATCACTATCCTTGTCGTACCGAGGCATGAGAAAGGCAAAAGATGACGAGTACTATGCAGTCGTCTCTATGTCAAAAGGCGGGCGGGAGTGAAGTAGGTACAGGTAATAAGTGTGAAAGGGAACAGGAAGAGAACACGCAAGCGCCAAGATATCATACGTAACATGATGCCGTTGAAAGAGCCAATGGGAAGCAATTGAAAGAGCCTATCATCAGTGTAGTACGGAGGAGATGCTAATCATAGAGGGAGAGGGAGAGAGAGAGAGAGAGATAGATTTTTTTTCACCGTGCCAGGTTTGAGGCAATGAAGTTGAGGGAATTTGTTTTTTTGGTTGACGGAGCGAATAATGTAAGATTAGGTAAATAAGGTAGCGCCGTTGAGTAAAGTACCTTACAAGGTTGCACGAAAGTCGAAGACTGGCTAGACTATAACGCCCACAAAGCTTTTTTTTTTTTTTGAATTCCCCCTTTTTTTTTTTTGGTTTTGGGGCTTAATGCCCCTATCAAAAAAAACAAAGTCATCACAAGAAGATATTTCAGGCTTCAGGGCCGCTTAAGGGTAGAACTAAAGGGGGCAAAAGTCCGCACATCCAAATAATGCTACAAATATTCAAATATTTAATATCCTAATACACCTTACTAACAGCGACGTCAATGCTATATATACGAGTGCATACATACGAAGTAAATAACGAATATACGCGTTATAGCGAGTTACAGCTATATATAAAGATATATTTATCGAATTACAACGTCAATACTAAACGTACTAGCCCACGAGAAAAAGAATCTAAGACTTTATATTATATAAAGTCTTAATATAACTATAAAACAACCATATTCATATTAAAATGTTTATAAATAAACTAAGCTATAATTAAATAACGATAAGACTTAAGCACACTTTAGCCGAAGCCACATTGCAACTCAAATTGTACTACTATACTAAGATCTCCCGCTACTATTAATCGTCTATAGAAATAAGCCTAAGCCCGATAGAGGAATTAGTAAGCTTAGAAATTACTACTATTATACGTGAGTAATATATCGAGATCTAGACGACCCTCAATATTACTTCCGAGGTTGAGAGTACTATTATAGCCGCTATACGAAGAGATCGCACGATTAAAGAAAATCTTATTATATAACTACTAAATAAACCCGTTAATAAAATTCTACGCACTTAAACGAAATAATTTGACCCTATAAGATTACTAAAAACCTCCTACGAAATATAATAAAGCTCGATATTAATCGCTTATAATATTAAGACTAGATTATAAAAGAAAAAAAAATAAATAACGAAATAGTATAATCTAAATCAAGGAAAAGTAAATAGCAACCCAATAAAATCTTATAAATCACTACAACGTCGTTCAAATAAAAATACCCATCATCTTAGGCCAGGGCCGAACATCACAGTTGTAGATACTATAGAGTTTATATTCTAGAGTTATTTCTTATATAATAAGAAGGGGCCGTATTATATTTAAAAAGCCGAAACTATAGCTAAAAAGAAAGAATATATCCAATCCCTAAAATTAATAATGCTCGAAGCTAGACTAAAGAAGCTTAAGAACTTAAGATCGATATACGACGAATCTACGGAATCTTTCTGCAAGAAACCCGAGGGAAGTTTACTGCTAAGACTGGAAAGTTACTATTAAGGGAAGAAGGGAATTAATGATATCGCTATCAGAAAAAGGTATATACATCGCAAATTGAAAAGTTCCTCAAAATTTGAAATTGCTGATCGCGCGTTGGGAAATCACAAAATCCGCCGGATCAGAACGATTAGAACATCCGCCGGTTCAGAACGTTCAATCTTTCCGCCAGTCACCAGTTAGCAGTAATACGCACGAAAAAGAAAAGTTCAATATGACGTCGACGGCAAGGTCACGGCGATGAGTATCAACGTTAACTCAAATTGCTACGGAATACGATTTAAGAAATTAGTCGCGTGGGTAATGCTGATATAGCGCATAATATGCGCATATATAATGATGCGCATGTTGATGATGATATATATTGATATTATATGTATATAGAATAGTACTTAGAGTGTATTAGAGTCATTACGCAAAATTTAGTCTATTTTAAGTCAAAGGAGAACGGCGAAAGAGTAATAGCAAAGAAAGTAGAGGGAAATTTAGACAGATAGTATATTCTACACTCCCTTCTATAGATAAGATTCTTATTTTAAAGCTTCAAAATCGCTTACAATTAAACGAGAGCGACTAATATAATAGTTATAAAAAAATAATTATATATAAATATAAAGTAGTTTATATATTAATAATATTATTAAATAAAGATAATAACTTGAATCTAATATAATTAAGTCTATACTATAAATAAAGCGTTAAATTATTTAAAAAGATATACTAAGAACTCGTAAAGATATTAAGAAACGATAATTATATTACTAGAATTACGAGCTTATATAGAAGAGGATTTAGAAGTAAATAAAGCGAATATCGAGATATATTACGGAGGTTATTCGTCTTAAGAACGATAATGAGTATAGAAAGATTGTAAGAAAGATAATATACGGCTCTATAACTCTACGGAGCGAGTAAATAAGTATATACGTAGTTATAAAACATCGTCACTAGAAAAATAAGCTATCAAGAAAAGGTCAGATTTGTTAAAATCCAACATGCCAAGAGATTTAGCCATGTCAGGACTTTGGTGCCACCCTCCTTACACCTTACATGTTCAAATAGGGTGGCACGGGTGGTAGGGCAGAGAGAACCATGGATGATCAGCGGTGAACCCTTCAACCGTCCAATTAAATTTACCCCGCCATCGGTCATTGGTCCTACTTGATTACTAACCTGACACTCCCCCCGGCAGGTCATTCTCGCCCGTCCGTCACTGCTGCCTGGAGCTTCACCACCACTTCAAGTCAACACCTCTGCTCTTTCATCCCATCCATTTTCCACCAAGAATGAAGAAATATCCACCACCTTTCGCTGCCTCTGCCAGAGCTTCTGTTTCATATGAAAGCGTTGAACTCTTCATTGTATTGAATTGACCCTTCCCATCACCTCGCAAGGCTCTCTCTCCAATTCAGTGCACAGCCTACCACACCGACATCCTTCCTCTACTGAGCCCCCCTTCAACTCCAGCAGTCTCCATTACTACACCACCATCTACCTCTCAAGTCTCATTGACATACCGACTTCATTCCCTTTTCCTATATTCTCACAGCCTCGGAGCCTGCGTGTTCCTGCATCATCTGCAAAAGACACCTCCGAGAACATCATCGCCATATTCAACACATATCGAGCGCACAAGATCGTGAAGCCGCCCAGAATTGGCTTTTACCTTTCCCGGGTCGATTATAATCACGCCAAGATTCAAAAGGACCAAATTGTGAGTCATTCACACACGCAAAATCCATGCTTCACTTGCTAACTCTTCGCTTCTTCAAGTACGAGTCATTCTGGTCCGGAATCCACCTGACCACTCAGGATGACTTCCACACATCCAAATCCCCGCCGTTGCTACAAAACCAGAGGCACCCCCACCTTCGCCTTTTGCCAACCTTCATCCACCTGCCAGGCATACCCCTCGCCCGAATCCAACCTGCCGCTAAGGAAGAGTGCCACCTTCCACTCTTCCAAGTCACCCTCGTCCGATGACGATCCGATCTTAAATATACCCTTACTGTCCAGGAGATCACCGACATGCCCTAAAGACCTGGAGAATGCTGTCGCCAATGGCGAGCATCGTATGCAGCGGCTTCTAGGTGTCGTCGATCGCAGTTTGTCAGGGCTGGAATCGTTCTCGTCAGACAGTCAAGAAACTCTTCGTCAAGAGGACCTTCCTGTCCCTCGTTTCATGCTTGATAGCCACATCGACGGCCCCGATCATATGGACGTCGACGACGCCCTTGATCAACCTTCGTTCTCTAAGCCTCAGCAACGAGCAGCACATCATCACCACACCTCCGACAGTGGCCTGGGTTCTTCAGTCACAAGTGCCGAAGAGTCTTTGTCTGGAGATCATGCAGGTACGCGAGAGCATTATTACCCTACCTCACCTACAACAACAAAGACTTATGTACAAGCAGCCGACAATTTGAGCAAAGGAAATAGCCCAAGACCTTCCACTAACACCGGTGTGCGGTCTGGAATCAACGGATATGCCCCGTCCGGTATCGATGCTCGCATCAGAACACAGCATGCACTGAGCGAATACGCTTGCGAACAAATTCAGAGATACATCATCGTTCCCATCACCAAAGAGCCGACACTCAAAGCCTTTCACCAACTGGTCAAGAGCATTCCATACCGTGTGGGCCAGAAGCAGATTACATGTCTGCGAGATTTAGAGAAAGTCATCCTTTGGCTGGCGCCTGTAAGTGGTTCTTGTCATGTCTGGGAAAGGAGTTTGGCTCATTGTTTGGGTGTCCACGTAAAGAGATACTCCGTATCTAGGTCATCGTTCCTCAACTTCTGCGAGTCGTCCATCCAGTGTTTACATACGACCGTTCAGCATCTCAACGTATCAGATCAACAACGATCAACCGACAGACCCTATTCTAACGGTTATTTTCTCGATCTCACCGAACAGGTTCGCCAATACGCAGCAATGATTACCGCCTCCAGAGAGAGGGCTACAGCCGGAAAGGAAAGGGAGGAAAACGGCTATACTACGTACGTTGGCGGCACTCAAGACGGCGAAGTCATCATACTGAACATCACTAGCGATGAACAGCTTAGCCTACACGGCGGATTGGGTCGTACAGGTCGTCCTGCCGAGCTTGTGAGAACCAAGGACGGCCAGGCGATTTCCTTACGCACCGGAGAAGTCGTCAAATCAGACTCAACAGTGGGGCCAGAGGACGACCTGCATTACTCTATGGCTCGACGCCGCAAGTCGGAACAAGCGGCTGCCAAGCAAGCCCAAAGATGCAGCGAGTGCGAGAAGGAGTTCAAACGCCCTTGTGACCTGACCAAGCATGAGAAGACTCACTCGAGGCCCTGGAAGTGCAACGAGCCTAGCTGCAAATACTCCCAGTACGGGTGGCCTACGGAAAAGGAGCGGGATCGCCACGTCAATGACAAACACTCTATGGCCCCTAATATGTACAAGTGTCAATACCGCCCTTGCCCCTATGAGAGCAAGCGAGAGAGCAATTGTAAGCAGCACATGGAAAAGGCCCATGGCTGGGCTTATGTTCGGTCCAAGAACAATGGCAAGAGCGGGAGGAAACCCTCCAAAGTTGGCAAAACGCCGCCAACTCCCCAGATTGCTACACCAAATTCGTACATCTTTGACGCATCTGGTTCCGAGTTTGGTGGGGACTCATCCAGTCCGTACATAAGCCACTACAGCGTGCCCCCCTCGACTGATGGATCTCCTGGTGACGGATCCAGCCATTTGTCAAATTTGGAGTCACCTTATCTGGGCGCAAATGATACAATCACTCCATACGAACCCACATTCAGCTGGGGTGATTCGTACAATCGCCTCACTCCACAGTCCTATACCCCGAATTCTCATCGACTTTCCATGGATTCTCTCACCACTGCCCCAACCGCCCCTTCATCGTATGAGATGGAACCACTGTTTGGTGGCACTTATGACTGGAGCAATCTGGACTTGAGTTCTAGCAGCCTAGACCTCACTTCCATGAACATTCAACTCGACACTACGTCACCGCTGTCGATGGAGACCCGTCCCCTCCAGGTCTACAGCCGCAATCCTTCCATCTCCGTGGAAGAGCCTCGAAGCACCAAGAATCCCAACCTCTCCCCTGGCGCCCAAGGAAATCAGATGCTCTATTCGCCTTACCACAACGAGATTGTCGACGAAGGCTATGGGGATTTCGCCACCAACGCCGGAAAGCCCGCCGCTGACTTCGCCTTGTTCGACTCTCGTCCTTGTTCCAGTCTGGGCGGAAGCTTATTCTCTGACCTTCCAACTCTGCCTGCATTTCAACCGACGACTTGGTCCGGTCGAGGTACCGATCTAGCACAGCAGCTGGGCATGAACGAGATGATGCAGTTAGATGAAGAATAGAAGAATGATTCGGAGACGTCGCGGTTGCTTCTCTTCTTTTTTCGTTGATGTTATGAGGTGTTTGCCCTGCCGGTCAATGAAGAACATTCTGGGGGCAGAAACCCAACTTCGGTGTATGTAATATAGACAAAGACTTGGAGAACGGCACGATTTATGGTAGTCGTTGGAGAAAATGGTCGAACAAGCCAGGAAACAAAGCATTACTTCACACAACTATAGTGCTCCTGTACCCTTGCAGTATGTTCGGCTGAAAGTGTACACTTCTTGCTCGAACTGTAATTGTAGTATTGAGACATGGTCTCTATCTGGAGAAGATACAGTAGATCTTGGAAGAAGTCGTCGTAGTGCGGCTTAACGGAGTATATTTGTACGAGTAGTGGGGATCGACCATGCCGAGGTCTTTAAGAGACACTTTCGAAATCTCCACTCTTCACACGACGCCCATTGTCCATTGTACGGCTGCGCTTTCTTCCCTGCCCATTGCTTCTCTCCACAACAGAGGAAATGATCCGCAAGACATACTCATATCATTCCTTTCCAGTCCGCGCTGTGTGCGCTGATCCCTAGCCTAATCAGCTATGGACGCTGTCAAAGTACATACATCGCCTCGATCATGTCAATCGGCCTCAGCTGACATGGTACAGGAGACCGTCAATAACATCATCCTCAATCCTCAATATGCCGATTACCTGGCCCTCGTCAAAGCAGCCCGCAATGGTGCCGTCTACGGGGCCAAAGTCCGATTTCCTCACGCCCTTGTGTAGGAGCTACACCTTTGGATACGCGTTGGCTACAGACGATGTTGTACTAATAGCTCTCTCATAGCATGGTCTTCCTCTTCCGTTCGGACCCGTACGTCATTGTCCCTCTTTAAGATTCAGCATCATCTCTGATTACTCTACAGTGTCCGAGAGAAACTCCACCTAATCTACAAAGCCACCCGCACCCATGCCCGCAATCTAGCCTCCTTTGCTGTTGTCTATAAATTCTCCATGATCTGTCTTCGCCGTACATCTCCCACAGGGAAAGAACGCTCGTTTGACACCTTCCTCGCCGGCCTGATAGGCGGCTACACCGTCTTCGGGCGTGGTATACAAAGCAGCGTCAACCAGCAGATTGTCATATACGTCTTCGCCAGAGTTATGCTTGCACTTGCCAAGCTGACGGTACAAAGGAGGAGTCAGGGAGGTGTGGGAATGGGAAGAGAGCTGAGAGAAAATGTGGAGGGCAATGCATGGCCAGTCTTTGCAAGTTTGAGCTGGGCAGCGGTGATGTGGATCTTCAGATGGTATCCGGCTACTATTCAGCCGAGTCTGAGGAGCAGTATGCAGTACATGTACGTGACCGTTTCCCTTCCGAGAACGCCTCAGGTGGAGTTCCTAGTGCCCTACAACCTTCCGAATCAGAGACCTTGGGGACTACTTCTCCTTTTTCTTAAATAGGCTAACGTTTGCCATCCAGATACGTGGACTCAGATTACTGGGACAACTTCAAGAATTTCCTTGTATATAACAAATAGAGGCACGGACTCTGGCGTTGGTGAGACGGCATCTGCATGGGCCTGAAATCTAACGGGCGTCGGATATGAAAGCATTGTTACATGGTCAACAAAACCTTGATACAATGTTGGACGTATTTTCTGATCATCTGCGGAGCTGCTTGAATCTGCACCTGTACCTTCCAAGATAGATCAGACGTACTTTGTGGAGAAGTGCTTAACGTGGCGGCATTACGAACACGAACTCTGAGAAGAGAGCAGTGGTTCCCACTGCTCGTATGACCTCGAGTAGAAGGGCATACAGCCGAGATGAGCTCAACGATACTAGAGAAAGATTGTGCTATCCAGTCCTGGTGAGACGCTTGCTACCGTGACCGCGGACGATTTCGCAGGACAGTGGGCTGTTGTAATGACCTTTTGAGCGACCTTGGCCGGCCTTTGTCTGCATCTCGTGGTCGAGGAATGAAGACCACGCCTACGTGATTCTAGATGGATACAGAGCAGAACTCGTGCTCTACCTCGTTCATTTAAGAGCGACGTTCCTTTCTTTCCTTCCTCAAAGCCTCGCTCTCTTGGTCTTAGGCACAGGGCAACTAATCGCGCATTCGGGTTTTGAAGTGTTGACATATACCAACCGAGAGCCGGAATACGTACCCTTGGAGAGCCGATCGTCCTGCTGAGCTCGACTCTGATTTACATCACATGTCTGCTCATTGATTTGCAGTTTCAAATTGCAACTTGAGTAGATGAAAGTACTGCGTACTCGCTGCCTATGACTCGGAAATCCATCAACACAACAATACGCGGAGACCCATCAACTTTGACCACCGCAAACAAGTCATCGTCTCCACAATTCAAGGAGGCCAATTAGTATCAAGACTTCCTGGACCGATGCTGTGAAGACTGCGAGTTCTTGATCAGCAACGCGCTTGGCAAGGCCAATTGCAACAGAAAACTTATGATGCCGACCCTCAAGCAACTCACGTGCAATGTGGAGTGGGCAGGCTCGAGACTCCCATTGCAAGAATACCACACCATCTACGCCGATGGCTACGTCGAGACATTCATCGCCGTTCCCTCAACACCGACCCCTTTCTCCATACACTTGCGGTCACACGGTTACATCGCGCCTGGATTGGCTGTCTTTGTTTACGTAAGTTTGATTCGAGTTGTTTTAATACTAATTTACACTAATTTCTTTTTGTCTCTAGATGGATGGTGTTTATCAATGCAACCGCAATCGACGCAATCTAGAGATCCCGAACGAAAACACCTCGCGAAAGAAATTTGAAGTTGACTTCATTGTACGTCAGAAGGAAGAACTTCTATGGGATGGTACTTTTGAGGGGAAGCAGTGGGGGTTCGAGAAGGTGAAGATAGGTCAGTCAGAAATCTGACTATTGAATTTCCGACTGCTCATGTCAATGCTCTAGTCCCTGATTCGTCTGTCGAAGATGGCGAACGGCCTCCACATGATGGCGAATACGTCGGCACCATTGAAGTTGTTGTACTTCGTTGCCATCCCTCCGATAAGCGGCGCATCATTGGGAACAAGGCCTTTCCAGACGAGAGCTCTGACGGTAATGAACCGTCTACGCCGGGACGTTTCGATGGTGCAAGCGATCCTCAACTCGAGTCAAAGTCAAAGTCTGGGTGCAAGGCTCAGACTTTCGGCCCAGATGGGGGTTGGGATGACTGGGGCCCACCACCGCCACCCCTTGACGAGCCAAAAATGGGCAGAATTGAGATGACAAGTGAGAACACGGGAACTTGGAATCCTGTGGGCCAAGGGTCCAATAGCAGCAACGCTCTGGAGAAGACTAAACGATGGGATAAACGCAGCGAGTCTCGGGACCACTTCCAATCGGACTTCCAGAAGAGCGAATCTCCTGCTGGATCTCGACGTGGCCGTTCCGTCCAACCTCGCAGCATAACGGATCAGGAGAACGCACCCCCCCTAAACCTCAGAGGTGGAGGACCTGGCAGCTACTCGATCGCCTCTTCTGAGGCAATGAGAAATTGGAATGGCGGACCACCCGCGCTGAAGGAGTGGACGCAAGGAGACGCGCCTTCAAAAGGACATGGAGGACTACCAGCCGCATTCGATCCCTGGACGGCCAATTTACCCACGGGAGACTTCACGGATGACGCTGAGACTAAGCCGCAGACCCATGTGGAAGCTTGGGGGACAGTAGACGAGACAAAGAACAAGCCAGGAAGCAAGAAAGGCAGCAAGAAGGACTCCATTGTTTCAAGAAATCCGAATAATGTTCCAGGGGCTTGGGGCGAGTCCAATGACCAGGACCAGGGCAGAAACGATGACTGGGGAGGCAACGACGATCCGAATCAGGGCAACAATGGCGATAACTGGGGTGCCTCTGGAGACACTGGAAACAGCGGCGATGACTGGGGAGGGGCTGGAAATCCCAACGCTCAGAAGAATGACGAGTGGAACGCTGGTGGCGATCAGTCTCAGGAGAAGAACGACGGCTGGAACAACAATGGCGGCGCCTCCAGCTGGGATGCCCCAAAAAAGGATGGAAAGAGAGATGACGGTGCCTGGAACCCTCCCAACGATAAATCCAATGGCAATAACGATGACTGGGCAGGGAACCAGAATATTGATTTGAAACAAAGAAACGACGAATGGAGAGCGACTGAAGATAACGGCACTAAGCAGAACGATGATTGGGGAGCTACTACAGGCAACAACGGTCAGCAGGGCAACAGTTGGGGAGGCGACGCTGGCCGGCAGTCCGATACATGGGGTGGCGAAGACACGATGCAAGTTACGACAGGGGCAAAAGATCCTGAGACAGAAGATAAGTCCACAAGCAATCAACCAGCTGCGAGCGGAGAGAAGGCAGGCTCTGCCTTGAGCTTCGGTAACTCTAGGGCCAAAGGTTCGAAGCCAGCCTCCATCAAACCCAAAACGGCTTCAGTCACATCGAACAAGAAACCTTTGCCATTCGATTGGCTACAGCCATTGGAGAAAGCATCCAGTATTTCTGGTCCTACAGTCGCCGTGAAGAAGGCTTCCGTCCCAGGCGCATGGGCCTCACCCGTAGCGTCTCGGAATCAAGGGGAGCCGAAGCCAGTGGTGGCTCAAGTTCCACCAACCTTTTCTATATCCACACCACCCAAGCCGAAGCCCTATTGGTCGAAATGGAGAAATCTAAACATCATTGCCGAAGCCGAGATGGAGGAAGAACATGCATTGTCTCCCGAAGAACTCAAGGGACCTGTCTACAGCATCCCTGCCGAGGTCGCGCAACGCAACATGATGTCTCATCAAGTACGTCCTGGGCGTCCAGCAGCGTATACGCACAAGAGAAATAAGCCGAGGTACATGGACACACATGAGAGCCCGTACGCAGTGTTCTTGTTCAAGTATAGGGACAAAGAAATCGTAGAACACATGCTGAAGACGACTATCACCGAGCCCGAAGTCGACGAGAAAGCAAGGCTCGCCTCGCTGTCCAAGCAGGACCTTATTGACGAACTCATGAAGACCAAGTCAAAGCTCAGCGTGGTTGAAAGTGACTCCTCTGGGCAGGCGACGTTCGTCAAGAAATTAGATGAGAAGTTGAGCAAATTGGAAACCAGCAAAGAAGACGTGCCAGCTATAGATGACTGGGTGAACACCACTAGTCCAACCAACGGCCAAGGAAATGGCAATGCAGGAGAATGGGGTAAAAATGACACGCAGAAGGGAAACGGGAAAGGAGGCTCTGGCAACGGCAATGAGACGAGCAATACCAATGGCGGCGACTGGAGCAGAAATGAGAATAGCAATAACAACACCAACGGCAATGGAGGAGAGTCGTGGGGCGGGAACGGTGACAGTAATGCCAATGGCAAGAGCGACTGGAATAACAACGGGAATGCTGAAGTCTCCAATGGAGCCGAAGAGAGTGGCAATGGTGGCAATGACTGGGGTATTACCCACCAAACCAATGGCGGGGAGAAGAAAGATGACAATGGGTGGGGTGGGAACGATAATGGCGGAGGCGGTGATTGGAACAACAACAACAATAACAGCGGCGGCCGCACTAAATCTGCTGACAATCGGGGCGACGACAACGGTGACACCAAAGCGGCTGATGATTGGGGCAATGACAATGAGGGCGGCAACGATAAAGGTGGGGATCGCTGGGGCAACAATGGGGGCGAAGGATATGAAGGCTGGGGTGGGGGTGATGATAAGAAGGACGAAGGCAAGGGCAATGGGGATTGTAATGCAGGCGGTGACAATTCATGGGGAGCAGATGCTGGTGGGGGAGGAGGTGGTGGTTGGTAGGTCCTCACTTCGAGAGGGAGGTTAGCCGCACGCTTTTCACGGAGGAGGCTGTTCGAAGGGATGGAATATGATAACGACTAGTTCTTACTACCGTGCGCTGCGGTGACGAGACGCTACTCCTGACTCAGTTCCTCTTTCAAAATCTTGCGGTTCAAGGCTCGTCCAGCGATGCCGTCCTCCAACACTTGCTACTCAGGCTCCAACACACTCTCCAAGGGCTTGAAGCCTTTGTTCGATCAAGCTGATCGGTAGCTGTCCCATTCCAAATACGTTGTGCATCGTCCAGCGGCCATCATGAAAGGTGAAGCCTTACTCGTTACCACTTCTCTTCACTCCTAAGTCATCCAATCATATTCAGCATCGCTCTTCAAATTTGGCTCGTGCAGCGATGGGCCACCGTGTAGCGTTTCTCCAGTCATACGCCACTCGTTAGACCTTGTATGCCCATCCTCGCTGTCTTCGCTGGGATAGGACCGCCGAGGATAGAAATGGCCAAGGGTATCCCATCCGCTGTAAAATCCGCGTTGAGAGAGCCGGCCTCTTGCGTCTTGTGCACTTGGTGGTGTGATGGATGCATTTTGGAGCATCTCGACGAGAAGGTCTGAACGGGGAGCTGGGGGCTCAGGGGCTTCAACATGGCGATAGCTCATTGGGGATGGCCGAGGGTAGTCGTCATCGTCTGGACCGGAGGATTCGTCTGACTCGCGAACGCGCTCACGTCTTTCTCTGTAAGGTGTCTCGGGTCCAGTGAACATGGGCTGTCGACTTGGCTCTCTCGACTTGAGCGCTGGTGAATAGAAACTTCTGTAGGATCTTGCCCCTTCGAAATCAATGTATGAGCCGTGATGCCTGGATGGATCCTCAACATCGTCAGGGCTTTGCGACACTTGCGCATGACGAAAGGCTGGACGCGGTGTTGCATCATGGTCAGACTCGTATGCCTGGGACCTTGTCTCCGACTGCCGTCTGTAGTTGTGATCGGAGACCGTTCCTGGAATTGGCTCAAAGCCTTCCTGAGATTGCGAGCTTAGGCGACGATGCGGTCTGAACTGCTCTTCGATAAGCTCAACGCCCCGATCGTGTTCTATGGCCTTTCGCGACGCCCGAGAGTGCGGTGTGATGGTCTCCTCAATAAGCACGGGGCCGCCGTCACCATTGGCTGCTCCTTGCGGTGAGCGATGGTCGGATGGCGCACGAGAGTAAGCTTGTTGCTCTGATTTCTCGGCATCTGCTGGGCCATCATAATATCCTACTCGTCGCCGTTTTAGGCTTCTCGGCGTGGAAAGAGGCACGGCTTCATCTGTCTCATCGATAAATCGGACTTGACTCGAGCTTCTTACTCGGCGACGCAATCGTGGACCGTCCGAGTCTTCGATATAACTCACCCGGCTCACACTTCTTGGTCTGGAACGATAGTTAGGCCTTCCCATTTCTTCGACATAACTCATGTGACTCAAGCTCCTAGGCCTAGAAAGGTATCGAGGCTGCTCTACATCTTCGATGTAAGGCACCCGGCTCACTGTGCGGGGTCTGGGTAGATACCGTGGTGGATCCAAATCGCTGCTATACTGGATTGCGCTGTCCATGTACTCCGCGCGGCTAGAGCTCCTCAGTACGGACCGAGTGCGTGGCGATTTTTCAGGCAGGTCGACGACCTCTGTACGGCGAATGATTCGAACGGGTTCCATAGAAGAGCTTCGCGTTATTTCTCTTTTTGGTCGTATCTGATCTCCAGCTTGGTTTGCGATTACGATGCGCACATTCTCCCTGGATGGCGACCTTGCCAGGCTTCGGCTCCTATAGTCTCTAGTATACGGACAATGTCTTCGCGTCGCTCGCCTCAGCTCCCTACTGGTGTTATAACTGTCGTCTGTTGACTCTGTGTAATCTCGGCGCCGCTGCTGGTGGCGCCTCCGGCGATGCCTGGGCCTTTCTTCCTCGCTCGAAGTGTGCTTGTCACGACATCTTCCGCAAAGACCTGGTCTGGGTGCCGGGCCAGATATCAAAGGATGGCGGGACTGCCATCTTGCAGAGCGGAATTTGCCGCATGAGGCGCATGTTTGTTGTATGCTTGTGATGGTTCGGCCAGGGGACTGGTCGACGTATATTTTAGGTCGATATCTGGCGGTAGCATAGTCGTAGTACACATCACTTCGAGAGCGAGAAAACATGCTTGGCTTACGTGGCGTCTCGACAGAGTACGCGCGTCGAGAGGAGCCGAGAATCTGCGTAAGAAATAAAGGAGGCCGGCCGGCGTCCACGGGTTTTTTTCGAACAAACGCTGGTCGTGTATGCCCTGGAAGTATGCCAACGTAAGTCTTTCCAGGTATCATGTGACGGCCTTCGGGAATGCCATAAGGTGTCGCGCTGGGAAGCATGAGAGATCAGCCTGTGCTATTACAGCGTCAAGCAGGGAGGGATAGATCAGACCTCAATGCGACCGGAGCATCCATACTGTTTGAGAGGTTGTGGTTGAGCCAAGGTGTGACATTATTTTTGATCGAGTGCAGGAGCGTGGCAAAGAGTGGAAGTGGAAGTGGAAGCTAAACAAAGGAATCGAAAAGTAGAGAGCGAATAATAGAGGGAAGGGAAGATAATGTGTGGTTGCGTCGTCAGTGCATTAGAGCAATGAAAATGTTTGGTTGGAAGGATATCGAGGTACGTTTAGAAGAGGGGGTGAAAGTGTTGATTGTTGACCAGCTTCCATGTGCTAATGTGCTATAAAGGAGCTAGCAAGACCGCATGTACCGCAACAATTGGGCAAGGAAGCACGTTCCCGCACCATTGACACACCAGAAGTGCACCGTCCAAATGAAATTTTGATAGAAGAAAAGCCATGCCACATAGAGAGGATAGGATGTGTGGCCTTGACTCTCGGTTAATCTTTATCACAGGGCCGGTTGGAGGCAGGCAATGGATCTACTCAGATTATCTAATAAATCAGTGATTTTATTCCCATCTAGTTATTCACGCTTGGAGCTGATGCTCCTGATTGATACGATGAACCTGATGGAGTCAAGAGGAAGTTGCGCAGAGGAAGCTGCAAGGAGGAAGTTGCAAGGCGCGAGAGAAGCTGGAAGTGCCCGCAGTGGTTGAAGGGATCTCGACCGGAAAGAGCGTGGTAGATTAGCATGGCAGATAGTCTTGAGGAGTGTGTAACATTGTTCACATTGTTCACATTGTTCACGTAGTCCATCGGTTGCACTTGCAGGTAGAGTAGTATCATCCATGTATGAGTCTTTCGTCTTATGACAAGATAGAATGAGAAGTCTGAGATTCACAGCCCAGAGATTCCTTTTCCAAGTTTCGTCGTCTCATCGAACAAAACCACACTCAGTACTTGTATGCTCTTCTTCCTGTCATGTAATGCGTGGTTATGATAAAAGGAAGGCGAGCCAGGAGGGAAGCTGGGACGAGTCGAGGGAGTGAAGTTGAGCATTTTGCAGGGAGGCAGGGGTTCCTCTCGGCTCTTCCCGTGTGGGGCTTACCTTATTCTACCTTAGTCTAAAGTAGGTACCGCTTTATCGCCCAGGACGGAAGGGACCCTTGAAGTTGTAGGTCGCTTTATTGTCTCACTCTCAGTAGATTAATCTTCAGAGCAAGTGGATGCAAGAGCAATCATCCCATCTGAATTAGAATCGCCATTGTACTATTACACTTACGACTATACCCTTCACTGTTCATGCTGAACATCACTCTAGAGAAGAGAGCAGCCTGCCATATCATCCTCAATGACAAGAATGACCTGAGAACCCCGCCATGCGCAAAGTGATACTGAAGACTCTCTTGGGAGTATGAGCTCGACGTACCTCTCAGTCTCAACACAGTTGGCTGAAAACTTGCATGCTCATTTCACGCTCATACTTTACCCACTTGCGCTCGTGCTGACTGTCTATCGCCTCAGTCCGTGCTGACTGCGCCGCTACGTGAAGCCTTCTCGGGACGGACAGTCCCATATTTGGTACATCTTGCGAAACGATTTGTGACAGTCCTGCCACTACTCCATTCCTCACAATGGCAGCTCCGATCACAGTCCCAAAGACTCCCTCCGAAGAACCCTTCGCCCTCCAAAGCCTCTCCCCAATCGTGCTAAGTTACCTGGAGACAATTTCGTCTGGCAAACGGCAGCTGTCTCCTTCGCAACTCGCAGAGCTTAGAAGGCCTCCGCACGACAACAAGTTCCTGAAGTACATGAGCTCGTCTGACTCCAATGCTTCAGACTCCACACCACCAATAGATCTCACCCATCCAATCTCCAATTATTTCGTTAACAGCAGCCACAACACATACTTGACAGGAAATCAGCTTTACAGCACAGCCAGTACGGATGCATACAAGAATGTACGTCCCCCTCGTTAATGATAGGAAGGAGAGCTTTACATTTCCGTTATACGGAACCCACGTTCAGGCGTATGAGATCTGACGAGAGTAACACATAAGGCCCTCGTACGTGGATGCAGATGCATCGAGATCGATGTTTGGGACGGCGAACCCAAGGCCTCCTCCGATGAGGCTCAAAGAAATTCCAGCGAAGAAAAGAGGCACAGGTTCAGACCACACGTGCCCGAAACGTTCTCCAATCACGGTCCCTTCAAACATTTTCACAGAAAGAAAAGCTCTGCCGCCTCTACACCTCCTGAGACAGAAGGTGCGGATGAGTTCTTGGACATGCCTGCACCCTGGACCTCTTCTTCTACGGCTACACGGGCCGAACCAAGGGTCCTCCACGGGCATACTCTTACGAAGGAAGTGCCTTTTCGAGATGTCTGCCAGGCCATACGAGATTCAGCATTCTCGAAAAGGTATGATGGCCAGTGTGAGACCAAGTCTCAATGCTGACTCCTACGATAGTGATCTCCCGGTCATAGTCAGCCTTGAAGTCCACGCTGGCGCAGAGCAGCAGGAGATAATGGTTGAAATTATGAAATCTGTTTGGAAGGGCTTTTTAGTCCCGCTACCAGTATCTGACTGCACAACACTTCCCAGTCCAGACTCACTCCGCTGCAAGATTCTTGTCAAAGTGAAATATAGCAATCCCAAGAAAGCAGCAGCAAAGCTCCGACCTGGAAAAGATGCACTCTCCTCTGACCTCCGTTCCAAATCAAGGGGTGGGTCGTCATCCTCTGCGTCGGAAAACGAAGAGCTCTACGCCACCCATGATCCCGAGAAAAAAAAGAAGAAATCCTCTATCGTTTCATCTCTGTCTGCCCTGGGCATCTACACGCGAGCGTACCACTTCAAGTCATTGACCGCTCCCGAAGCTATGCTGCCTACCCACGTGTTCTCGCTCTCGGAGAAGAAGCTTATGGAGGTACACGCGTCGTCTGGTCCTACGCTCTTCTCGCACAATCGCAATTACCTGATGCGGGCCTTTCCTTCTGGCATGCGTGTCAGAAGCGACAATTTGGACCCTTCTGTCTTTTGGCGGAAGGGCGTGCAGATGGTGGCACTCAATTGGCAACGATGGGATGAAGGTATGATGCTTAATGAGGCCATGTTCCGCGGTAGTAGTGGCTATATCCTCAAGCCTAATGGTTATCTTGGCAATCAGACGTCGTCAGCAATTCCGCGATTATCTACAGAATCCCAAGCGGACGCTATCGCGCACAAACTTCTCACTCTTTCCATCGAGGTATTCGCTGCTCAGAGTATTCCGCTCCCGCTTGGCGATACCAGACCATCCGGTTTCCATCCCTACGTCAAATGTGAGCTCCACGTTGAGAAGCCAGCAGAGCGCACTGGCGAGCCCATCGAAGGTGGTGGCAAGGCTAAAGAAGGTGAGTACAAATGGAGCAGCAGAACGATGAAGGGTACGGAGGTAGATTTTGGGGCTGAGAAGGTCGAGTTCAAGGAGATACCGGGGGTGGTGGAAGAATTGAGTTTCCTCAGGTATTTGCGCTTTTCCTCCTTGCGCACCTCTTGTTTTCCCTGGTCCTGCTGGTCGATAGAGCTGGGCATTGACAATCAGCGAGAAGCTGGAGTGACAAGATTTCGGTGTGAAGAAGTGAAAAAGGCCAGATGATGGTTGGGTCTGGCGAGCAGGGTGACGCTATCTATTCTTGCGTCAATAATGTTACCTCTCATCACTTGTTACTTTATTCTGTTCTGCCTGCGTCGGTGTTGAGCACTAATTGCGCGCCGAGGCGTCAATTATGGATCCATCGACGCTATCAAAAAATTGATTTTCCACGCTTCGGAAGCTAATTCGATCGATTGATAGATTTAAGATACAAGACGATGAGATTGGCAAAGATGACCTTGCTGCTTGGGCTTGCATCAGGCTCGATCGTCTAAGAGCAGGCTATCGCTTTGTGCATTTGCTTGATGGCGCTGGCTTCGAGAGTAAAGGTGTGCTTTTGGTGTGTATTCAGAAGACTCTGACCTGACCGCAATGGCGCCACGAGGCTACGACCTGTCGTCAATGCATTACGAAGTCAATTTTCGCAGGCTTGTGGTGAGCTGCCTAGTGGACTACGACATGGCTCTCTCGTAACGAAAGCCTGCGGGGTTAGACTTCGCTTGGACTGATTCAATATTCGATCGAGGGGCTGCCTTGGCGTGCATAGCCATGAAGATTGCGCCTTTCCCGGGATTCGAGCCACGAGGAGCCCAGCTGAGATTCGGAGGTCTCGGCAAGAAGCTGTTGGGACTTAAGAGGCTCTCCAGGTATCTCGGGATTCATGCAGGCGAGCGGAGAAAGCATGCTACCGTGACCCGCTTTGAGACTTCTAGAAAGCAAAAACCAGGACACTAGTGCTTTGGAGTACTAGCATACGATTCGATTTCGAATACCTTTACAAACTTCACTGAAAGCTTCTGGTACATCCAAAGGATGACATGGATTTCAATGTCCCATTGTTCGACGACGATATGTACAGAGTTTGATGAAGTTGACATCCATACTCGCCGCATATTCCAAGGAGAGCGGCAGATTAGTAGCGGTGAGTGACCTGCAGACCGGAATGATGGCTCCTGCCCTGCATTAGCCTTTTACCCTGCATGCCACCAATGCCTTCCCCTCTTCAAGCGGCCTTCAACTTCCTGTGATGCGTCGCAGCACTTGAGGTGAGTAGCCGGACAGACCCTTCAGAACCATCAGGCATCATGTGGCGGTCAGCGGTGGGTAGAATTTGCACCATAAGGCTCGAATTTCCAAGTTCAAAAGATGTCAACTGCGAAATAGGAGGTGAGCGAAAAGGACTGACTGAGGTCGACATAAGTCGTCGGTGACTGGCAAAAACCCCTGACTTCTAGCAGCATGGCCATTGCCTGTATAAGCGCCTTCTGATCGGTGATCCTGGCGACAATGGCCAAGCCTTGGCTCCAGAATATCAAGTCTATCAATCGTGTTACATATCATCACAGGCAGCGGTGTGGGTTGTATGATGCTGCTCAACTCATGCCTGCATTGCAAGCCTTGGGCGGCGTATAATGTCCAACAGAAGCGCGAGCAGAGGACTAGGCTTTTTGGTGAGCAGCATTTCATTTGTAACGGCGGAATGTATTGGATCGACTCTGGTCTTGCTCATAAAGCTAGCAGAACATCCGAAGTATGCTGGCGCTTATCGAACGTGATCGCTGTCCGCAAAATTTTGCCCATGTCAATTGGCCTAAGCTCGTATCTCTTGATCAAGGCCATATGAATGACCCGGCTAGCAGCGCTGGTTGGAGCCTTTCCGTTGCCATTAATGCTGATATCCGAGCGCTAATTGACCGCAGGATGGTCTCAGAGTCTCCAACTTGGAGCACGCCAAGAAGCTTCCAAGGATGTTCTCCTTTTGCAATCGATGCCCAAAGAGCATATGCGGGCCCTTGTCTCGGTGTAAATTTTGGGACTATCAATCGGTGTAGAATAGAGCTATCGATCGATGTCTTTGTGCGTGTCTGATGAAAGCGAATTGCATTCGGAAGGGTCCAAGTCAGTCTTGGAAACTGGGGCCTCGTCTTGTGAAAATGATACCTCGCGACGCGGTGAGAAGGTTCTGTATGAATCGGATTGCGGAGATGATCGGGCCATGCAGAAGCGAGTTTCGCAAGTCCCCGAGAGGTATTCTGATTGTCTACATAATCAGCATCTTATCCCCCGTTTTCAGAGAATCAAAGCTCACAGACTCACTAGCCTTCCATACCACGTCAATACTGCACACTGTCAGTCCATCTTCACACCCTTCATAACCTTCACACAGCTCTTTCACGATGCCTTTCACTCATAACCACGACGACTTTCAAGCCACGGAGCCTTTCGAGACGCCTCGTAACCATGACCATGACGACTTCGAGGACAACCAGTCTTCCGAGGGGCTCGTCGCGGATCCAGGTGTCCCTACATTTGTTCTCCGCGCAGGCTTAGGTGATCCACGTGGCGCGCCTGTAAGTCTCTCACATCTAATCTACGGGCTCTTGTTGGCTAACAGGTGCCGTGCAAGATGCCCGGCGTTAAGTGCCCACGTTGTGCCGAGAAAGGCATTGAGCAGTGGGTGCTTCCCGGCAAGCATTGCCCTCGTTGCAGTCAGCCCTGCTGAATTTTGAAAGGTGAGAGGTTCTTCGCTATCAAAATCAAGCACGGCGGACACCTGACGCAGACAAAGGCAACGAGACCGGGCATTGACTGTCAATCTTCTGCAATGTCCCGAGGGAGATGCTGTGATGAAGGAGGTTCAGATGTGTCGATCTGCCTTTGACCTGGGTTATGTTGGCTTGATGTCGGGCGAGAGAGTTGAAGATTTCAATCTTGCTTTTCTACTATTGCATGCCTAGTACTTTGAGATTGTTGAGAGACGAGAGTATATGAATTAGATCAGAGTAGAGACGAGATTGAGGAGTACCAAAGCGAGTCAGTTCCGCAAATACGAAGTGTCCTTAGGCTTTCAATCGAGCGCTGGGGACTAGTGAATCCCGGCGCAACATGAATTTCCTTGTCCAAGATTGGGGGTATGTAACATCACCAAAACCACTGTGAAGGCCCCGATCAGCCCCGTAGGCAGCAACGCACATTTAATTTGGATGGCCGGATCCCATCCACGTTGCAGGTCTGCCTGAAAAGCCTACGGAAAGGGAAGTTCCAGTACCCAAACCTTATCTGCGGCAAATTGTATGGAAGAAGCCATGGTATCTTGGACAATGGGGCCTTGAAATCGTTGCGAAAACCGGACTAGAAGCACATATCCCTGACTCATGGCCGGCACAATGGGGTAGTAGTTCTCCTGATTCTAAAAGTTACCCCTGTGCTTTTTGGTTAAAATAAGCAAAAAAAAAAAAAAATGAAAAAAAAACAAGCCGGTCTACAGTAATCTCTCTTGATGACTCTCGCCCTTTGGGCTGAGTCATAGCTGGCTGCAGGAATTGGCTGGAAAGCAGGGGGGGGGGTTCTGGTCCATGCAGATGATGTAATCATTGTGGCAGTCCATCCTCCAACCATGTTAAATGCTGCATGTTTAGGTCATAGTCACTGCTGGCGGCAGACAGTAGTACAAGCTGTCTGGAGTAATAGCTCAAAGGTCAATGGGTCTACTGGATTTATTCACAGAAGAGTTGGCTGCCATCACTGCCATCACTGCCAGAGGGACACAGCCACGGCCTTGGCGCGATTTTCGCCGGTGAGGCTTGCTAGCGCTACAGCTGCAAGAAAATCAAAATCTGCCTCACCTTTACAACTTTTACTATATTCTCAGCTGTTTTGAGACACTATCTTGTCACATGTTCAAGCTGTGCTAACTTTGGTTCTCACAAGTTTCGCGCAGCCCAGATCGGGTGGATGCAGAAGCCATTTACCAATAACTCATACTTACGGGCCTGGAAGGACATGGCTACATCAGCTTGCTAAAAAAAAAAGCCGACTTTCTGCATGAACGGACATGACCGCATATTTGACAAGAGACTGATGAATATCTCCGTTTCGAGCATGCAGCAGCAGCAGAAATGGGGCACGCGAATGTCACCCTGGGAAGAAAATGGTTTGAGAGCCGCACAAGACACCAACACCACTTTCCAGTCACCAAATGCCAAATGTTCATGGGCGCTTAACTGTCGAACCGGACTGGCACCGGTAGCGAGATGCATCATCGAAACCCTACGAGTGATTAGTCCTTTGGTATTCATTGGTTTATACGAACGGTTGATAGCGAGTGGTGGCTTGGATCATGCCACATGGATCATCATCAGACTGAGTCCTACCCTCCGCCGCGCTAAAATCTTAACATAGGCAAAACGGGGCGTTGCCCTATCTCAAGGCGCAGGAACGCACCACACTCGATGTGGTATTAAGAGCCTCACTAAGCCTTTAGACGCTCGAATCAAGCGTTCCTTTCCCACGAAGTCCTGCAGGCTCTCGGGAAAAAGGAAAAGGACTAGTAACATCAACATGCAGCACGAAAGGACTGCCAGGACTGCCAGAACTTGTGCGACTTCCTATAGCGCGGGTTAAACGACAGAACGGGCTGAATGTTTAGCACATTTTCGCCTGGCCCGTCGTGATCTTACTGGACCTGTTCGGTATTCCGAGATGTAATGCATGCACAGACGGCGCAATCGATGCAACATGCTACACTGCATCAGCCTCAGCTGATGGAGCAGCACTCTTCACTGGCCTCCCCAATAATACCCCACCGCAGGCACATAGCGCATCAAGGCGGCTGGTGCCGTAAGGTGTGGGGCCATTCGCTATTCATCTTCACGGCCGCCCGTTCCTGCAGTCATCTTCACCCTACCTCCACTAATTTGAGTCTCGAGTCTAGCTCTCAGGAGTTAATGTTTCGATGATCATGCCTCCTTCTGCGCCCCGGATCAGGCAGAGTTAACGCTCGAGCACACCCTTACCGAAGGATCTGGGTTGCATCTGCCATTGTAGTTTTTGCTCCTATCATTGACTTTGAAAACGAATCTACACACTTTGCAGGGATTCTAAGAATCACTCGCACCATCGCCTGGAACGACCTTACCGAAATCACGGTGCGGCTCTTCGGATGGGAATTTCTTTAGTTCGCATTATTGTGGAGGCACAAGTTTGACACAAGCCCCTATAAGTCCTGCATGTGCTCAATCATTTTTGTGCACTTACCTGTATGCCCAACGCAAAGCCTCCTGGGAATGCTTCGCCTCAATTGTCTCCTTTGAATTCATTACATCCATAATCTCTCCGTGTTCGTCATTATCTGCTAAAGGTCCATTATTGATAAAACAGGCTCATCTCACTTGCCGCCTGCCCTGACCCTCGGCAGCCTACTAAATCTGACTCACCATTTCTTTTACCATTCGAGCTCCCATCAGGCTTCAAACTCCTGTCCATCAACCCAGGCCATCTTTCGCTCGAACCCTTTTTTACCCCATCTGAGGGACACCAAGACTCTTCCCTTCAACTCCTTTCTTCACTGCTGCATGAGTCAATACTTCAACCTTGCTAATTGGAACTTCATCGCCATGAGAGCTGTTCGCCCTTTTCCTGGCGTGCCACACATGGAAACGCGAGAAGAAGAGCATGAGCGGACATTGATCCCTGGCGAGCATAGAAACAGCGAATGGTCTCCATCTATGTACCAGGAAGCAGGTTTTCCAGCCATGGACGTATCTAGAGAAGAATCAATCTACCGAGCTCGAGATATGCAGCCCTATATGAGATTTTCGGAAGACTGCAGCATCATTGATGCACCCCACGCTTGGCGAATGAGCCACGCGGATTATTTTGGAAGAAACTATTACCCACATCAACGACCGCATGGACTTGAGATACCCAAAGGAAACGCATTGGGCGAACACTGGACATCAACAGAGCAAGACACCAGCTGTTCAGGAGGTGACTCATGGACTCCCCACACCAGTGACAGTCGGTCCGAAGCAGATGGAACTTACAACAATCAGCTGCCTCCGTGGAACGAAGACAGTCATGGAGTCAGCATATGTTTTGATCACGTCGGCGGATCACCTTACCTCAATGGCTATAGTGTTTCGCCTCAGGAACTCCAGCAGTATCCTGACAGTTGTGGCGAGGACAATTGCGCAAAGCCAGAACTCCACAGTAAAAAGACTGGCCACACGTACTATCTCGAGAACATTGGGTTACGCACACCTGATCAAGAGTCCATCGATTATGTTCCAGACGACGAACCCATGGGCGCACCCGCTCAAAAGTGCACCAGCATAGCCTCAGTCAAGGATGAGGATGACGAAAGCATGGACGACGACGCAGAACATGACGACGACGACGAATACATTCCCGCAACCGCAGGTCACGTTCACGGACGTGGTGTTGCTCGAGGTTCTTTCGCCGCTAGGAAGCCTGGACTGGCATCCAAGCGCTCTCAAAGGTCCAAGGGCCCGGTTTTTCCCGCCCAAATCCCCAACAAGGTCGCGAAGAAAACTGCCAAAACCCAAGTTCCGTCTCCCACATCCACCCGGAACCACACGCCTTGCACTCAATGTCCATTACTGTTCCCGTCCGATTCCACGCTCAAGAAGCACGTCTTGTCCACGCACACTCGCCCCTTCATCTGCACCTTCCAACGGTACGGCTGCAACGCCACTGTCGGCAGCAAGAACGAATGGAAGCGGCACATCAACGTCCAGCATCTTCACCTCGAGACGTGGAGATGTGACCTCGGTACCTGCGCATCCCCCATCACCACCGCAAACGGCGCCGCCGGTCCAGAGAAGCACAAAAACTGCACGCCCTCGTCCGCCGTCTCGCCGTCGCTTGGGAAGAAGGCCAACGCCAACGAGTTGCAGTATCATGACTTCGACCGCAAAGACCTTTTCACACAACACGTGAAGCGCATGCATGCGCCTCTTGCCCCCGCTTCACATGCTGAGAACGCGGCTTTCGAAGGCAGCATTTCCGGGACTCAGGACCGCTGCCACCGACAGCTGAGGAGACCCCCACCGCGGAGCAGGTGTCCTTACTGCCCGGATAAGGTCTTCGACGGCGCCGGCAGCTGGACCGACCGGCTCGAACACGTAGGCAAGCATCTTGAGAAGAATGACATGAACAAGGAAAAGGAGATAGAGGATGAAGAGCTAAGAGATTGGATGATGCAGCAACGTTTTATGGAATGGCAGGCGCACACGGGATATAAGGTCAACAACACTGAGGGCAAGAAGAAGAGAAACAAGAGCATGGTGATGACGAGTGAGGGTGAAGAGGATGCGGAAGGCGAGGAAGAAGATGTTTAGCGATACCATCTCCAACATTTTCTTCCATGGTGGCCGAGGCTTTCTTTTCTTTTCTCTTCGTTTGTTTGTTTGCCCCAAACGACAGGTTCATCGGACGAAGCAACGAATCTTTTTTGTTCAGCGGGTCCAATCATATATCTTCGGTATTTACTGTACTCGTAGTACTCATCTACACCGCTTATTGCAAGCTTGACCTGAGTGCTTGTCGCCGAAGATAAATGGAAGTGTGGCAACATTGAAAGATGCAATCCAATTCTCCGATGATATTCCCAACCTCGATTGCCTTTTTTTTTCCTTTTTTTTCTGTACTCGTAGCACCATTGTCATACTTTGAAGAATAGAACATGCATGCGAACGGTAATGGAGGTTCAGGATTCGAGGGCCCCTGGAAGGCGTTGAGGGATCCTTTTCTTTCCCCCCACCAAGTGTCAATGGCCCTAAGGCTCTAGGCTCTAAGGTACCTAGGCTCTAGACGTCTAGGCTTGGTCATGATTGAAAATCCGATTTGGGTAAAGAAATGATTGAATAAATTGATGAATAGATTTCCAATTAAATTGACTTTTGAGGGGGGGGGGAGTTTTGGGGGGTGGGGGGTAGGTTCGAATTCAGACGAATTGAATTGAGTTGGGTCTGCAGTCGCATGTAATAAAATGGCAACCAATGAATTAATCGATATTGCAGCAGCAATGCTCATCATCTCATCAAGCGTCCATAACCCATCCACAGTCTCCCTACTCCGTTGTCGATAGCGCTATGCCAAACTAAAAAGCTACCTTATGCTGCCATGTTTCCCATCATCCAAGGTACTTTATCCATTATCCCAATTTATTATTGAACTTTATTCCTCTTATTCCTGTCCTGCCATGACTCCCTTCCTTCCTTCCATTCTATTTACTTGTCATCATCATCAACAGACAGCGTCATCAGAAGTACAATCATGCTTCCCCCGTCCCCTCCAAAGCCTCCAAATCCTCTCCCCCAACCGATAGAGGAAAGTACGAGACGGACAAATACTCATTCGGCGGATATGGGTGCAAGTGGAACCAGAGCACCTCGAGCTTTACCTCAACCGGTAGAGACGAATATCAAGCATTCTCGTAATTCAAGCATGGACAACACATCGCATGACCATTGTCCCGATCCACTGACGTCAGGTAAACGTCCACTCCCACACCCAATTGAATCCACCTCGCATTCCTCAAAGCCCCGGAGGTTCGCTCCTCAGATCATTGACACCCAACGCCGCTCCCGGAGGAATACCGACACGAGCCCCGCTGTGACGCCGACAGATGAGACTGATGCCGCCCCCGGCCACCGGGGTCATCTGCCCAGACATATGAGGCCCAGCGCTCTCCCAGTCCCTCCAGCCAATTCCCCCATTGTCAGCTCCGATCACATCCCGCAGCTCCCCGAATCCAACTTCTCATCCGCCAACTTAGCCAAGAAACAAGAACGAAGACACTCCTTCCGCGTACCAGACCTGCCAGTCATCAAGTCCCAAACCGAAAGCGAGGAGTCCAATGACTCGAGCCTACCCTCCCTATCCACTTCTCCCTCTGCCGACTCCGACGAAACACAAACAAGCAGGCGGAAAAAGAAAAGGAAGAAAAAGGAAGTAGCTCGACGTGAGAGCCAGCATGATCAATACGCTGGATACCTGCTGTCTCTAGCCGCCAACGCCGCAGAGAAGCAATTGAGGGAACAGGCAATGGCCGCGTACCCCAACGAAAACCTGCATGAGCCCGTAGATCATTATGCCATCGACCGGGACTCTGAAGATTTGGATGTCGAAGCTGGAGTCGGTAATCTTGGTTTGAACGGCACGGGAGATGAGGACGGCCGGAACCCTGCAGGCCGCAAACATAGAGACTCCGCCGCGGGATGGGATATGGCTGAAATGCGGCGACATCAAGACAAGCTGGAGCAGCAAAAGAGAGATCAATGGGCTACAGAACAACCGGAGTACGGTCGCCGGCGGTCAGTCAAGAAGTCGATACATGATGCAGGCAATGTCCACAAAGGTGGTGAAGTCGCTGGTGCCCCTCCAAAGGATATCATGGGATGGCAGAAAGACAATGAGATGAAGCCAATGCGGAGTGCTGCAAGTCCCCCTATGGGCGGCGAGAACCTCAAGTTTCCAAAATGCCTATCCCCACAGGTCACCCGCATGGATGTTAACCAATATCCTGGCATGAAGAACTACAAAGGACAGGAAACGCGCCAACACACTGGTCTATGGACCCCAGGTGGTGGATCCAGTCCGCACGATTCGATCAATGGTCTTTGGATGGGTGTCAACGCAGCCGCCGCACAAGCGAAAATGGTTGTCCCGCAAGCCCTCAGGAGTGGTCTCCTCACGCCCAGCTTTGAGCGCGGCGACCCCTTCTCAGCAAACGGAGACTACGGCAGCCATCAGCTTCCTCCTTCCCCACCTAGCTCCCTGGAAGATAACAAGATCGACAGTACCCTCCACCGCGAACTCTCCATGGAGCAAGAGCTCAATGACACTTTCGTCACCCAAGTCTACAACTACCTCTCTCTCGGGTACCCATCCCTCGCGCGAAAGTACGATGAGGAGCTCAGCAAGATTACCAAGGTCCCAATCGAGGATTTGCGCAAAGACGACGGCAGGGTCAATGCGAAAGGCTACGTTGGGGCGCCCGAAGGTACAGGAAGTGACGTGAGGGGCGTCATGGAAGGAAACACAAGGTGTGAAAGGTGGTGCGCGTTGAGAAGATATGTGAGGGAGTGGGGCAGACAGCAACCGCAGATGGGTGTAATGGAGGAGGCCGATGGCGGATGGGGTGCCAGGGCAAGAAAGGGGAGTTGGGCCCTATGAAGTGGTCATCGGCATGGGCCCATGGACCTGCATTGTGGGTGTTTTCTTGATGTTTTCCGCTTGAGGTAACGGTGTCTATGTTGTTCATGTCCTTTCCAACTTGTTCATGTCGTCCGTGTTGTCTCAAAGCGTGCATTTACGGCCGAGATACAAAATGGGAAGCGGGAGTTGTGAAAATCTAGAGCGACGGCGATGGCACTGATGGCGCTGATGGCGCTTCTGACAGCAAACCAAGGAACGCTTTTCCTTGTCTCCTTTTTTACCAGGTGCCTGTTCTCTCTTTTTGATTTCTAGAAGGCATCTTACGATCGAGGAGAGGGTGAAAAGGGAAAAACGCCTGTTCTCTTTCTTTCGAATGTTAAAAGGAGGCAGTTTATGATCACGCGGAGAGTAAGAATGAGAACATGACAAAATGTCATCTGAGGCAGGCATATCATAGAATGATAGCTAGATATTAGAACAAAGTCAAAGGAAAGAGCAGATTTCGAATCCATTACCGTTCGGTGATTCATTCCACACATAGAAAACCCCCACGCCCTCGTGATCCCAAATCCCATCCTCAACTCCCAGTCCTTCTTCTTCTTCTTCTCCTTCTCCTCCTCCTCCTCCCTCCTCCTCCTCCCTCCTCCTCCCCCCACAACCTCAGCAACTCATTTACCCCCCCTCCCTCCTAACCCCCCACGGAAACATCACCACCCCCAAAACACAAACGAACCCCCCACACCCGCCACCGCCAACCGCAACCCACGCACCCGATCCGCGGCGCCAAGGCCATTCCTCCGCGCCCCCCCCCCACTCACTCACTCACTCACTCACTCCACCATCATCATCATCATCATCCGATCGCACGGGCGGCGCATCCTCCGGTGATCCGGGATCCGCGTGCTGGACCGCGGGTTGTAGGGGTGGATGGGGATGGGGATGGGGATGGGGATGGGGATGGGGATGGGGATGGGGATGGGGATGGATGGGGGGGTGTTCGAGGCACGTACGAGATCTGATGATGATGATGATGATGATGATGATGATGATGATGAAGAAGAAGATGATGAAGATGAAGAAGAAGAAGAAGAAGATGAAGACGAGCGAGGTGGGTGGGGTTGTCGTGCCGGGTTGGTGTTGCTGGGTTGTTGTCGTTGTTGTTGTCGTTGTTGTCGTCGCTGGTGGGAGGAGGAGGAGGGAAGGGATCTGGGCGGTTGGTCGGCGTTCGTGGAGGAGGAGTGCGGTGGGGAGGAGGGGGGGTTCGGGGTGTTGGTGATGTAGATAGAGGCTCGGGAGGGCATGCTGGTGGAGTGGACGGGATGCTGGTGGGCGGTTGGAATGCCGTTTTGGGTGGGTTGGTGGGAAGGGGGGGGTTCCTTGTTTCGTGTGTGGAGGTGGGTGGAGAGATGGGAAGGGGGAGGGTTTGGAAGATGTTTGAGGAGGGAGGACATATGTAAGACTTTTTTGTTCTGAAGTTTGTGTGGGGGCAGTGTGCTCTGAGATGTTTCGGAAAGCTTTGCGTGGGTGAAAAGGAGATTTCTTGCTGGGAACAACGAAGTCCGTGCGGTTTCACATGCACATGTATTCTTTCCACAGCTCTATGAGATGGCTTTTGAAGGTGACGGCAAGCGATCAAGCAGGCTGCCGAGACGGATGAGAAATGAAAGATGAGTCTTGACTTTTGCGCTTTTCGGAATACATGTACAGCACGCTCAGCAAAGCTACCCTGACCTTTCACAGAATTCATTTCCTGTTGTCTCTTCTACGTCGCAGCTGGCTGCACGAGAATATTCCCTGTCCCAGGTCAGCAAATCCATCAAATGCAGACTAGGCGCTAATGGAGCAGCTTACCGCCATCAGGATAGAGAACCTGGGAGTTGAAGAACAAACCACCAGGGCCTGCAAGGAAGAGGATGCAGGCAGCCATGTCTGAGTCATGGCCTGTACGACCCGCAGGATTGGACATGCTCATGTCGAGCTTGGATTTTTGGTCTTCTCCTGACGAACCGGCTGTCATCTCACTGGGGAAGATGCCTGGCGCGATGCAATTGACGCGGATTTTGGCTTCGGCGAAAGTGGTGGCCATCATTCGCGTTAGGTGGATGAAGCCTGAGATGAAGGGTGAGCATGCATGGAGGAGCCACGGGACTTTCGACAGGATGACGTACCAGCTTTCGATGTAGCATAGGCGAACTGCCCGTTGCTTGTCCCCTTCATGACGCCGGATATGGAAGCCACGTTGACAACCGAGGAGGTATAGCCAGGCGAAACGTTCCTGCCCTTTTCCAGCAGGGGCAAGAAAGCCATGGTAGTGAAGAACTGCGCTATGATGTTTGTTTGGAATGTTTCTGCCCACTGCTCGGGCTCGCTCTGCATAAAGTGCTCCGAGATGGCTTTTGCAGAGGTCCAATCTGGCGTTCCGGCCTTGGAAAATCGAGTATTATCATCTCTTGCAATGCCAGCATTGTTGACAAGCAGATGGATTCCCTTGGACTCCTTGCTCGCCAGCTCCTCTGCAAGACGCTTGACGTCGTCTTTGCTGGATATGTCGCCTGGAAGGGCAATGATCTTGCCAGGTCCCGTATTGTATTGCTCCACCACCTTGTTCAAGGCGTCTTGGCGACGTCCTGTAATGTAGACTTTGGCGCCGTTGGAGGCCAATGCTTGGGTGATCATGAGACCGATTCCGGTTCCTCCGCCTGTGACTACGGCAGAAAAGTTGGAAACATCGAAGAGCTTGGAGGCTTTGAGGTCCTCATTTGACCTGACTGAGGGATTGTCTGAAGACATTGTTCTGATCACGGTGAGGGTGGTTGGTAGTAGTTTGGCAAAGGTTCTTGGAGAGAAGTTTCGAGCTAGAATCGAAGATGATGCTGTGAGATGTTTAAGCATGGCAGTCTCGGTTCAAGTATATTTTGACAGGGACAGTGCAAATGACGTTGGCACGGCCTTGGAGCCGGTCATGACACCAATGACGTTTGGAAGAATGGTGACGTCGAGCCCCATTGCTGGCGGCATCCAACGGCGAGGCACAGCTCAGGAATCTTCTGAAGCTGCAGCATGGATTGATTGACAGTCAAAGAGGCGGCACATTCATTGAATAGCATCATGATCACAGTCAATGATTTCTCAGATGTAGACCTCCCCAGAATGCAACCTTCGTGTCCCAAATGCTTGGCGTGAACTGGAGGCACAAATCCTGCACAAAATATTATGCAATTACACACCAAGGCTTGAACTGCTTCCTCCAGCTGTATGGCAGCTCAGCAGCTCAGTTGGCTATTTGACGACCTTGTATTCAACAGTCCTGGGCTCACACTCTACACCTTTGGCAAACCTGAATCTTTCCCTTCAGACCTCGGCTTACTTCTACCATCCTCGATTTGCATCCTCAAATGATGTTGAGCGCCACGCAACCCTCGCATGGTATGTTACGCTGTCATCTTAGTCTCTGGCTCTTTCCTCTCTTGTATTCTCTCGCACAGTTGAAACAAACAAGCATAGGGGTCCAAGCGTGGGTCGAAGAGAGGATGATGACATTCTTCAAACATTCTGGTCATTTGAGCGTCCTGGCTTGCTTGAAGGAAAGCTCGCCTGGCTCCTCCCCATCGCTAGCATTGGTCATTCCGGGAGGCATGGTCACCGTGCCCGACGAGGCTCGACATTACGGGAAGCGGTGAAGCGGACTTTTGCATCTTCTGGTGATCGATAGATAGAGTCGGACGGACGAGAGATGATGGCACAGGTGGCTATGCACTTATATTATCAAACGACGTTCTTGAAGAGATAGTCTTCTACTCGATCTGATGGTCGTGTGTGTTTTGCCTGCTGCTTCGATGTGAACAATCCACTCTTCCTGAATCGTTGCGGCAGCATGTCGTCGAGAGGGTGAAGGAAGTGAAGCGCAGCTTCAAAAGTTCCGTTACCGAGATCAAGGGAAACGCTCGTTCCATTCACGTGACCGTTTGTTTCCCTTGACTTCGTCATCCGTGAAGTGAGAGAGACTTATACATTTCACCTTTCCCAGCCTCGGTGTCACATGGCACAACGCTCTTCGCTGATTGACGCCAAGAACGTACACAACCATCGCCTTATGGTCTGCATGGAGAAAGTCTGGAAGCTAAAGCTCTAAGAGGATACCGGCTCTTACGGTTTCATACAAGTTCGAAGCGTTCAGGTCGCGTTCTTACGGCCAACCAACACTTTTCTATATTTTTTTCAAATGTGGGACGACTAAAAAGTATCCGGATCGACATCCTCAGCATGTTCAGGTGCTGATGTACATCCTCGCAGTAATCATATTCGTTAGAGCACCCTTGACCTCTCGGTAGAGGCTACGTAGCAAACAGCCTTCCCAAAAACCAAAGAACGCAAGGTGGAAAATCACAGCCGTGATTGCTTCTATTTGCTGCTTATGTCATTCTCAGCATGTCTCTCGCATGTACAACCACGACTCAAAGTGCGCCACTCACCTTTCTCTCCGTCTCGCAAACGAGCCTCCTTACCTTTCAGCCCTTCTCCAACGCACTCATGATACATACCAACATCTCCACTAGGCGGCATACGATGCGTCGCCCACCCTCCGGTCCATGACCCTGCATCTATCGCATCGCTGGTGATTGCATCCTTCCATGTAGCATACCAGATCCGTATCGCGGCTGAGCTCGGCGTCGCCGCATCTGCACTGTCCTGTGAGTTAGCGAGCGCTACGGGAGGAACGCCCTACTCCTGAAACAAAGAAGAAACATGGGAAAAGTTAACTCACGCAATACCACAGCCTCCTCACCTTCCCCTTAACCACTGGTCCAGCCACATTCGGTAGACGCCGAGCTCTTGCCATAGCAGCAGCCTTCGCCCTCGCCGTCTTCTCCTCCATTCCACCAGCCTCCAACACAACAAGATCCCCGTCCCCACTCCCATCCCCATCGGCATCCGGCCCGCTATCCTCCTCATCACTGCCTCTCTCCTCCTCCGCTTCTCTCGCCTCCTTCTCGGGATCACACACCTCTGCAAGTTCCAACGCCCCCCTCGGCACTTCCCCTTCCAGCGGCACCCAATCCTCGACTCTGGTGCCTTTTTTGAAATGCTCATCATCGATATGATTGAACCGCTCATCCCATGCCTCGATACCCATTTTCTCGAGCCGAACGACCGTCTGGCAGAAACCGCACCAGAAGCCGCATTGGCCATTCCGACCCACGCGGCGCTTCTTACATTGGTCTTTGACGTACTGCTCGTGTTCACGGCCGGCGAGATTGTGTTCTTCGTGCAGATGGGTCATGAATAGTTCGCGGCGGTAACGGAGACGGCCGCATTGTTTCCGGGTGGTAGTCTCGATGGTCCCTGAGTGTTTGCCTCTGGTCGTGGCGAAGTCGGAGCCGTCCGAAATCTTGGGTTCGGCGCATTTCCAGGCTTCAACTTGGTAGTGCATACTGTTTTCGTGGCGTTTCCAGTCGTTTTTACTGCCGAAGCGGCGTGGGCAGTTGGTGTAGGTACAGCCGTAGGGACGGGTATGGCGTTTAAGGTGTTTGCTGTCGACGTTAGCGTATCTCACTAATGCCTCCACGCCGGAAGGTTCAGAAAGGCGAAGCAGTAACGTACGTGAGATCACACTGAGTCTTCTTCTTCTTGTGGCAGAATCGACACTGAAGCTGCTTTTCCGGATCCGTAAGCTCCCTGCAAGGCGAATCTTGAGGGTTCCGTTTCCGACTCTTGTTGGCACTCAGTAGACTAAGAACACTGGTCCTGATGACCAATTCCATTTCTTCCTTACTTCGCGGGTCAGCTTTGCTGAGATCCGAAGCTATGGCTTGGGATGCCTCGTCAGCTGAGATTGCCAAAGTCCGCGATCTATCAGTGTTTGTTGTTTGCGACCCTCGAGCATCGGCCCATGCTGAACCATCTGGGAAATCTTTTGGGTGATGGACTACCGGCTGCTGTCTTCTGGACGGTGGCGAGAGCTTTGCAAAACTTGATCCCGGGGTGGCAAGGCATCGCTCCGGCGCTGGAGGAACATACTGGCCGTCTGGAGCCATTACCCTCTGGTACTGGTCGATTAGTTCCTGGTCTAAGTCCATGAGGTCTCCCACGTCCTGGTTCGAGGCACTATACAGATTGGCCGAGTCTTGAGACATAGCGCTCATATACGCATTGCCTTGTTGATACGGAGTCGAGATACTGTCGACATTAGAAGAGTCATCGATCTCTGGCAGAGTCACCAAATACGGCATATCATTTTCTGTGGTACCATCATCTTCATAAATGCTTTGCTGGCAGAGCTCTAACGAATGAATAAGACCGCGCCTAGAACCACCTTGAGTCATAGAGCATCCACGTTCCCAGGACCTACGGCACTATCAATACCTTTTCATCGAGTGCGCGACTTCGAAGAGATCTACTGACTTGTCCATAAGCTCTTGATGATTCCAATCAGTGTGCAGGCGTTTTATGTGCTGCCGGAAGTTGTCCGCACGTGGCCAAATCTTGTTCTTCTTGGCGCAGTGAGGTGCAGCGCACATGAAAGATTTGCCAGTGTAGACTTGGTGAATACTCTTCTTGTGTCTGTCCAGGTCGTTCTTGGTGGTGAAACCCGTCTTTCTGTTGCAGCCTGCTACTTCGCATTTGAATGGTTTCTCATGGCGAAGTTTGTGTTTGCTGTCCCATGTCAGTCATTGACAGTCGAAGCTAGAGTTAAGGTTGGACATACTTGGATTCTGACTTGTTCTTGATAACTATTCGCGGTCCACACTCCTTGCAACCCCATTCAACACTATTCTCGATCTGATGCTCTGCATAGGGTCGCTCAGCATAGGAGCATTGAGCCTCTTGAGAGACTTGCGAGGGTCTCTCAGTTGGATAGAGCATGTACGGTATCTGGTCGCTCGGAAGCTCCATGGCGTTCATGGCTCCGTTAAGGCTTTGCTGACTCGAGGCGGGAAACTCACCACTGAAGATCGACTGGGTTGCGGGACTTTTGGTGTAATATGCAGAGTCAGGGGGATATCTTCCCGAGACGCTACAGTCCATCTCAGAAGCAGAGTGAGGCCAATGCTGTGGTCTGGGAACCGGATAGTTCATTCGTCCCCAGGCGCCGGAATAAGCGCGGCTCATAGGATACTGGAAAGGTCCTCCATTGACAAATTGCGGATTCCACGGTTCGGGGTAAGAGTTGAGTGATGGATTCGGCTCTGGCTCCTGATGTCCTACGGAACCCGATTGTGCGTCTTGAGTAAGTGGTTCCAGATCATTGATCTGGCGTGGGTAAGCGGGTCGTGGTGATGTGGGTCCTTCAAGACCAGGGGTGGGGAGTAGCAATTGGTTAAGGTCAGCGCTCGACGAAGAGGCCGTGTTGGTGTAAGCTTCAAGAGCAGGGTCAATAGCGATGGAGGTTGACGGAAGATTCATATGCTGTAATTGATGGTATCCATATTGAGATCTGTTATGTCTTTTGCTGCGACCATAATGAAACTGTCACGTAGTCAAATCAGCCATGCTCAACTTTTGCCGGGGGTTTCTTTTTGCAGTGGCATGGTGATGGATTCTGTCTACCTCCGGCTGAGCCTCGGCATCAACATACGGCCTTTTCCTGGAAGGCGTCATGATGGAGATAGTAGGCGAAGTTCAAGGTCAAGGTCAAACGCTACGACGTGATCGAATCGACATGCCTGCTTGCGATGTTAGGATGCGTAAATTGTGACTAAAGCGATGGCGCCTGAACGGTAATAGTTGCTGCTATCAGTGCTATGTGTTTGGGGGTTCGCTCCGCAATTGAGGCAATGCGAATGCGGACGGACACATTCTCCCAGCTGTGCAAGCTGTCCAAAATTGAGGGCGGATGGGGGGAGGGGAGGTGGGCACTAATACTAGCAATCCGATCACACTGCACAGCCTTCTCTAGTGACAAGAGAGACCCGCGTTGATTATTATTCTTACCATGCAGGTACGCATCCGGTCTCCTCATTTCCCTTCATTTCCTGGTGTACTTTTGGACCGGATGTCGCGCTAGAGAATGTCGGAGCAAAATATCATACGTCGCACAATGTCAGCATATTAGCTGTCGACATTTGACTGGAAGATAAGATGATTCTGTGCAACTTCGGTGAAAGAATTGTGGAGCTGGGAAAGAGTGAAGCTTGCAGATATGTGCACCGCCGGAAAGGTGTGTGTGTGTGTGTGGTTGCCTGGTTCTCCTTCTATCTTCGGGGCGCAGAAACCCCTCAATCCTCTTGACCGAACTTACGGAGGTACCTCCAAATTACCCTTCGCACAACGCTCATTGGCTACGCGCGGCAATCCACATGGATTTGATTGCCTGCGGTACTGACTTGGACACAATCTATCTTCCAAGCAATCGTCCTGAGAGATAGCCCGATTCTTCTTTCTCTAGCAGTAGTACGGATGTATCTTCATTCCTACCAATTGAGCAACCTAGAATGTACGGAGTAAAGCTTTTTCGCCTCGAAAACATAATCATGGTTATATGACATGATACTATTCGCATCATATGTGGTATATTGCAGTACTATCCTACAGGCTATGCAATGGGAAAACATGGGAAAACATACATGAAATACCAAAAACAAAAAGATTCAAGCCAGGGGTGACGACTCTATCCGGCAAATTCTAAAGAGCCAACATATCTACACAATCATCATCTATCAACGTCGTACATTCCACCATCGTAAATCTTCGTAGAATAGTTACACCCACTAGGAATCGACAGGCTTATATATCAATGCTGACCATATGGGTAACCTTGTTGACGCTGTTGCTGTTGCTGTTGCTGTTGATGATTATACGAAGGTGCATTATGGCCCCCTTGCGGGTAGCCCTGCATATGCCCCATTTGATCGTATGTCATTGGCAATCCGCCGCTGATCGAGCTTTGGTGTGTAGTGTACGATGGTGCGGGGGCACCCATGTGCTGCTGTTGTTGCGAGTATGAGCTTGGTGGACTTCTTTGTTGCTGATACGGAGGCTGCGGAGAAGTCTGTTGCTGGTACGACGCTGGCGGAGGTGAGTGTTGTGTGAACGGGGGCTGTGGAGAAGTCTGCAGTTGCGGGTACGAGCTGGGTGTCGCATTGCCAAATTGGTAAGCATTCCCTTCAATCGGACTAAACGCCTGCTGTTGCTGAGGCACATATTGAAACCCCTCGCCGTTGTCGTAAGGCATCGCACGTGGTTGGGAGGTAGGTGGCTTGAGACCGCCATGTATGTTCTCGGGGCTTTGAGTTGGAGGCTGCGCCTGCTGAGGATGGGTAAAGCCGCTGCTGCTTGCGTTGACCGGGTTGAATTGAGGTGCTGGTGATGCACCGAAGGAGCTATTATAGTCCGACATTGGAGCTTGCGAGTGGGACAGAGGAGCATGCGAGTGCGGCATGGGAAACGGGCTTCCGCTTGCACTTCCACGATGCTGCTGGGCGTAACTTGCGGCCAGGTGTTGTGCATGTCCTGGTGGAGGGTACGTATTTGGAGAGACTCGCTGCTGGTAGTTCATGGTCTGTGGCTCCGTTGCTCCTGCAAAGTAACTGTTCTGAGGTGTCATCGCAGTAAACCCAGTAGGTAATTCACCTACACTTCCCACTGGCATACCAAATGGAGAAATGGAAGAGGAGCTAGTGTGAGTGAACGGACTCTGTGCAGTTGGCGAGATGCTGTTCTGCTGAGAGATCACGCGCTGTTCAATGGGGCTAATGATAGTCTCGGATGTGACCTCTTTCTGCCTCACAACCCCAAGGACCGGCATGCTGATCTGTTCCATGTGCTTGGCGAGATGCACAGTAAGCTTCTTCCAGCTGTTGCAGATATTGCCACAGAACTTGCAAGCTTCGTCTTTGGGGTTCTTTGGCGTCTCATGCCTGCATTCCTCAACAAGCTTCCATACTTGGTCGATCTCGTCGTTGGAGTCCTCCTCATCTCCGTGCTTGACGCGAGCCTTCTGGCTTGACGGACCTCGTACAGCAGGCTTGCCGTTCTTGGTCGTCTTCACCTTGGGCTCAGGAAGCTTATGTTCTCGAACCAAGTGCTGGACGAAATTGTCTTTGCGATAACACTTGTGCGCGCAATCGTTCATGTTGCACATCCACCACTCCAACTGGCGATGCCTTTCATTCTCATGCCTGACCCAATCGGCCTTGCGCTTGAAAGACTTGGGCTCGGCACAAGAGGCGAAGGTGCAGGTGAAAGGCTGGACATCTTCATGGACGTGTTTTGACCAGTCGGATGGCTTGTGGAACTTCTTGACCTTGAAGCATAGCGAGCATTCGAACTCTGCGGGGAGGCGTTTGACAGGTGGCATGGGTACCCCCGGAGGAAACTGTGCAGGGGTAACAATCCCTTCGGCCAAGGCGTTCACGTCCTCATCAGACTGTCCCAGGCCGGCAACCGAGAAACCGGTGTGAGTCGTCTCAGGCTCTCTGCCGCTTGACTTCGATGGCAGATATGTGGGCTCGCCTCCCAACTCGGTGCAATGTTTACCAGATTGACATTTACCTATGCTAAGTGCCTGTGCATGCTTGATCTTGAAATCCATGAGCTTCTTGAACCGTCGTAATTGCTCTTGCGCGATTCGATCAAACATGAATAGAGGTAACCGTGGATTAAGTTGTCGTATATTGGACTTGAAGCCGTCGAGTGTGGGAACGATCGTATCAGGTCGGATGGATAGGTCCATTATGACACCAGCGTCTTCAGCTCCTTCCTCTTCATCTTCGTCCTCAGCGTCCTGAAGGCTAAGGTATGAATCTTCATTCTTGACAGGCGATGCAAGCGATGGTAGCGGGGGTCCTCCTTGCTTGTTCCAAAGTTCAGCTAGACCAAGATCCGTATTTGACGAGGAAGGTCTCTGGAGACCCAGGGCATTCATATCAGTGCGACTCCTGGGACGCTTCAACTGGTTCTTCGGTGTCGGCCACCCAGTAGGAGAAGATGTCGCCGTTGCGCTGACGGAACCGCCGGCGCCAAGAGCGCCAGCCTGGAAGGCCATTGCGGCCACAGCACTCCCAGTGTTGATCCTAGGCGATTTGGGCCTTTTGCCTAAACTCGTCATTCTTTGAAGTCCCTTTGGTGTTTGTGGAATCCCCAGGCTATCTTTGCGGCTTCCAGAACTGTCATTTCTTGAATGTTCCAGCGGTGACGGACGAGCCGCTTGCTGGTTTGATGCATCACTTTCTTCGCGCTTCAACATACTTGCTCTTCTTGGTACGAGCTTTGCAGCTGCTTGCTGAAGAAAGCTACTGCTTCTCTCACGTTTCCCTTTGATCTTTTCGGCAAGCTTTTCATTGAAAGTGAAATGGCGAAATAGGCCCTCGAGGTCTGACTCGCTGAGGCGACGTGTGCCCCACGTAGCAACACGAGAGAGCGTCTCGATATCTCCAGCTCGCTCTTGAAATCTCATGATGGCAGCGTTCGCGGTTTCTGGCTGCGTCTTAATACCAGGGTCTGAACTATCGTAGAGCGGGTCTTGCCATACTTTCGCACGGTAGAGCGGGGGTTGGTTGGGCAGCTCATCGTATACCCCAGGTTTGGCCTCTCCAGGGGTGTCATTGACAGGCTCGCCTAATGCTGTGGTTGGTGGAGGCGAATCGTCGATACTTGCTGCCTCATTCTCATCTTCTTCATCCTCGTCGCCACTTTCCTCATTTATTAGTACTCCAGGTCCAGGTATATGCGCGTCTACAACAGAAGCTTTGAAGCTCTCCAGGTTGGCATGTGACAGGCTCTGAGCTCCCGTACTCCTCGCCCTTTGCCGTTTGTTCGTCTGTGACGGCCTTCGTGGTGCAGCATCATGCGCATCCTCGCTACCCGGCTCGCTACCGGCAAGCCACTCCGCCACATCTGTGTTTTTCATTGCTATCTGCGCATTCTCCTCCTGGTCCCTGAGGTTAGGTAAGTCTATGTTGCTGACTTTAAATCTCGATTCGGGGTCCAGGCCTGATCGGCCACCGATTGACGCGCCCCTACTATGCATATCATCGTCCTCTTCGTAGTCATCCTGATCATTTTGTACAGCAAGGTGTGACGAGGCGCTTCCGGCCCGACTTCGTTTGCTGCCGCTCCGACCTAGCAGCGCCGCTCCCCGAGCTGGGGAGTCTCCTCGGGTATAGCTCTCGATGCGTACAACAGGACTTGGTGGGCGCATGACATGTGGCACAGCAGAGGAGAGGTCGGGGCTTGTGCCTTTCGAACTTTCTGTCAGCGTCGGCGTTGTTTGTTGCACTGCGCTGATGGGTTGAACCTGGTTCGCATTCCCTTGCTGCATGTCATTGATAGAATACCCGGGAGGCATCGTTCCGGGAAATAACTCGTGTTTGGCATATCCTCCCTCCATCGCTGGTGGACTGGCGGTGGCCTGTCTTGATCCAGGTGCGTCGGAATTCGTCAAAACGGGGCTCATAAGATGTGATGAGAGGGTAGCAGCTCCGAGGGAGGTGCGTGTGTAATTAGAGTTGTGTGGGCTGTCGATATCGGCGCTGTCCTGTGGCAGGTGGCTGTTCTGAAACGAGGCCGGATCATTCAAACCGACGTCCTGGTTTGGGTTCTCCAGCAGGCCAAAGTCGTCTTCTAAGTAGAAGCCGCTGCCAAAGTCTGGACTTGTAGTATGCTCGCTCGACCCGCTGTATCCATTGTCCGATACATATGCATTAGGGCTTAAGAAGGCATGAGCAGCATTTGGATTCTCGGATTCCAGTTCGGAATGCGGAGAATCGGGCGAATGGAAGCTGTTGGAGGGAAGGGTTTGTGAGGACAGTTGTAGGTGGTTGTAGTGGTGGGGAGGGGTTTTGGAATGCCGAGGGCTGGCGTCGGCGGCCGTGGAGGTATGAGGCGGTGGTGATGTAGCCTGGTAGGAGTAGTGACTTGGAGAATGATCACCGTCTATTTGGACCAGCTGTTCCTCGCTTGGGGAAGATGGGAAGAATGGGTCGTAGTAGGTTTGCTGGTTGAACCCGACTGGATGGGAGCTTTGACCAGCGGTTGGAGACGTTGAATGCGTGGTAGACATCTTGCCCAGCGGGAGATTAATATGGGTCTAATCGAATCGGTATTTCGATTGGCTTTTCACCAGACCGTTGACCCACTGGACCTATCTCCGCCACCAAAGTGTAGAGAACCCAGGGTTGGGAAATTTTGAGATTGAGAGAACGAGATCAGCATAGGTATGGGGTTCGTATACGAGGCGTCAAAAGGCTGATCTTGGGCCCATTGCTGCAAAAGGCTGGATTCCCATCGAGGTAAGGTGGGAGGTGGATCGCTGTATGAGGCTCTTGTTGGGGACGAGGCTGATTGGGAAAGGTTGGTGGAATGATGATATGCAGAATGTAAGGTAGTGTGATGCTTCTAGAGAGTTGAATGGTTGCTCGCAGAGGCAAGGAATAGCAGTAGTTAACGATGAGGTAAAGTGTCAGGTACGGGGGGTTCTTTTGGTGGGGTCTGGGCTAAGGATATTACAACGCCGCACCCCTGGTCAATGCTGAAAAACATGTATTGAAGGGTAAGAACAATGGCGCTTGTTTGGAGGGGAAGAAATGCCCGAGGGGTTTGTTTGAGATTGATGATCAAATGGATAATGACAGAGCTTGGTTTGAGATTGACCGAGGCAAAGGGACATGCGTTTTGGAGGAGAGCTCGGTGTTGACGAGGAACATACTGCTGCTCTAGGTATGCTATTATTATTGTTACTTACAGTAGAGTAATAAAGAATGATAATAGCTCGCATGCTGGGGAAAGCAAACGAGGCTGAGGCTGCTGCTCCGGCGCATCGGCAAGGCTCAGCGTCTAAGGTCCCTTAAGGGATAGCCTTTCCTCGCTTAAAAGCAGGGACCACCTCAGGGCAGACTTCCGGAATCAGCCCTAGAAGATCTAATAATCCTTTGGGTTCTTTTTTTCACACCTATTGGATCATCGTCGTTGTCATCATCATCATTATCTTCATCTTTTCATCACTTCATCTACCGACCACTTCTTATCCAACTTTCTACTCCCTTCGTATTACTGCGTTGTTGTTATATACGCACATCCATGTCGGCTCTGTTGTTCAGACTCGAGGACTTACGGAATACGTCGCACTTCATTTCCACATACACAGCACAGCCCACTCTTCGTTACGAGTTATACCCAAGTATCAGCAATGTTTCAGGACGATGGTCTACTCTAATATAAAATGAGGCGAAGAGATCTTCTCATCATTACTCTATCTGAACCAAATTTCATCCCTGTACCTGGAATTCGGAAACAGTGCCAAGTGATAAGGATTACATCACTCGTCAATGTGGAACTCAAAAGGCGGAGCAAACCCCTCAATCATCGTGATTCGTGATTCGTGATCCGTGATTACGCATCTCTACAATAAAAACAATCCTCCATGTACTCTTGCCCTCAGGCCTTGAATGACAACGCTCGTGAGAATGCCCGACTCGGCTCGCTTGACATTTCAGGATCCTTGATATCTGAAGGAATGAATTGTTGTTATTAATGGGCCAGCAAGGTAATTTGGAGAACCATGAACTGTACTCACACACCATCATCTCATGTGCTAGGATGTTACAATGTTGGTCCTCTTCTTCCTTCCCTCTCCCCGAGATATGCTACCCTTGGCTTCAATCTCAAATCACCTCGGGTCTCCAGGGCTGGGACATGAATGCGACAGTTGAGAATCTATGGTTCGTGCCGGTAAGATGCTTTGCTCTCTCGTGCTGCCATGTTATCTTTGTTCTCGCCGTCGTGGCCCTCGGCTAGGCCGAGTCTCTCAAAGGACGACGGCCGAGCTGATTTGCTAGAAAGAGGCATTCAACATCTTCACTGCTGCCTTTGGCCTGGCAGGATACGGAGCTCTACTCGCAGTCCTAGATAAGCCAACGGGTGAAACTGCCTTGCCGTGCCCTCAAATCTACGGCTCTTTGCAGCTGGAACTGCCCAAGGACCTGCCCGATGACCGTGTGCGTGTACATTGGCCTGACTAGGCGCAGAGACAGCCGGCCTAGGCTTTGGTGGAATGGCATTGTTACATTTTAGCCCTCACAGGGTACCATGAGTGTCGTCGATAGGCTACGGTTCTCCACGGGTACAAGTGCATCCTTTGATGAAGATATATCATCTGCCATTGAGGCATCCCTTTGTCAAACTTGACGTGCCGGAAGGAGCCCCTCGGCTTTGGCGATCCGTAGGAATTGGTGACACCTTAGCCGGCTTCTGCGTTTTGATGTCAATGTGACTAGGCCCAACACATCTAGAAAATCGGGACGCCTACCATGCCCAAACGCCTCCGTCAATTTCTGCAGCTTACTATTCTGCTCATTCAGCGTCCTAGCCGTGGTCTTAAAGTCCGCAGTCGCCTTCTGGAATTTGAAGCTATCAGCACCCCAACCGGCCTTCAGACGCTCAATCTCCCTCTGCAATCCTAGAACATAGTCCTCTGCCTCGCTGCTATTCCGTGACTGCGAGCTTTGCTTCAGGATGATTTCTTTCTCTCTCTGGTACTGAATCGTCAAAGCTTTCCGCTGTTCGTCCGAAGCTCTCTGGAGCAACGAGCGCTCTTCTTCCCATTTCCGTGTCAGGGTCTCACGCTGTTTATCCCATCCCTCTCTGGCCTGTAGATAAGTCCTGCGCTCTTCGTCGACGACTTTTTGCTTTGCTTCGAGGCTTTCCTCCAAGTCTCGTCGAAGGTTCGCCTGTCTGTCCTCAAGCTCACGCCTCTGTCGAGTCCATCTACTTTCCAGGTTTCGTGTCTCTTCTTCATGTGCTCTCCTCTCTTCAGCCAGTCGTTTTAACAGATTTGCGTCAGCAATGCGGGTATGTGCTTCAAGTTCGTCTTGCATGGCTCTTTGGTTAGTCCTCTGCTCTGCAATCATTCTGTCTCTATCGCGTTTGAAAGTCTCATTCAGCGCTGCCTCATACTCCTGATATTTCCGTCCTGCTTCCTTCTTCTCAGCGCGTAAGGTTTCGTTCGCCGCTTGCAATGCCTCATTATGCTTCCCTCCTGCAGTCAATCTATGTTGGAGCTCTTTGCACCGCTTTTCTAGGTTGCGTGTGTCCAGCTTCAACCGAGTAATTTCGGTTGAATGATCCTTACTCATTAGATGAAGATCCTTTTCCGTCTGCACGATGCGAATTTCGAGCTGTCGTACTTCAGCAGCTTTCCGCGCTTCCTGGTCACGTATATGAAGCTGGCTGGCTTCTAGCATGCCGCAAGCCTCATGATGCAGGCTCATGAGAGCGTGGAGGTCAGGTATTGCGCATGAAATGCGGTGGAACAATGCCATTGTGCTATCATCCGGTCTTTCCCCAATCGAGATTGGACCTCTGTCCCACTGACCCTGGTATGTCGAGATAGGAGGCTGAGGTGCTTCAGGCGGGTTGATGTGTGGCGGATGATGGCGGCTCGGCGGTCCGTACTCGGAATATTGAGAGAGGGCTTGAGAAGTAGGTGCATGCTGAACAGGGGGCGGGCCGATGGCTTGCTGTGTAGGAAGATACGCGAACTGTGGAGAATAATGCAATTGTTCTCCGGATGGCCCGACACCGTATGGCAATGGTGCTGAAGCTGGGGCTTTGACTCTAGAGACTTGTTTCGAGTCTTCTGACTTCAGTGAGGCGGATTTCTTCTGCTGCTGATCTTGGCCCGAAGGTGCTGGCTGCGAAGACGTTCCAGATAAAACAGTTTTGACAGACTCGGAGGACGATTTGCGAACTAAAGTTGCTGTGTCTGAGCTTGAAAGTAGACTCGAAGTTTTAGGAGGGCTTGGCTTCGCCTCGGCTGGTTTCGTGTCGGCTGGCTTCGTGTCGGCTGGCTTCGTGTCGGCTGGCTTCGCGTCGGCTGGCTTCACGTCGGCAGGCTTCACGTCGGCAGGCTTTGCGTCGGCAGGCTCCTTCGACCTTTCGGCTCGTGGGGTTGGTTGAGAAGATGCTGGGTCTGAAAGGTCAACAATAGACTCACAGTAAGGTGCTAAATAAGGCTGTACTGAGGCAGGGAGGAGGTGCTGCATTGTTGGCGATACTAACGTAGCAGAGGTTGATATGTTTGAGATCGATCTGTTCATTGGAGAAGTCGTTGATGATGGCGAGTCTGGGCCCGATTCCGGCAACTCGGGTAACTGATCCAAGCTTACACTTTGTTGGCTGAGGTCGGATGTCTGCGTCGAATAGTCCGGTGGCACAGGTGTTCGACTGCTTGAAGCTGATGGATCTCGATATTTCCTGCTACTACTGCTCGAGATGACACTTCGGTTGTCTTTCACATCGGGCAACTGATCCAGGTTCGCATTTTGAGGCGTGTATTCGGATAGCTGCGTCGCAGAGTCTAGCGGTACAGGCGTGCGGCTGCTTGAAGCTGATGAATCTCGATGCTTCCTGCTGCTGGTACTTGAGATAAGACTCCTGTTGTCTTTATCCTTGTCCTTATCCTTATCCTTGTTCGTTCTGCGAACACGCATAGGCCGGCCGTGAGTATCATATTCTATGCCTGGGTTGGTTGGCATGACTAACCAACGCCCTGCGCTGTAGTCAATACTAAATCTCAGCCTTGGAATTCACCTGGCTTACTGCTGGCTAGCACTCTGGATTTCTTTTGGGAAAGGCACTTCCCGAATATTATACCGTGCAAACAAGGCAACAGATCGATAAAGAATTTGGATGCGCAGAGCGCCAGTTAATCATGGATTCAAAGATATGGCGAGCAGAGACCGTTGCGCCAATGTGAAAGTGGTAGAGTTATCGTGAGAAAAGAAAAGAAGTAGGCAAGCAAGCAGGAAGGGGATGAGTAAGATCTTGTCCGGGTGCAAAGCAGGGGAATGGAGGTATGGAATGCTCTGGATAGTGCAAGCCATTTGGAAGAGGGTGAAATGAGCCTCTGAGACGGAGTGACTAACAGGCGACACGTATTTCAGGCAAAGCCGATGGTGTTGTAGACATTTATCATGAGCAAATAGTAAAGAGAGAAATCGCTCGTACCGTAGTCGGGGTCAGGCATTGGAGATTACATACGGTAAGTACGAGAGGAAAGGAAAGGAAAGAAAGGAAGAAAAAATTGACTTGATTGCCCAAAGGCATCTGGTGCAGGATGCAAGATGCAGGATGCTGCATGTTCAATGCAAGTTGGTCTAGAAATGGCATCCGGTGGCTTTGGGTCGGATAATGTACATGTGCCTATGCTGAATGGATTACCAGTCGATTTGGCGAAGTTGGGCAGCAATACCGCACGCTATCTTTCCCTCGTGCACTGAACCACTTATCAGCACCACCAGCCTTTCATCAAGACTAAAGTACCGGTTGGTAGGTAATCTTACCTACCTACCTACCTTACCACCATCGTTCTCTCGGCCGAATGACAACAAAGGCATCAACGCCCCGCGGCGCATGGCCATCCTGAATCCTCCAATGTCCTCAATCCTCACCAGAAAAAGAATGTCCGAGCGTACAGAAACGTGGAAGATTGGAAGATGGGAAGATGGGAAGATGGAAAGATGGGAGCATTGATTGTTATTCAGAATGATGGAGAAGGTTCAGGCAAGAGGCCAGCGGCATCGGGCCTTTAGCGCCCTTATCTCCTACCTTACTTGCATACACATGCGCACTGCTCGATTCTCCAATAAATTTGGAAGCAGTCTGGGCAGATGAAATCGCCGTGTTAATCCATGTGATGATCCTGCTTTCCCAAGGGCTGAAATATCATAGATAGATCAGAAGCATAGTAGTGTAACAGTGTCCCGAAGATGATCTAGGTATAAGGTATTGTACAATAGAGTACGCGTACTAGTACTCCCCACCCACCAAGCTCACTCAACCCGGAGCACCCTGGCCCCTCGTCGTTTGGCCGTTTTCTTTTTCTTGTTGCCTTTGTCGAAAGCAACCGCGCTGGCATGATCTCGACCCACGTTGTCAAGATCCTTGACCTTGTAGATCCGGATGATCCAATTCTCACTCGTAAATGCTTCCTCCAAAGTACTCAGCTGAGGACCGTCAGCAGGGAGCTTCGACCCTCGCACCCGGTCTTGCGCCTGCCCAGCCGGGAACAGAGCGTTGTAGTTGTAGTATGACATTTTGTACCTAAATTCCGTTAGCGACTCGTGCGGAAACACGCATCGTGCTGAAGCCTACATCAAGCTGTTCCGCATGGTTGGGGTAGCCTCGTCATCAACTCGGTATTCGCCTCGGGCGGTGAAGTAGTTACGCTCGTTGATTTCTTCGGGCCAGATACCTTCAGAAATGCGAACCATCCATAGAAACTTGTTAATGTCGTCACCGGAGTAGCCCAAGAGACCCCCAAAGACGACCAGCACATAATCGACGTCATGTTGTCGGAGAATCGGGTAGCTGACTTCCTCCCTAGAACTCATCGCCTTTCCGACAGTCGCGATGTGCGTGTTGTTCCACGTGTTGTTATCGACCAGCGTGGGTCTGTCTGCCATGCCACCAATCTGATAGCCGTAATCCCACCAGGACATGATCTTGGCCTTGTCCGCAGTGTTCTGTCGAAGCCAGTAATAGGCTTCGCGGTAATCATCAATAATGTGCTGACTTCCATCAGGGAGCTTGCTGGCAAGCACAACAGACGGAGAAGAGTAAGCGTTCGAGGTGACCCAAGTGCAGTGGAGCACGAATAACAATAGATACGTCGTCACTGCTCCAACGACGGAGGCTTTGGATATGTACGAGTAGATACCTAAGATGGGATTCCGCGTCGATCTCAACGAATCTTTGATCATATCGGTGGTACTTTTGACGCTGTCACCACGGGCCTGACCGTTAGATTGAGGCTCCTTTGGGATCGGATTCTCGGCCACGAGGTAGGTGTCCAGAATGCTTGAAAGTGCTAGTGCAGCCGCAATGCAAACGACCGGCGTCAAGGTCAGCATCAGACGAACCATGACGCCAGCAAAATAGCTGGCCAAGACTGCGTATATGACAACAAAAACATGCTCATCCTTCAGCTGCTGGAAGCACATGTAGACGCCGGCGGGGAAGAGCCAAATCATCAGGTTGAGGTCGAAGAAGAATGCAGGCCATGCGGTTGGCTGATGCTCAGACACCGAGGCAATAATTGGAATGTGGATCTTTGCGTAGCCAGTGTCCCAAAGCGAGTAGAAGCGACCGCTCCACGGAGCTATGACTCCCGAGACCGTCAGGAGAACCAAAACACCCATAGACACTACAAAAACTACAAAGATCAAGCCCCGAAGTAGGGTCTGAAACTGTTTGTTGGGAACTTGCTGGCGAATGAACTCCACAAAGGCCACCAGTTGGAGAAGGCCGAAGACACCTGGAACAGTCAGTCTATTGCCACAGTCTTCATCCTTGAGCCCAAATTTACCTAGTGCCGACATATGGTCGCTGCTTCTAATGGGCAAAAAGCCGACGAATGGAACCTGCATGCTGGCCAAGGTGCCGAGGGCAAACCATGTGCTGTAGCTTACGTAAAGTCTGGGACTGTATCTTCCCATACATATGAGCACAAACGTATGAAGTGGCAACAAATTGGTAATGAAGACGTAGCCGCCCCATGCTGAGACCATGTATCCATAGAACAGAGCGGTCAGCGCTCCCCACATGGCCGAACCATTTTTGACGGACTTGATCCATAAGAAGAAGGTGAACACGAGCAGAAAGATGGCAATAGCCTCATTGTCGTAACTTCCAGCAACGGATCTTGAGATGTATCCAGGTGTGATGCCCATAAAGACAGCTGCAAGCAGACCGGCAGACGGAGAGGTCGTCATTTCCGACGTGATCAGGTATGATGCAAATGCGGTAAGACCAGAGAATCCAGGAGCTAAAAGGACGCATATGTTTCGGATATCGACTGGCATTGACAGGAGTCGGAGGACGTGGTAGATGATACCACTGGTGACCATAAGCCCAGGATATAACGTGCCACCAGTGACACGTCCCAGTGGATGCCATGTTCCTAAAGAAACAGGACATGTCAGCCACTGCTGCTGTAGGTATGGGGTCTGGCTTTTCGGCCAACTTGCAACGTTCGCAGACACCCTGTATAGGGAATGATGCTGCGCAAGAGAGTGGAAGCCTCACGATCATCAAACCAGTCCCAGAAGCTGTAAAATCCATTCTGTACAAGATATTTCGTCGCTCGAAAATTGAACCAGGGATCGACTGCCTTCAATCAGCGCTTATATGCCAGAATGCCATCTGGATCTCTCGCCAGATTTCTAGGCTCTTGGGGGCAGACGAACATTCGTGAATGATGCTCTCAAACCCTACAACGCATGTATGTCAGCTAATGCGCTCCGGAAATGCTTGACCAAGCTATCTGGATACTCTTTCACACTGAAAAGGTGAAGACTTACGTATCACACTGAACAAACGACTCGCGACTGCAGCAGCAGCAATTGTGCACAGAATGATCAATCGAAGAAGGCCCCTGGTATTTCGACCGGTATCGCCCTTCAAGAATGGTTCTAAGACTTCCACTGCCATGTCTGATGTGGCACGCCAATAATGTTTGGATTGCAGCAAGAAGTCCCGAAATGCTCAAAGAACAGATCATGCTCTGCGGCTCCAAATTTAAGGTTGCCTCTCTGCTGTCCCCGGCGGCCGGCCCCCCGAAGTTAAAGGTCAAACTTTTCTCCTAAAGTACGCAGCCAACCAATTCTTCCCTTACTCGTCCCCCCCATCTCTAGAAGGCTGGTGCTGCTGCCCAGAGATACCAATCGATTTTTGACACGCTCATCTTGTGGTTTTGCTGTCTCCCTATCTATATCTATGCGTTGGTGAGGCCGGAAAATCCATAGTAAAACCCCTTTGTAGCACCAGTGGTGCCAGCATCCTCACCAACGCCAACAAATTGGGCTCCTTCTGAGTGCTTCGAAAACTTTGGACACTACGCAGCTGATCATGAAAGTGCGCAAAGTTCCGCAGTCTACCAACAGTCCCAATCTCTGTTCATCCCATGATTGCCGTGCATGAGCATGCCTGTCCGGCTATCCATCGCCCTCCAACCAAACTATGAGACTTGCAGTCAGAGCCACCATGGGCATGCCTATACCTACCTTTCGCGGAAAGAAGTCGAGAAACTCATTCCTCTGGTAGCCAAGGCTACCGAATGTTGACTACCTATGCAGTCCTAGGCAAACCCGCCAATGTTCGGTCCAACTTAGCTTTCCCCTTTCACCCGATAGCTACCTCTGTACTCCGTCTCTAGTGGGGCTGCAACCCAAGGAACGCCGAATACCAATTGAGAGAAGACAGCGTCATCTGCACCGCCTTGCTTTTTACATTGCTGACGAGTATAAGAGCGCGCAAGTCTCTCCATCCTACTGGGGTCGCACCTGAAGCGATGAAGGGGAGCGCGTGATGGTGTAGAGATGCCTTCAGAATGGGCAATTTTCTGTCTAATTGATTATAGTCCAATACAGAGGCGAGGCGACCAATTGGAGAGAGAAGGAAGAGCTAACGCTGCAAGTGGTGGCATGACTTGCTCAAGCTTCTCATGCAGCTAGAGAAGCAGCGCTCGTTCTTACTGCTGTAATCTTCGGTCCTCCAGAAAGCGGCGTAGATCATGGAAGACCTACTGGTTAGTGGTCGCAGTCACCATCACCCGTGGTGCCTGTACGTTGTCACTGCAGATATTTTGCTTCGTCACCAAAGGACCTCAGCCTTGCCCAAACTGCTTGGCTACCCTGTAACGACGCCCGGCCGCTATGCGGCGTTTTCCTGACTGGCCGCCTCACTGTCTTCCCTTCGTCCATCCATACACAATCTGCAGGATGCTGTGCCAAGTTTCGCTGGGCTTTACTTCTTCGGTCAGACTGCCTCACAAGACCGGGTGTAGTTGCAACTTGGGATAAGATCCTACGAAACGCTCAAATGCGAACACTTTTCCGCCTTGAAACCTCAGCTTTCTCTCGCCTTGACATCACATCCTGTAACCATACAATCGTGGCTTGTCCCTGTCACCCAACCGTTCATGTATGCTTATTGCTTCCATCTAGCAAATGGTGCTGTTGCAAGTCCGCTTTGCTGATCTTCAATGTTGCCCATCTAGACAAGCGGTCGTTGAGAGCATCACTAATGCTCCGTTCTACTTCTCTGCAACGCCCGCCGGTCGCTATAACTATGTCAGACCCCGAACTCATGTCCTACTTGGAGGGGATGAAGAAAAAGTTCTGGAACGAACGTCGGCACCTTCAACAAGACGAGATCAAGCTGCAGTGGGCAGCCAGGGCAGCTCCATACACCAGCATGCTCCTCGACACCGAAGCTCCAATACAACCATTAGAGCTCACCTCAACCCAGGGACACCAGATGGCCCGCCAATCCACTTCCAAATCCTGGTCGGAAGCTGCGTCGAGGAGGCGTGCATCCGTACGTACCCATCTACACCTGGCCCCTTCCATCCTTGAGGGAGCTGACGCTGGTATAGGAGGCCGTCACTCCTCTCGAACTTGGTCAATGCTATTATAATGCTCCTTCGTCAGAGCCGATGTCTAGGAAACGGGCCAGGACTTCACAATATGGACCTGAAATCGCTGCCGAGAATGCAATTAGTCCTCCATCACTCGACACTAATCCTTGGCAGCTCGACAGCAATGCGCCATACTGCGGATACACCAACACTTCCACATCTGGACCCAGCTTCAAAGCCCGACGAACATCTGCAGGACGCATGCCTATAAATATACCAGAGGACTCTCCCAACATCAGGATATACGAGCCCGCAGAATACATTCAGCAATCTAGGGCTTTCACATCGTCTAGCTATGCAGCTAATACACGATCTCCAAGCAGTTTCAACAATCACTGCATTCCTCTATCATCCCTTGAACTGCCGTCGCCTTTTTCAGTCTCTCCAACGACGACAGTGTCGGAGAGGTTCACCAATACAACCCCACCTACAAGCGCCGCGATGAGTCGAGAGGATAGTCTCGCTGCCTCGTTTTGTGGGGCCTTTGGCATGATGAGAGCTAATTCCGGAGTTTCAGAGATCGATTCAGGCCAGCAGATGTACCGGCAAGACTCATGCCACGGCCTCCCCCTTAAATCTCTCTCTCCTGACGAACAAGGAGTCGGCACACCTTTCGATCAGTCTCTATATTTTGCTCACGCCGAGGGAACGGCGATTGAAACCTCACCAGCTTCAATGCTTGCTGTGGAGCAGCTGCAGCTGCATGCGACCTTGGAGCTTGACACGGAAATGAAACGAGACGTTTCATCATGTTCCATCCCTACTGTGGAACAAATACAATCGCTTCCAACCATGGAGCTTCACACGAAGATGGTAAGAGATGCATCATCCGACTCTAACATATCATCGACTTCTCGGATTTTTCGCCGGAGCCAAGAACAGATAGCTCAGGCCGCACGCCCGATCGCGCCAAAAGACGTAGCCGAGAGGCCAGCGTCCAAGCAATCGTCCCTGTCTGGTAGCCAAGACATGCTTCGCCAACGGTCAGCGCCCGAAGCGAAGGTTTTGATTCCCAAACTCCAATACAGCCGACAAACCAAAGAGAAGCTCAAATGTGAAAGGTGCAACAAGAACCCTGATGGTTATCGGGGGTCTCATGAACTTCATCGCCATATGGCTCTTGACCATAATTCTTTCCGCACGGCTTGGGTATGCGTCGATATATCGCCAGACGGATTCCTTTCCGGTTGCGCAGCTTGTGAGTCTAAGAAGCCATACGGGCAAGACTACAACGCTGCGGCCCATCTTCGACGCTTCCATTTTCATCCAAAATCCGAAGTCCGTCGGACCAATGTGGATCCTGAGGAGAGGCGAGGGGGCAAAGGTGGGGGAAAGGATCCTCCAATGAGCGAGTGTAGGCGGTGGATGAGAAAGATCAAGGTGCGCGGAAAGGATTACATGGCGGTCGCTGACAGCGCCGTCGATGGTGCTGGCGATGATGCGGCCGAAGATGATGAAGAGTCCAAGGAGGAGCAAGGAGAACAAGATGAGGTGGTAGAGGACCTCTTTTTGCCTGGGAACGTCCAGAAAAACGACGAAACCTTGCAATCACACGACGGCGCTGTCGGTCAGCACATCTCTGCCCCTCCTCTCGACGGCGCAAATCGTCTCGAGCTAGCTATGACTAACGATCGGCAATTCACCCTTCAAGGTGTCGATATTCCTTTCAGTCGATCAGGCTTCCAGTCGGGCTTCGAGACGTCTTTCGGGACATATTTTGACAGCAACGCAGCAAGCCTTACTACTCCCAGCATCAACCTCTCTTACTCCCGCCCGACATTATCCTCGTCAGCCCCAGCTGCATCTTCTTTTCTGGCAAGCAACTCGGCAGGCTCTACGCACGCCCACGACAACTTCGCCAGCAGCACCCCCGTTTCACTTGATATGCCTTCAGCCATGAGCACAACGAGAAGTGCTCATACTCTGGAAGATCTAAATGCCTTCCAAGATTCGTACATCCCGGGTAATGTCTCGTACGGGATGCCTTCGCCGAACAATCCACACTATGGATTGCTCGACTTCCCTCCGTTCCCCTGAGTTGATTTGTCTTCTTTGAG